CGTGAGGTATCTTGTGGGGGAGGCCCATGCAGATGTGAACCTCCAGCTTGAAGCCGGGATATATGGTAGTGCCCTTGCTGCTACTGCTGGTGCTCATAACCTAGAGATCGTGAGGTATCTTGTGGGGGAGGCCCATGCAGATGTGAACCTCCAACTTGAAGCCGGGATATATGGTAGTGCCCTTGCTGCTNGGATATATGGTAGTGCCCTTGCTGCTGCTGCTGATGCTGATATCCTAGAGGTTGTGAGGTATCTTGTGGAAGAGGCCCATGCAGATGTGAACCTCCAACTTGAAGCCGGGATATATGGTAGTGCCCTTGCTGCTGCTGCTGGTGCTCATAACCTAGAGATAGTGAGGTATCTTGTGGAAGAGGCCCATGCAGATGTGAACCTCCCACTTCAAGCTGGGGAATATGGAAGTGCTCTTACTGCTGCTGCTGCTAGATATGGTGGCCTAGAGGCAGTGAGATATCTTGTGGAGCAGGCCCATGCAGACCTGAATCTTCTACTTCCAAATGGATGCATTGCCGGTGCTCTTCTTACAGCCAGATTGTGTGAAGGTAATGAGGAAACTGTTAGGTATCTGGAGCAGAAGGAAGCTGAACTTGAATCTTGAATCATTCCCTATGGAATGCTTATAGCGCTTATAGCACTGGGATAGGAACAACTCTTTTTGCTCAGATCTTATTTTTGTTCTATCTATCTCGCCAACTAAGGGCTGTGAGGCTCCTAAAGCTGTTCATATACTTTCCTAACTTCCGGCCCCATATTTAAGTCCTATTTTTATGGGCATTGAAGGATGGTTATCGCTAGTAGTAGAAGAAAACCGGATTCGCCCCCTTAAACTAAGTTTTTAAGAGCGCCCCCTAAGAAACCACGTAATTACTTTAGCACTATTAATAAGCTCTCTCAGGGTACTGGAGAGGTTCTGAATACTATAGAACCACAACGGAATAGGTAAGTTATTTATAATTAACTTTATTAAAGCTATTAAATAGTATATATTAAATGTGACAAATAGCCTAGGCCTCCTCTCTAATATATCCCACTGCCCCCAGAGGACGCAACTGGTTCGTACTGAAATATTTACTTTACTTTATTTTAATTTGGTAAAGATAAGTTGTAAACTTACATAAACTTATATGTTATAATAACATGAGTTTGTTATTTTTTGCACTCAACAGACAAGTACATAAGCTAATCTCAAGCTGACTAGCAGTAAATCGTCATTATTCCGAAATTGCGAATGGCTCCCAATGTACCGAGATAATATGAAAGCTGATGTTCGGCCAATCCTATGCAACACCAATCTCACACCTAAATTGACGGCTGTCTAGTCTCGCCCCATTTAGGAAACCTCGGCATGCATATATCTTGGGGACGCTCTAGCACCGGGACTTTGTAAATTGGGGGCGGAAACATGGTCGATCCCAGTTCTCGAGATTATATCTACCAAGTTGAGAAGACATAATCCTTTCCCTACCCTGGTATTTCAGTGCTGACCGCCGTAATGGACGAATTGATGGAACTCGAAGCGCGGAGCGACGAACTCGCCGCTGCGATCAAGAGCCATATCGAGCGTCGTCGTCGCGACACCCAATCTTCTGGGGTCAACTCGGACGCGGAAAAGGAGCCCAGCAAAGCCAAAACGGGAATTTATGCCAGTATGGCGAAAATGAAAGCAGTACTTGATGGGCCAGTCGACTTGCTGCAGGATCTTGCTCGCCAGGTTTGCAATTTATTTTCTGCTCCTCTATATCCATTCCCCCTCTGATGATGGTGAACTCTAGGTCGAGATCGTGGCTTGCCTTAAGTGGCTTGCGGAATTCCAGATCCTGGCATGCATCCCGCCGGATGAGAGCATGGCCATCAAGGACCTCGCGGACCTTGCAGGGGTTTCAGAAATCCAGCTAGGCCGCGTCATTCGCCTCGTGGCGACATCGGGGATTCTTCAGGAGCCCATCACAAACTATGTGTCTCACACCCCCTTGTCAGCCCAATTTGTCACCAACCAGTCCTGGCTCGACGCCGCGGTTTTCATGGCCGATGTGGCCGCCCCGACGGCGTTACAGATGCCGACGGCGACGCAGCGCTTCGGAAGCTCACGCAACCCGTCAGAGACAGCGTATAGTCTGGCGCTGCGTACGATCCAGCCGTTTGGGGTCGCGATACAGGAGCAGCCGAAGCTGGGCCGCCAATGGTCGGCGTATCTGCGCCACGCGGTGGGATTGCATCAGGAGAAGGAAATCGCGGGGATGCTTTCGCAACTGAAATGGTCTAACCTTGGTAACGCATTCATCGTCGAAGTAAGAGCGAATTAGAGCAACTTGCACCTGTGGATTAAATTGAATCAAACCACCCTAACATCGGATATTAGGTTGGTGCCCAGTCGACGATCATGGCGCAGCATCTCGCCCAAGAATTCCCAACTCTGCGCATAATCGTGCAGATTACTCACACGCGGTCATCCTCATCACTGCATAATCTCGAGCATTTGCGACTGATTGAGATGATGGGGGGTGTGGAATCAGATTCTAGCTCCAGCTCCAGCTCCCGACCTAGCTCGGCCGGCGGTCGCATCACCGTCACATACCGCGCGGCGGGTACGCCTCAGCCGGTGATAGATGCGGCTGTTTACATTCTTCACCTGAGCTCTTCTGCGGGGGCGGAAGCAATCGACCGGATAGCTATGGTCAGGGCTGAACTGCAAGATTACCTGGGCGTCCTCCGCTCCAGCGGTGGTATCTTGCTCATCCCTACGGCAAATCTGCTTCCTGAGCCTGGGAGCCTCGTAGATCCTATAATGGAGGCTGTGGCGCGGGCGCACGACCTCAGTATGCTCCAGCTGGCGAATGAAAGTGAAATGGAAATTACGGAGTTGATAAGTGTGATACAGACAATCCGGGATGGCCTTGGGAGGCTTGTTATCACGAAGCAGCTGCGTTCGCCTAATAGCTTGATTATAGGTCTTACTATTAAACATGAAGCTTATTGTATTTAATGAAAGCCTTCGCATTCGTCTACATATACTCTGGAGAGTACATCGGTAGTTACTTACAGATAGTTATATCTAGTAGCCTATAAACTGCTTTCAGTGAGATGAAATAACCACCGCGATCTGTACCTCGATCGACCACTAGCAGTCCTTGAAGCCATCAACGACCTTCCCATCTCTCACGAACTCCTCAACCCAACCTATAGTCATCCTACATTGGATCAATAAGATGATCATGTTGAGTGAGAGGAACATCAAATACTCACATACTCCTCTTGGTATCAGCGAACTTCTCGTGATCACCAACAAGATGCTCCTTGTACCATGGGTCTTGTTTCATCCGTTTGTAGTCATCAATGTCCTTGAACACTACCTGGCTGAAGCAGTCAAAGTCGGCAACATTGGCCATCTGTGGGTCAAATAGCTGCGGCATCAAGGCCCGAGTTGAACTTGAGTTGTGAATCTAAATATATCTTAATCGACTGGGCAAGACGAGCAAATATCATCGACAGCTCCTAGGAACTTACCTGAGTCCACCTTTTCACCCCGTACTTGACCATTAGGCCCTTAGTCATTGGCGCCGAGATATTCACCATGTGGTTGCGGTAGTCTTCCTCACTCATGCCAGGCTTGCGATACCCGCAGATGGTCAGACAGAGATACATGCCGGTTGTTGCGCCAGACGGCTGCTCCAGGATTTCGGGCTCAACGAATGTCATGATTAGTTCCTCAGGTTCAAGGGGCACGAAAAAGTGAGATGAAGGATGGATCCTGGAAAAGGGCGTGGAAAAGAGGAAGAGCCCCGGCATGATTCTCTGATTCCTCCCGAGATATGCAAGCCATCGTGCGACTCTTCGGACCGAGACTGGGAGTCTGAAACCTATAACTCATTGCCCATGGCTGCTGCTCGTGATCAAGTGTACGCAATTTAAATCAATTCATTCATTCATTCTTAGATCGGAAACCATGGCCCCGACCCAGATTGGCGTGCAAGCGACAGCTGTAATTACCGGCTCTGCACTGTCAGGCAAGCAGCTATGATTCTATCCTTGAAACAAAATCCCTACTGACATATTTCATTGATTCAAACAGGCGCCATGCTGTGCCTCTCAGCTATCGCAGTCCCCGTCTTCCTCGACACTGACGACACCTCCAGCCACCTTGTCCGCCAATGGGCCCGGACTTACTACTACGGCCATATCATCCTCCCGGCGATGTGCATTGCCACCTGCGGCCTTTATGGTTATATCACCTTGAACAAACGCGCTGCGAACAGGAAGCATTGGCCTACCTACGCGGCAGCAGGCGTGACCACATTAGCCATGGTGCCCTTCACCTGGGTTCTAATGACGCCCACCAACAACACGTTGTTTGGGCTGGAGAAAGCGTCGTCCGAGACGGCGGAGGACTTAGGGGCCGTGCGGCGGCTCGTGGTGACATGGTCTTGGCTGCATGTTACTCGGTCGCTGTTCCCTCTTCTCGGAGCAATCGTGGGGTTCCGGGGGTTACTGCATGACCTGGGGGTGTAATCGGAAATCAATAACCCGATGTTCCTTGTCTTCGGGGTAATGGCATCGGGTTATTATAAGGCGTCATCTATCTTGGCTGCATACCTAATGAAGAGGGGAACGCACGTTGGCTGACGTGCGGGTCAATCCAGCTAGACCCCCGCAAAGCCCGCAAAGCCCGCAAAGCCCATAGCCCAACTGGCACTGAACGAACAATGCAAATTAGCAAAATTAATTACCTTATGTTTAGACCCTGTTTCTAGCTCTTATTTCGAGGTAATATTTATTTTTATTTTAATTGATATATACTTAATGAGTAGTTAGATTTATATATCACGTTTAAAAATGCGAGAAAACGCGTTATTCAGATAAATTTTAAATTAGAGAGGTTCACTTAGAAAGTGGTATTAATCCCGTATGAGTCCTAATTATATAAAAATATTAATATTAACCTTTTGTTCGCGATATCTCGACCTCTACTAGTTAGATTTTGTTTGAAATTGAAATATATACTTATACCACTATCGTAAATCTGAAAATTATATTTGAACTCTATACAATAAGTATAAGGCCAGAACATAGCGATTATAAGACGCCGGTCTATAAGCGCCAAGACCCCTTAATGGGTCATGATGGGCTATTATGGGCCCCTATCGATAGCCCATCATAGCCCATAGCCCACTGCTGGTTGGGCTTTGGGCCCCTATTTAGTCTAGATCCAGCAATAACAAAACCACACCATACCAACGCCAACAGTCGGGAGTAGGAACTAGGAACTAGGGAGTATGATAAGATATGTGTAGAATAATGATTTTTCTGAACTATACTACCTTCTCTAATAGATAAATCTGAAATAACAAACCACCATGCCCTAGCTAGTTCAGTAGTCTTAATTGGTTCTAAACTCCTCAAGCGCAAACCACTTCTTCACTCCCTTTCTCACCTCAAATGCCACAATCCCATCCTCGGCTAATTTCCGCAGAACCTCGTCCATGAACGGCTCCAGCGCCAACTCCCTAAGCCCGGCCTCCACTCCCTCCCCATAGATAGCCGCCACGAGCTGCTGGACAGTGACGCTGCCCTTGCCTCGTCCCTGTCCCTGACCGGCGCCTCTCTCGTCGCGCTTGGTCTGCACCAGCGCTTTCAAGACCTGTCGCTCGCGCCGCAGCTTCTGCGCCAGCTCGCCGGCTATCTTGGCCCGCAGGTCGGCAATCACAATGCCGTGTGCTGGGTAGCCCTGTCTACAGCCCTGGGCCTGCATCTTGCGCAGCGTTTCCATCCACGTTTTCAGGTGCTCCACGGCAGAGGTGCCGTGGCCAAGGATATTATCGCCCGTGAACATGGCGGACTCCTCCTCGAGGATGAAGCACATATGGTCGTCGGTGTGACCCGGTGTGTGCACCGCTCGCACGGTGGCACCCTCCACGCGAAAGATCTGACCGTCTACGATCGGCTGCTGCGTGGTGCTCGGCGTGTGCTTGTATATCGACGAGACCAGATCCGGATACATGCGGATGAGATCGGGGACCCCGCCAGTGTGGTCGCCGTGCCAGTGGGTGAGAAGGACGTGTGAGAGGGAAATTCCGCTGGCCGAGAGAGTGCGAGAGATCAGATCAGCCCAATCTGGGATGCCTTGGCCGGTGTCGATGAGGAGGCGTTCGGGACCCGTCCCTACGATGAATGTGTTTGTTCCTTGTAGAGTGAACTGTTCGAATATATTAGCCCGGTTTCGTCCCTGCTAGAGTTTGAAAGAGAGAGAGAGATAGAGCTTACCTTTCCTGGATTCTGACCGAGGATTCGAATAACTCGCGGGCTAAGCTCGTCTACATCAAGCAGTGTGGGCAGACATCTCTGCTGGCTCTCTAGGTAATCTTCAAAAACGCATATGTTGAGAGCCTTGTTTATCTGGCGGTAGCCTCCTTCCCCGGGCGCCATGATGAGAGTTGCTACACTGTTGGTTGGGTTTATGGTCACTGTGATAGAGAGGCTCGGTATGCACCATTTGAAGTATATCATATTTGTACCGAAAAGGTCTTCGGGTCGATTCCGGCATCGGACATCGGACAAAAGAGTCTTAGTATTATCATGTCAATGCTAAAGATCATATACGCGGTGCAATTACTATTCGTGCACAACGGAGATACTGGATTTTAATGCATGTCAGATATCCTATTACTAAAGGAGGTCCGGAGCGAGAAGAATAAAGAGTGGGCCTCGTAGTACGTAGTATTCTTTTTGTAGATACCACGTCCCTGCCCATCGTAGAATCAGTCCTATTAATCGCCAGCATGGTCTCTAGCTAGACATTTTACACACTCGCTCGCGCCCCCAGAGTAGTAGGCAAGTTCGTAGGTTTTATATCTGAGCCAGTGTCCCAAGCTATCCCAGCGTGTTTCTTTTTCCAATTCTTTATTCCTCCATCCCCATTGTAGACAGTTGCATCTAGACCAATGTTGAGGGGTATCAGAATAGGCAGATATATCATTATTACACGCGAACTGTCACAGCGCTACTTTTTGTACGGAGTAGTGTAGTTCTAATTCTAATGATCAAGAGTCTCAGTTTCTAAAAATATGCACATCTATAATCCTTGAAATCGTATGGTAATCTCAAAAAGAAGGTTCAGGTTGATGAATCTAGAGTCATGGAAGTGGCTCAAGAGGCCTATCAAGGGGCTATTGAGTCCAAAAACAAAGGATATCTACATATGCATAAGCAATGCTTGACTTTGAAACCACAATTCATATCTTCAACAAGTTATCCCGATTCGAAGGGGTTCGGATAGCACCAATAGGAGACTTCGTGTCAGCAAATCACTCAAAGGCTCCAATTCAGGGATATGGCAATTTAAGTATCACACTCAGCAAGCAGTCCTACGATTACGTGACGTTGCCTACTGCCCGATTCCACAGAAATTCCAACAAGTGGCAAGGTTTGCTTTCGGGCTGTTATTACTAAAGGTTAGATTAGAACAGCGAGGAGGATACTCTCTTTGTGTATACTATAACGTTCAAGCCTTGGAACATCATCATGTTTACATCAAGAATAAGGACCTCTGGCAAATTGTACTACCAACAGACCACATTCTACTCCTTCAACTCCGGCACCTTCATCCAGGCCAGATCAAACCCAGACCCCCAAACCCATTTATCACTATTGTCCACACCATCCTTTGTAGTATCGTACCCCATCTGCGCAATCCTCAACCATAGCTCACCCTTGACCGGAAACGAATCCCCCCCTTCACCCTCAAACGAGCTCGACGCCTCCTCCCCATTTTTCAACGCCCGCACAAACTTGGCAATGTGTCCATCGTCATGCACTTCGTTAACAGCCGCATACAGCTCCTGCCAGTCCATCCCTTTACTCGCCGTCGGCTCGTACCCCGCGATGTCCTCCAAACGTAGCTCCGCCGCCCCATTGGCCGCGTACCACGCAAGGTCCAGCCGCGTCTTCCACTCTACCAGTCGCGCGCGGTCCTCAAGGGAAATCCACGCCTGGCGGATCAACACGCTAAGGAAGATCGAACACGTCACGTCGTGCATGATGAAGAAGTCCACCTTGCGCACCTTTCCGGGTCTTTGCGCTGCGCCCGCGCTGTACGCAGCGCAGTTGATCATCTCCGCCGTGCGGCGTTCGAGTTCTGCCTGGTCCCCGGGAACGATCTGGAATTGTGCGGCGATGGCTACAATCTCGTCCATGGCGCGGGCCAATGGGCCGTCACGCAGTCGGAACGGTCCGTCCTGCATGCGGCCAGCGGTACGGGTCTTGTCGTTGGCTCGGACCTGCTCGTAAAGCTCGACGAGCGCCTTCACAGGCACAGAGCCAGACTGCGCGAGCTGCTCGGCGTTGTGGAAGAAGGTGTCGATGTTGCCGGAGTCGTGGGAGGCTGCATGGGCGAGGCCCTCGGCGATGATGCTGGGTTGCTCGAATTCGATTCCGAAGCCGAGGTGGATAATTGGGTGTAGGAGGCCCTCGTATAGCTGGGAGAACATGGCTTCAGCGAGGGGTGTGCGGCTGAAGCAGTATTCCTGTAGGACGGCCTGCCAGCCCTTGGCGTCGATTTCGGTCTGGAAGAAATGCAGGAAGTTGGTGTATTGGGCCAAATCAAACATTCGGGCGCGGAATTGCTCTTGGTCGTGGAGGGACTGGACGATAGCCGGGTCTAGGGGGGGTAGGGGCCGTTGGTAGCCGTATCCATCGTCGTAGGCCCGCTGCAGCTGTTTGGGGCCGCCACCCATGGCGAGGACCGTCAGCACCGAGTGTGCGATGTGGTTGTGGCCCCCGACGTCGCGGAAATACATGTGGTATTTATCGTGGTTCTGTTGCAGAAGCTCGTTGGCGGTCTCGATTACGCCGACAGGACTGGCGGCGTCGATGCGACCAAGCCCTAGGTGCTTGGGGGACAATTTAACTTGCGAAGCTTGCACGACTGTCATGATCGCTACTGATTTAGAGTGATTTACCGGATAATGGGATCGAAGGAGATAGGTGGCTGCCACGCTTGCCAAAGGTTGATGATGGTACAGTCATGTTATTTTTATAGAAAAAGACATCCTATACTCAAAGTACGCACTCGGGTTATAGGTTGTATCGATATCAGACGGGGACGTCAGGCCACCACCACCACTGACCCGATTGGAGGACGAGACACACAGCGACCAATAAACAGGCCCGAGAAGTAGATTAGCCAAATACCCCGATGCACATCATGCTGTGTGAGTCTCGGTTTCCCAGCCCGTAAGCCCTAAACTCCCCGTCCATTTTTAGGGGAGACAGACAGACTCTCGACTGGTAGAAAGCATTGGGGGGATGGGGGATGAGTAGGAGACCATGCAAGCAGGGGTGCAGCGATTTGTATTTACGGCTGTGGCTTCATAGATGAGATAGCTCTTAATTTTCATGTCTGGTTGATTTGAAAGGTCGGTGAAGTGATGAATGACTATATACACCGTCTACTAAACTCTACCTTTAACCACGCTATATCAAGCACAAATAGTTCTCTAAACACCCCGGGAAATGCATGGTCCAAAACTATTTATGCCTCCTCCTTAGGAAAAAATAAAAAAGGCCCATTCGCATTAATTTTGTCGCAATCGATTGATGATATCCGTGGACAACGAACTAAGGCTTTTGCGCAAGTCGCTCTCCATCTGAGCTAACGTACTAGAGGAAAAGAACGTTGCTACCGCCATGTCATTATCTTCTACTCCGCTGTGGCGGCCAAGACATTCTTGACTCAGGCCACGACCATTCCCTCTAGGACCTTTAAGTTTTGTTGATAGCTGATTCACCAATCGTTGCACGCGGTGCAGTTCACCGAGGACCAGCCGGGCGGGTACGCAACCACTGGCGGCGCCGTCTTTATTATACGTACGGCCCAGCGCCCTCATATAATGATCCGTGCTGCTGCTCGATATAATGCTGCTCGCCGACCTCAGTCCCGTGTCAGACTCCACGCTGCCCGATCTTGAGCCGGAACCCTTTGTTCGTGCCGCGCTGGCGTATCGCTCCAAAACTTTGAGCCCGATCATGGAGATGATAGCAAGTAGGAAGGCATTTTCAGTGCATGAAACGCATGAAAGCATGCTGTTTACTGCCTCGATGTGGTTTTTGTTTTCGGATAGTACACTCTTGGCAACGCCCGTATCGTTGACGTTTGACCACGAGGGCGCTAGATCCGTGCCGGTGCTCTTGCAGTGAGCTGAAGAAAGCGTTTTTAAGAGATCAAGTGCCTGCGCCACGCAGCCACATGGTGAGTTGGTGGTTGTGGTGGCATGTACCGCACTCGACCTTGCAATGGGCGGCGTATGAACGCTACTAGAGGCAAGCGAGGGTGCCCCTGATGATTCTGTAAACATGGCACTGGCGAGCTCATTGATTTCCGACGTGCCAAGGCTAAAATCCATGCTCTCATCCGGTATGAGAAGTGAACCAATGTCATTCGGGGGTCGGGTGGCCCTGTCACCGTCCACGAGAGGACGTTCAAAATCCAAGGGATCCGCAATAACGAAATCCATATCGTCGATATCAGTATCGAAATCTGGCAAATTTGCGAATAGACTGGAGTCCCCAATCACGGAAAAGAGGTTTGAAGAGCACGTTCCAAGAGGAGTATCTGGAATGGGAGAAATCGAAATCGTGAAGTCTGGAGGTGTATCGGGGAAGCTGATGATCTCCGGTAAACCGATGGGGGGAGCTGGGGCAGCCCCGGGAGAACGTCCTGCGAACTCGATTGTGTCTCCATTTCGCGAGCGATTGGTCTGCAATTTCTGGTCGGTGCTAGGCTTGAAATTGGATGGGGAGGCGTGGAGGCTTGTGTTATTTTTGCCGGTGCAGCTATTTAGATGACCGCCGGTGCTATTCTCGCGCCTCCGCCCCGGGCGCTTTGCAAAAAAGTATTGGCACTTGATGCCCCGAGACTCACACTTGGAGCATGCAGGCTTCTCCTTGGGGCATTTGATCTTGGATGTGGCACACGCATGACAGCTATCTCGCAGTTTAGTACCCCCGGCGCTGGGGCGGGAGGGGGTCATGACAGGGGAGGGCGGCGTGGTACGGTCTAGTACCCGGTCTCCGAGGTCTAGGACTGACATTGTTGCTGTTTTTGAGTGCTTTAAATTGGTGGGAGTTACCCTAGTGCAGCATCAGGGTAGTAGATGTTGGTCAACACAGGTCGGAATCAAGCTTGGAAACATCAAGTGGGTCGCCACCTATGTAAATATGAGCGAGGTTTGAACTTGTGGAGAGATTCGCTGTCATAATTTCGACATTTGACTAGTGAGTTACTTACCAAAGTACTAGGACTGTGAGGGTAGTGCCTAGCAGCCTCATTAGTCGTAGTGAATATCTAGGTAACACCCAGTAACGTCTGGCGAGTCATATCTTCTAGCGATTAGTGATTAGTACCACGGACATATGCAGTCTTATCCTTCGCCTGCCCCTCTCTCCATTCAAATTTGGGGGCCGTAAGAATAAGCACGGGATAACTTCACGATTTTTCTCAGCCTCGGCCAATTGTAGGTCGATTCAAAATAGAACTTGGTATTGCGATTAATTCCAAATACCGCGGTATTGTAGAGCTTTAATTTTCTTCGACAATGTTCATGACTAGCTGAAGTATGTGCGAGGTATATGGATATTCCCGAGAAGAGGAAAAGTCAAACATTGAGCTGCGTTCTTCCTTATCATGTCTTTGCGGGGGAAGAGCTGCCACCTCCGACATACTCCATTTCTCCAATGCCCCTCTCTCTCAAACGGACATGCAGCTGCAGCTGTCAAAATCGCTTACGCCAAGCGGGGATCACTAATGGCCAATCAGTTGATCCCGGTGCTAATAGTCAGATCTATTATTACTCTCGATGTGAGTCGCTATATAAATTTTTGTGGTTGTATTCCTGAGAGCAGGTATCTCTCAGTCACCCCTCTCAACAGCAGCTTCCATGCCGGGCTCATCATGAGGGAGGGGTAGACCACCGTTATCTCACATTGACAAGGCTGGATTTTGATAGTTTCCTTCATGGCCCGATTCGATCTTTTGAGCATGAAATGCACTAAACTCTGACCACCCAGCTCGCCACCTGCTCAATGCTTTGCCAACCCACAGATAGCACCCACCCGAATGCATCGGGGGGTTCCCCATTTGACACCATCATCTTCATTCCCAGACACCAAGCTGATATCGAGGGTCCTATATTAGTGTTGCGTCTGTGGCGGATGCGACCTTAATGTCCATGATGTGGCTGACAGCTGGGAAATTGCCGTGATCTTCCCAAGAACCGCACGCCCCAACTATAGTTTACAACTTGGATGTTTTTATGAGCCCATATATAATTCACGCAGGGGAGGCCAGGCCCTGAGGTCGTTGTCTAGCGATTTTTGGTACGGGATTTATATGCATAACGTCTGGAGGGATAACTCCTTCATGGGCAGGGGTTCAACATGTAGCTTACAAATGCGTCTTCTCAATGTTCAAATGTCAGACTTTACTAGATACTCCTAGAGCTAGAGATATACTTTGATCGTCAAATACATGTATACATAGCGCAGGATCAACTCCTTCAGGATCTTGCCAAAACCGGTTCTCTCGATGTCAGATACAACTCTGCAATCTAAACATGGTCCTCTCTCGGTTCTAGATTCCCCGGTGGCGTTTTGCCTAACTTAAAATCCGTGCTCCTAGATTTGGAGTAAGCCTTGCACCGCGCATGCAATTCTCGGGTGGTTTGAGAGATATTCGCTTTTTTTGGCCCCAATGGCGTCAATGTCACTTGCAGGGAATATGATCCTCAGGATGAAACGCAGGATAAACGTATACCTAACAAAGTAGTTACATGCATTCCGGTGCGATTTGGGGCCCCACCAGCGAGAATCAGATAAGGAGCGGGGATGGAAGAGGCGTTGCCATATAATCTCGAATTCCGTTAATCTGCAAGACTAGGTAAAATCCCTCCTCGTTAAGACATTTTAGCCGCGCGGAATTATTGTTTGCTCCCAGGACTATGGTGTACTGGAATTTTCTTTTCCTTTTTTTCCAACTAGAAATATTACTTTGTACTGATGACATATTACACACATGTGAAGTCGAGAGGTCCAAGAGCGCAACGGGCCGTTCCCATTGTCTCTTGGCATAAGCCGCGAGGGTTTCCAAAACGGGTTATCTCCGCGGAGTTCATTCAATGAGTCCATATTCTGCAGAGTGAATATCAGGTCCATTGGGTTGGGTCTGTATATGTCCAATTTTGAATCGTTTGACTACATCAAATGTCATCTGCGGTACAGATCAATATCCGCCTACATATTCATCCAAATTTCCATGAAATTATAATGAGGACTGGAATATCCCAAATGCAAGGGGGAATGTGCAGTGCATCGGTTGAAGGCTACGGAGTCCGCTGTATCACATTAAGTAGGAAGTCAAAAGGATCCACCTCCGGTAGCGCAAAGGGTTAACCGGACGAGTGAATAACCATCTTGGGGCTAGTTTTGGCCTCATCATCTACTTTGAACACGTAACGGCCAATCGCTCACGTGCTGCTATTCTCCAGAGTGTAAATCCCGTGTGAGTTTTCGAAGCGGGCCGCGGGGCCGCGCGGGAGATGATGACAGGTCCCACCGCTCCACAGTGAAGAAAATACCTTGGGACTAGCCTTATTTGTTTCCGTCGTAATAATATACGTGTCCTCATCTTTCTACTTCAACGTACACCCATATCAGGACCCCAGCGTTGAGGTCCTTAGAGCCTTACGGCCTGAGAGCCTTAGGTAGGACTGATTTATTTCACAAGTGAACCGGCCCTCCAAGCGACCCAGCAACCTCAAAACGCATAGTAAATGCGATAGATTACGACTTGATATTTCAACAACTGTGTTCTATAGAAACTTCTCCGTATAGTTCTTTTTTAGAGACTTGAAGAAATTTCGTAACTTGATGATTCCTAAATATATATCTCAAGTCTTTAGCAACGTGATTTTGGGTAACTTTTGAAATGATGATTATGTAGCCCTCTACGATCTTTCAAATTGATAGATGATGTTAATGAGTCTTATTGACGACTATCGACTATCGACAAATAAGGAACTAAAATAAAACATGGATGTTGAGATATAGATACCCCATTTACTGTCTGTTTTGAGGTGGCCGACTTGCTTGGGTAGCTGGTTCGCTGTTGAAACATGTTAGGTAGTAGGATTACTTTATACAAATTGGATAGCCTATAAAACCTAAATATTAGGGCTACATCTTCTAAGACGTAGCTAATAGTTCTTTTACTAAAATAGTATACCATTTATCTCTCTCTCCAGGTTACACATTCACCCCAAGTATACCCTTAGATCCGATCTAGGGGTCCCATAGCAAGCTGACCCCCGGTTGGCCCGAATATTACTAGTAGTGCATACTGATACCCAAACGGCGCCGGAAAAATGAAGATGTAGTAGAATGAATCCTGCTGGAATTGCGCCGAATCACCCGAGGTTCGCGCCATACGTCTTTAGAGTTATACTAGGCCCCCTTATCTATGATCGGAATTTTATGTGCAATTATAGGTGCTTCCAGAAATTACCGTCTTTGTACATATCTCAACTCTCGGGCGAAACGACCGATTATGTGCGGATCAAGGACCCTCCCGGACTATACGTACTTCCTGGATGCCGCCACGGTAATCATTGGCTCTCTCTTGATTAACTACAAGCTGTTGGATACTTTCATCAATCCTTTGCACTATAAGGGCAATTCCCTGTGGATGGTTCTTTATGTACACTCATAAGGTCGAGATAAGGGGGTGCATATCTGAAAAAGAAGATTATGTTTATTCTGGGGCTAATTTGACACAATCAGCAATACCATGAGCTGAGATAGGTAGAGGTTAGGAAAGAACTTCGAGTACGTAAAAATCCTCAACTACAGGCATGTTCATCTTCATTTTGGAATGATAACATGGAGGTCATACTACTGCCATCACCACCACCTGGTATCAATACTAATACAGGTCCTTAATTTGAACCGTTGATATAGACTAAAGAATCGTGTAAATATATTATTAAGGCCCAGGGAAAAAGTACAGATCATTCTAGGAGCAAAATGCCGAGACGCAATAACTTATAATGATTTATAACACAGAAAATACCAGGACAAGCGGTGTCAAGTAGAGACAGTGGTACTGATGAAGGGATATCAATAAACAGCGTGCTGAGAGAGTCTCTGATCTGTTCTCCTGGGAGGTCACCAAGCCAACTAGGTCCGACTCTCGGATAGTAATCAATGCTCGGGATGAACCACGGGCATTTCGGGGCGGGTGAATTGGAGAGATGACAATTGGGGGCTGAGTGGCGTAGTTAGCCCCGAAGTGGTCATTCGTACTTAGACTTGGCTTAATAGAAGCGCTCTAACAGTACCATAATCGATTTGCTACCCTTTCTTGCAAACAAGTCCGGTCTTTAGAGGTCTCTCTCATTTGTATCCAGCTGGCCCAGGAGGTGACTCACCCATATTGGAAACCATAGCTTTTTCTTTCTGTTTCAATCAATTGATAGTCAGAAAGCCTGGTCATACCCTGATATGATGCCCATCTATACCCCCACCATCAGTTCAGATTCCGACAGGGACTCTCACAGGATGAGGCTCGTCTATTTCAGCAATGAATTCCCAAGGGACGACCTGGTAGACGTATTCCGTCACCTACACAACCACAGCAAATCTCATGATCAACAAACTTTGGCCGAATTTATATCCAGGGCCACTTGGGTCATCAAGGAAGAAGTTCGGCAGCTATCGATGGAGTTGAAGGAGCTGATCCCACCATTTGATACCCTTTTAAGCTGGGCAGAAGACACAGAGCTTCGGGAAGGCTTGATATGCGGCGCCGTGGATGGTGTGCTGCTAGTTGTCGTTCAACTGGCGACTTACATTGGGTCAGTAGTATAGATAAACTATAAAGCTTGACACGTCTGTTCCATTGCTAACTATTCTACGCTATCAGATATGCAGAGAAGCATCCGGAAGAGCTGCTGACTGAATTTTCAAACACGAGTCTCGCTGGTCTGGGTATCGGCCTTCTGGCATCGACTGCTGTCTCATTGTCCTCGACGTTGGCTGATTTGCCTCGTGCGGGGGCAGACGCCGTCCGCCTAGCCTTCCGGCTGGGCACCCATGTCCAAGGTGTCTCTGCAAACCTGGAAGCCCGTGAGCTGTCAGAGCGTCCAGCCACGTGGGCATATGTCGTTCATAATGTGGACCCAGACGCCGCGCAAAAGGAGCTCGATACGATCCACTCTGCACAGGGGATTCCCGACACCGGCAAAATCTTTGTCAGCGCCGTCAGTCGGACTTCGGTCACCGTGAGCGGTCCACCAGCCAGGTTAAATGCGCTGTTCAATACGTCTGATTTCTTCCGCGACTCCAAGTTTATTCCTCTGCCAGTCTATGGCGGCCTCTGCCATGCATCACATGTCTACGGCCTGCGGGATACTCAAATCATCGTCCAGCGCAGCTCCCTGAGCACAGTCAGCACAAATGCTTGGCCGGCGACACCAGTCTACTCTACTAGCACTGGTCTATACTACCAAGCCAAGAATGCCACTGAGCTGTTTGAAGCTGTAGTCTCGGAGCTTCTCACCCAGGCCATCTACTGGGACCGCGTCGTATTTGATGCGGTCCAGAGACTCGAAAACACGGGTGCCTCGGAACTGGCGCTCTATAGCTTTGGAAACTCGATCCCTCTCAACGACCTGACCACGGCGTTGCAAAGTAGTATCACAAACCCCGAAGTCTCCGTTAACAACCTTATGACATGGGTCACCCAGGTCGCGCCAGCAGACACAACCCCACGCAGCCCTGCACAGTCCAAGCTCGCCATTGTCGGCATGTCGTGCAGACTTCCTGGGGGTGCGACAAATACCGAGAAATTCTGGGAGATCCTAGAGAAGGGGCTGGATGTCTCGCGGCGAATCCCAGCAGACCGTTTCGATGTGGAGACACACTACGATCCAACCGGCAAGGATCTCAATAAGACGACGACCCAGTATGGCTGCTTTATTGATGAACCTGGTTTGTTCGACGCGCCTTTCTTCAATATGTCACCCCGTGAATCTCAGGTTGTCGATCCACAGATGCGTTTGGCTCTTGTCACGGCCTACGAGGCGTTGGAGCTTGCTGGGTATGTTGGGAACCGGACTGCGGCCACACAGTCGCAGCGCATCGGTACATTTTACGGCCAAGCCGCGGATGATTATCGTGAGGTGAATCAAGGCCAAGAGGTTAGCACCTACTATATCCCAGGTGGTTGTCGAGCCTTTGGCCCTGGCCGTATCAACTACTTCTTCAAGTTTGCTGGTCCCAGCTACAGCATTGATACCGCATGCTCTTCGGGCCTTGCAGCGATCGAGGTAATATATGCACTGATCCATATACATAGGAAAGAGACTAATCAATGAATTATCTTTAGGTCGCCTGCCAAGCCCTTTGGAACGGTGTCGTGGATACTGCCGTCACCGGAGGCGTCAACGTGTTGACTAACCCCGACGGCTTTACTGGATTGTGCAACGGCCACTTCCTCACCAAGGGACACAATGCGTGTAAGACATGGGATGCCACCGCCGATGGATACTGCCGTGCGGACGGCATTGGAAGTCTTGTTATTAAGCGGCTCGAAGACGCCGAAGCAGACAATGATAATATCTTGGGCGTCATTCTCGGTGCCGGCACAAACCATTCTGCAGAGGCAGTCTCTATTACCCACCCGCATAGCGGTCACCAAGCCTATCTATCTCGTCAGGTTCTTCGACAAGCCGGCGTCGATCCCCTGGATGTGTCCTACGTCGAGCTCCACGGCACCGGCACTCAAGCCGGTGACCATGAGGAGATACAGGGCATCCTAGACGTGTATGCGCCACTCGTCCGGCGTCGCAGCAAGGACCAGCCATTGCATATTGGCGCGGTTAAGGCAAACGTCGGCCACGGCGAGTCTGTCGCAGGGACCACTGCATTAATCAAGGTGCTTCTGATGCTCCAAAAGAGCGCCATTCCGCCACACATCGGCATCAAAACGGAGATCAACCCCCGGTTCCCTCAGGACTTTGATAAGCGCAATCTCCATATTCCAACGAAGATGACATCCTGGCCCCAGGTGTCTGGAAAGAAGCGCATAGTAGCAGTCAACAATTTCGGCGCCGCGGGTGGCAATACCGCTATGCTCCTAGAGGAGGCGCCGGTTCGCGATATCACTGATGCAGACCCGCGCCAGACTCATATTATCACTGTCTCTGCCAAGGTCAAGGCGTCTTTAGCGGGCAATATTGAGCGCCTAATTGCCCATCTTGATGTCCATCCTGATGTTAGCCTGGCTAACCTTTCGTACACAACGAATGCCCGTCGCTATCATCACACGCACCGTGTCGCGATTGCCACCTCTAACGTCCCACATCTGAAGAAGCAGCTGAATTCTATCTTGGAGAAGGTGGATTCAATTAAACCTGTTAGAAAGTCTGGCCCCCCACCAATCGCATTCAGCTTCACCGGTCAAGGCGCGTCGTACAAGTCAATGAGTTTGGAGTTATACCGCGATGTGCCTACCTTCCAAGAGTGTATTCAGCACCTTGACTCAGTCGCTCGAGGACAGGGCTTTCCATCCTTTATTCCAGCTCTTGACGGGTCATACCCTAAGGGCCATTCCCACTCTGCCGTTATTACCCAACTTGCCCTAGTCTGTACTGAGATTGCTCTGGCCAAATATTGGGCTTCCCTGGGAGTTAGGCCAGATGTTATTATCGGTCATAGCCTCGGAGAGTACGCGGCAATGCACATCGCCGGTGTTATCACCGCTAGTGATACTATATTTATGGTTGGACGCCGAGCCCAGATGCTCGAGGAGAGGTCTAAGAGTGGCAGCCACAATATGATGGCCGTTCGGGCTGCTCTTGCGCAGATTGCCAAGAGCGCAGAAGGCAAGCCATACACAGTCGCTTGTATCAACAGCCCATCAGATACGGTACTTAGCGGGACTAAGGAGCAGATAGATGATATCGCAGTCTCCCTTCAGAAGGCCGGCTACCAGTGTATCAAGCTGGACGTTGCATTTGCCTTCCACTCCGAGCAGATGGACCCTATTTTGGATGACTTTGAGGCCATTGCAACAACAGGTGTCATCTTCCAGGAGCCTAGAGTGCCTGTGATCTCTCCCCTACTCGGCAAAGTCATTTTCGACGGCAAGACGCTGAATGCAAACTACGTGCGCCGGGCCACTAGAGAGACAGTTGACTTCCTCTCTGCGCTAGAAAATGCCCAGAAGGTTTCTACTATTAGCGATGACACTGTCTGGATTGAAATTGGGCCGCATCCGGTGTGTACCGGCTTCATAAAAACAACCATCCCGTCTACCGAGCTCGCTATCCCGTCGATCCGCCGTGGAGACGATAACTGGAAGACCATAGCGGAGAGCATGGCTGCTCTACACCTGGCCGGTGTTGAGGTCGGATGGAACGAGTTCCATCGTCCGTTTGAGCGCAGGCTCCGCCTCTTAGATCTGCCGACATATGCTTGGAATGATAAGAACTACTGGCTGCAGTATAACGGGGATTGGTGTTTGACCAAGGGCAATACATTCTATGACACCGATAAGGAAGCGGCTCGAGCCAAGACAGCGCCAAAAGCATTACCAGCCAGTGAGATTCAGACCACAACGGTGCAGCAGATTATCGAGGAGAGATTAGATGGCTCTGCTGGTACGGTCACCATCCAGTCGGATCTTATGCAGGCAGACCTTCTGGCTGCCGCTCATGGGCACAGCATGAATAACTGTGGTGTCGTCACATCGGTAAGTCGTCATCTTTTACGAGACCCTTTTTGGATAAAACTTTCTAAATTTCTCGTCTATAGTCCATCCACGCCGATATTGCATACACCCTCGGCAGCTATCTGCACCGCAAGCTGAATCCCAAGGCTAAGAAGGATATCAACATGAACATTGCCAATCTCGTAGTCACCAAGGGTCTTGTCGCACAATCCAACAAGAAGATCCCTCAGCTATTCCGCGTGACTGCTACCACGGCTGATGTTGGCTCGGGAGTCGTCGACTTGACCTGGCAGAACGTAGACAATGATGGCCACGCTCATGAGCCCTTCGCCACCGCCAACATTTATTACCAGAACGATGTCTCCGAGTGGCTCTCGTCGTGGGCCCCCCTCGCGCACCTCATCCAGAGTCGGATCGAAGCGCTGGAGCACCTGGCGACGCAAGCCAGAGCCAGCCGCTTCTCGCGCAACATGGCATACACCCTCTTCGCCAGCAACTTGGTGACCTATGCGGACAAGTACCGCGGCATGCAATCCGTTGTACTACATGACCTTGAAGGATTCGCTGATGTGCAGCTTACCACCAAAGAGAGCGGCGTCTGGACCGTCCCGCCGTACTTTATCGACAGCGTCGCGCACCTCGCGGGGTTCATCATGAACTGCTCCGACGCCATTGATACGGCCAACAATTACTGCGTCACCCCCGGCTGGAACGCGATGCGCTTTGCAAAGCCCCTGATCCCAGGTGCCCGGTATCGTTCGTATGTTAAGATGATCCCGACAACCGAGGACCCGACGATCTACTTCGGCGACGTATACGTCCTGCAAGAAGACGGGGCCATTGTCGGAGTCGTCAACGGGATCCAGTTCCGTCGCTACCCTCGCATTCTGCTCAACCGGTTCTTCTCGCCGCCGGATAAGATGGCTGTGATGGAGGGTAAGCCGCCCAACCCTCAACCACTACCAAAGAGGCTGCCCGCCACACCAACACCAGCACCAGCACCAAAGCCGGTCCTTCCTAGACATGCCTCCGGCCTTGAAAGTGACACTGAGCCCCCCGCCGCTACGCCGGAAGATGTCTCACCCACTGTCACAGATGCCGCGGCCGCTCCATCCATCGAGGCCGCCGCTGCCACGGGCAGTATCACCGCAAAGGCCATCATGCTGATTGCCAACGAGGCCGGTTTAGATCTTGCTGATATGGAGGATGGAGCTGGGTTCGCTGAGCTAGGCATTGACAGTCTCATGTCGCTGGTCATAGCAGAGAAGTTCCGTACTGAGCTGGATGTCAAGGTCAGCGGGAGCCTGTTTTTGGATTATGAAACTATTGGCGATTTGAAGGAGTGGTTGGATGAGTATTACAGCTAGCCTAAAGGAGAGAGGACAGATTTTTCTAGTATTGAAGGTAGACATGATTGATTGATGAAGCTATAGTTTGGTGCTACGCTTTCGAGCTGATTGACAAATTACGTCCATATATTCGTGAAATATGATAGTGATGGTACTAGCATATATCTATATTATTTTGCCGTTACTTTCTGAAAGCTATTAATTGATAATTAGGTATTTAGAGGTTATTCAGGGTCACTTAACGGACCATCTATGTTGATTGCTTCTTGACATCCCACTGGGCTGTGGGCCCTACCTTCCTATGAGGCCCCCATTGAAGCCTATCTTAGGCGGCCTCTGTAATTGCTTTATTATAACCTTCTACTAGGTATATAAAGTTCAAATTCAGAATCTAGGATTATAGTAGCTATATAAGTATCAATTTTAATTAAAATTAGAATCAAGCCAGAAGAGGTCGCGACAAATGTTAATATCGATATTTTAACAAGATATATTTTTGGGATTTGTATAGGAGTACTACTGTCTAAGTGAACTTCTGTAATTTATAAATTATCTAAATGACGCGCTTTCTCGCGTTTTTAAACGTGATATAGAGCGATAACTAGTAATTAATTCCAAATGATTCAAGCTAATAAAATATTACCTTTAGAATAAGGCTTAGAAACGGGGGTAAAACGAATGGTAATTCTAAAGTCCCAGAAAGGGGGTTCAACTTCTGAATTCTCGGCATATTTGTACTGTTTGGGGCCCATTTGGGGGCCAATTGACCCGCAGTAGGCTTCTACTTTAGGCCTATTGCCTATCGGTGGGCCTAAGGCCGGGCCCAAAACCTAGCCCATTTGCGGGTTGGGTCGGGCTGGGCTCTGGGCTTTGTGGGCCGGTGCGGAAGTCTAGTTCTAGGGGACATATCAGCATTCAACCATTTACCAAATTGTCTACTAAACGACGAGGTCGTAATTCAGTCCGGTCTACTTTCCATTTTCATTGAGATGATGGACGCAGGCTCATCCGGAGTGGGTTTAGTTACCCCGATGCGCTTTATCCCGCCTGGACGTCTACCTAGATTAATAATACCCCGAACAATGTCCCGACAAACGAAACCCCTTGTTCGCCCTTGTGCAGACAATATGGCCCTAATGCGTTACAGGGTTGGGGTCCTCGGGTAGATTCCCACACTGAGCTTCACGTTGATTCTTAAGGATTATTGAACCAGCCATACTGCACAGCTTCTACCACTGGTGTCTGCCGCGTTTGACCCATATTTCATCTCTACAATGACAACTGTGGTAGCAACCTCACAGCCACCTGGCATGGACACTTCCAGCCGGATCTTTGCCCAGGATGACAAATTCTGGGACAACTATTCGCGCGGCCGACCCCAAGTCCCGGATACCTTCTGGGACCGCATCTGGGCCTTCCACGAGTCCAAAGGCGGCAATTTCGATACCGTCCACGACATCGGTGCAGGGAACGGGCCTTATGCCCAGCGACTACGCTCTCGCTTTGCTAATGTCATCGTGTCCGACATCGTGGCCGATAACATCCGCCTCGCCCAGGACCGCCTCCGGGGCCAGGCCGGATTCACCTTCCGCACCGCCGCGCTGGAGGACGCCGAAGACATCTCCGCTGGCAGCATGGACATGGTCTTTGCGGCGAACGTGATGCATTTTGCCGAGCCGCAGCACGATGCAATGGAGACAATCGCGCGCCAGCTGCGGCCCGGGGGCACGTTTGTGGCGTCGCTGTTTGGGCCCGCTCGCTTTCGCGATGCACAGGTGCAGGATCTGTGGGAGCGGCTCAGTTACCAGGGGGGCAGAGAGCTGCTCCGGGTGTCTGAGGATCCGGACCAGGTGGTCAAGATCATGGCACGGACACAGGACCAATACAATGTCGCACCGCTTGACCGGGCGCTGTTTGGCGACGAAGTCCGCATCCATGTGAATATGAAGCATGGAGGCATTCAAGGTATGTTGCCCCCAGAATTCGCGCACTGGAATCAGGAGCCGGATTACGGCGCGGGTGACCATGACTCGCACGAGGAGATGGAGGGATGGACCTTTGAAACGGATCTGCAGGGGGTCACGGAGCATTTTGGGTCTTTTCCGTTTATCTCGCGGTTTTCGGACGCTTTGGCGGACTTGTTCCAGGAGTTGAACGAGTTGTTGGCTGGCGGAAAGACTGTTGAGGGCTATTTTCCTGTCACCATCATTTTAGCCACTAGGAAATAGACTGTTCTTGTTTTTGACTAGATTTACAAAATTTGTATTTGTATTCAGCCTGTAGTAGTCAATGGTAAAATATGATAAAATGATTCCAACGGTCAGTCAATCTGTTGGTCCGTTCGTAATAGCCCGAGATATACAGAGATACTATATAAATGGGATGAGTATTTCCCGACGACTTGTGAACTACTTAAACTTTTCACTTCATTCAGATTAACTATATACATCAATATGCCTGCTCCCGCCCACATCCAGAGAGCCACTATCGACAAGTTCCTCGCAGCATGGAAGGATAGCGACGCCCAAGGGACTATTGGCCTCTGGTCCGATGAGTTTGAGCAGCAACTGTTGCCTCACTCGCTACAACAGCCAACTCGATCCCGAAGCCACGCCGAATTCTTCTATCCTAAGCTAGTGAATGGGTTGACAAACTGGAAGGTAGGCGCACATTTCACACATTTTTACAATTCTATAATCAAGAATCAAAAGATATTAATCCCATGGCAAGCTGGATATTAAGCATATCGTCCACGACGCGGTCAACGGTACGGCCGCAGTGTATGCAACCTCGTCCGCAGACACGCCGATTCCCGAGGAGAAATGGACCAACGAATATGCCATCTTTGTGTGGTTGACCGAGGAGGGACTGAAGGTGCAAAGATTAGAGGAAATGGTGGACTCTGCGTTCTATAACCACTTCTTCCCCTTGTTCCAAAAGCACCTAGCGGAACAGGGAGGTTTCCAGTAGATACAACTTTCATTACAGACAGATACTATGTTCTACTAGTACATGATAGAAATCCAATCGTCCGAAGTTTACCGGGACAAATGTGCCGCCGATTAGCATGGTAGTCGTCTAATACACCGAGGGGGGTTAATATAGAAACAAGAATCAGTTCGCTGTTTAATGGTCAAAGTCAATTCTCGTATAAAAGTAGCTGAGCTGAAAAGAAAACTGAAAACATGCCCTCCCCCAACATTTATGCCGTCTTAGGCTCCACGGGAAATTGTGGCACGGCACTCATCCAAAACCTCCTCCATAATCCCGACGCCCATGTTCACGCATACTGTCGCAACCGGCCGAAGCTTCTCCGTCTCTTGCCCAACCTCGACGAAGAAAAAAGAGTCAAAATCTTCCAAGGCAGCATCCAAGACAATGCCCTTCTGACCTCATGCCTGAGTGACTGTCGGGTGGTGTTCTTGGTTGTCTCCACCAACGACAACATCCCCGACTGTCATCTCGCCCAAGACACGGTCAAGGCCGTGATCCAATCGCTCCACAACATCAGGCAGCAGACGAGCTTCGGGGATAACAAACCACAGAAACTACCTAAGCTTGTCCTCCTGTCATCCGCGACCATCGACGACCACTTCTCCCGCCACGTCCCGTACCTCCTCCGACTTGTCCTCCTCCGTTCGGCCTCGCACGTCTACAGCGACTTAATCGAGACCGAAAAGATCCTTCGCGCCGAAGGGGACTGGTTGACGTCTATCTTCGTCAAGCCGGGCGCGCTCTCCGTCGACATCCAGCGAGGACATGCTTTGAGCCTGACCGACGAAGACAGCCCCCTGTCCTACTTGGACCTGGCTGCTGCAATGATTGAAGCTGCCGAAGACGTGAATGGAAGCTACGATATGCGAGATGTGAGTGTGGTTAATGCGAGCCAGAAGGCTAAGTTCCCGAGAGGAACTCCGATGTGTATATTCATGGGGCTGCTGCGACACTTTTTTCCATTTCTGCACCCTTACCTGCCGTTAAACACGGGGCCATAGTAGTTTCATTTTATCGTGAGGTGATGGACAGATTGTATATATCGAGAGGTTGTGGTAGAGATGGCTACACATTATTAGGGCTAGGGTCATGGATACGTCATTTGGGTATTGCAATGGTTTTGAGAACGAACAACCCACAATGAGTATAGTAGTATTTATTGCATGATTTATTCCATGTTCTCTATGGCAAAATCCATGTTGTGATTCCAATACAATCATCACGCCGCACCGCCGTCCAGAGTAATGACCTTGCCATTCACCCACTCCCCCTCCTTACTCACCAGAAACCCAACCACGCCAGCAATATCCTCCGGGAACCCATTCCGATGCAACGGCGATGCAAACGCCGCCATTTGCTGGCGCTCCTCAGCCGTGAACTTCTCTCCGTTGGGGATATAGTGCTGCGAAACGGCGTGGAACATATCCGTCACGGTGCCTCCCGGCGCGACCCCATTGACCGTGATCTTCTTATCGCCGCAGTCCTTAGACAAAATCCTCACAAATGAATCGATCGCCCCCTTGGAGGCTGAGTAGAGCGAGTGCCGCGGGACGCTAAAGTCCCTAGACGTGTTAGACGAAGTGAGCACGATGCGTCCGCCCTCCTGCAGCACGCGGTACGCCTCGCGGGCCACGAAAAACTGGCCGCGCGTGTTAAGACTGAAGACGCGGTCAAATTCCTCCTCCGTTACGTCCTTAAGGTGGCCGAAGCTGACCACGCCTGAATTGCTGACGGCGATGTCAAGCTGGCCAAAGTGCGCCACGGCAGCGTCGAAGAGCTTGGCCGTCTGCGACACATCGCGGACGTCCGCCTGGATGGCGATCGCGTCCGAGTTGAGGCGCTTGATCTCGGCCACAACCTTTTCGGCGTGTTCGGCTGAGTGGGCGTAGTTGACGACGACTTTGGCGCCCAGGCGACCGAGTTGGATGGCAATTGCTGCCCCTATACCACGGCCTGAGCCAGTGACGAGGGCGACTTTGCCATCCAGGCGGCCAGGGATGTAGGGGGTAGTTGACATGTTGATGTAGATGGAAGAGGTTAACTGGAATGGATGCTCTCTTTTTGGGGATGAAAAAGCCAGCCATGGGGCTTTTTTATAGATCATATATTCTCTATAACCAAGAATCACGGAATCACGGCTTCCACCATGTCCGACTCCTCCCGAAATGGCAAGCTTGTCTCGGGAGGTCAGACTCGGGACATTAGATATATGCCGAAGCATGGATTAAGAGGGAGATAAAAGCCAATCATGTGGTGTTTTTTTCATTGTTCAACTTTTAACAACCTCCTCCTCTGGCACTACCAGTTATTGATCATGACCAAAGCCGCCTACCAGCCGCCTGCGTATGAAGGTACGTACAGATTACTTTTTGTTTCCCCCACTACCTGCCTCCAAACACTAATGAGCTGAATTAATTCCAATTCAGCCATCGCAGGTTGTCAACTTGCACTCTTCGAATGGGCCGAAAGCTACGACAGCAAGGACTGGGACCGCCTTGCCAAGTGCATCGCCCCAACACTGCACGTACGTACTTATCCTTGCCCTATTTCCCAAGACCTTCAGCCACGACACCAGTTCCCTGACGTGAGTAGATCAACTATAGCTCCGTGATGGGTCAGGAATGGGAGTCCATGCCCGCCGACGACTTTGTCGCGCTGGCGTCGAGCGCCAATTTCCTAGGCAACGCGCGAATCAAGACACAGCACTTGATCGGGGCCTCGAAATGGGTGCAGACGGGAGAGGACACGGTCACAGGGTATCACCAGATGCGCGTGGCGCATCAGAAGTATGGCGATGATGCGCTGTCAGAGGTGTTGGTCAAGGGCCATGCGCATGGGAAGGCGACGATTCAGTACCGGAGGGTGGAGGGCGAGTGGAAGTTTGCGGGGCTGGAACCGGACATTCGATGGAAGGAGCATGATGTTGATGGGATCTTTCACGAGTAGTTATTATGAGACGTAGATATCATGACAGATGTTGTCTACAGTCTGTTGATAAAGAAATCAATATATCTGGGCTGTGGACACCTATAGGATTTAGATTGGGAGATTATATATCAAGGGCAGCCACAGAATAATACAAGCTCAATCCTCTTCGGCTATTTAAGGCGAGGAACACCAATTAAATCTCATTTTAAAACGTATGTGTAGCATTTGCATCCACCGCTTAGGTCCCATTCTACTACCTTGGCTGGGACCGGAACAGTCAAATTGTTCCAACCTACCTAAGGACCCTAAGTACGAAGTTCCTAAATCATGAGATCCGACTGCAAAGCCGCAGACATTGGCACATCGTCTCGGACATTGCTGGTGCCATAGTAAACTCCCTAGCAAAAATGGCCTAAAGGTGTCGTCGCCTCGTTGGACCTGACTTCTATGGGCTGTTAGGTACTGTCGGCCTTGGCCCCAGCCTCATCTGGACTACCCAGCTTGAGGGTTTTGATGTAGTAGTCAAGTTTGATGACGTAGAATGGAACGGGGGCCATTGTGGATGAGGAGTTGTTCTTGTTCTTTAATGTGCAGTAAAAGTGGCTTGGACGAGGACACACCTCTACATATGCTTATATGTATGCTAATTTTACGTTAGATGTATTGAGAACCGCTAATCGCAAATCATAGAGAGAATTGTAAAAGCAAAGTACTAGAATGTTATGCATACCTATGCTGCGTTAAACATATGTGAACTACATACGGTGACAGAAGTGATACCCACTAAATCACTGGACCAGCACGCCTCCACTCGAGTGGATACTCGTGCCCGTAATGTTCGAATCCCTAAGCAGGTAGATAAACGCCTCAGCCACCTCCTCCGGTGTACCAACCTTGCCCAATAGAGCTGTCGAAGCATAAAACTCCCTCGTGCTCCTACGCTGCTCCGGCGTCTCCCCCCAGATCTCCGTATCCGTCGGGCCAGGATGCACGACATTGACCCTCAGCGGAGCCAAATCCAGTGCCAGCGCGCGCGTCAGCCCATCCAGCCCGGCCGCGTATGCCGCTCCAGTCGGCCACCCCTTTATGGGCTTCTCGCCGAGCCTGCCGCCGCAAAACACCACACTCGATGTGTAGCTCGGCTTGAGGAACCGCGGGGCGAGCTTGGCGACCAGGATCGGCGCGACAAGTATGAGCTGTGCCTGGTCGAAGAGGTAGTCACGGTCAGTGTGGGCAAGGGACCGCGTTGTCGGTTGGCCGGCTGTGACAACGATGTGGTCGAGGAGCTCAGAGCCGTCGGCTGTGGCGTCGGCTAAGAGCTGTTCGAGGCGCTGCTCGATATCCGGCTGGGCGAGGTCAACGGTGAATCCCCTGATGTTCGTGTCAGGGATTGTTGCTGGGGACTCGGATTTGATCTTAGTGACAGCGCTGGCTACGCGTGCGGGGTTGGACGACGCGATGGAGACGCGGACGCCTTGCTCCGCGGCGAGTCGGGCGACGGCTGCGCCAATTCCTGACGAACCGCCAATGACGAGGATAGATTGACCGGAAATTGAGGGCATTGTGGTGATGTGAAATTATATGATGCGGAATGATATGATGGAGGGATGTGAGGTGTCGGTTGTGAACCTTGACGGTACATATACGTCTCTCTACCTCTATCCTGATATGATTTGTAATTCCTGCCCGCATCTTCGATCTTGTTTGTCACCGTGGGATAGATGAATAATTGCACCGGGTGACGTAGTCCTAGGCATGGTACTGGTCGGCAGCATTGGATGAGGGATGGCCAGCATTACGACCTGCATGCCTAGAATCACGACATGCATATGCATACTGATCGCACTTTAGGAATTGCTTAGTCACGGTTCATGTTGCCCATGTCCTCTATTTATTGCTAATTGCTATAAAAATCAGATTATAACAATTTCTTTTTTTATTCTCGTTATAAAGTCACTTTCCGAGTTATATATTCCAAAGTTGTGATGGGGAACCCGCCAGTAGGACATCTATGGTCGTTTGTGATTAAAACCCAAGTTAATTCTTTATAATTCACATGCATCTGGGTCCTTTTCAACGCTAAGCCCTAATTGACTTCACGCATAAATAACTTTATGCATACGTCAAGTGTTGCAGAATTCCTACGGAATCAGGACCAGTGGTGTTGACGCAGTTTGACGCCTTTACCACACATTCCGCTATACAAACTCGTGTATCCTATATCCCAGGATAGCATTTCAATCCAGGCTACATTCAGTCAATGGAATTTGGAAGAATCTAGTACTTAGTACTAATACCGCTCTTTGCGCTTCTTCTTTTTGACTCTCTCATTACAAATGCATATCAGTGAGCAATTTACAGGGGTGGAATCGAAGCCATAAATATGACTTCATTCCCAGATATGAAGAAGATTGGACAATTTTACAATTCTAAATCTACACCCCGTGAAAGATTCACTCTTACATGCTGCCTAGTTTAGTAACTCTATAATATATTATTCAACCGTTTTGCATTTCGGATTCATTTATTAAGGAAAACACATATCATCCTTCTACGCATCTCTGATCGTACTCCTTAGGTGGATCCCTTCCTACTCCGGCACCCTCTTTTCCGAGTGTGAGCGCTGTCTTCATTTAATGAATCCTTAGGAATCTATAGTGACTTGGTGGAAGAAATGCGAAATATCTATTATATCAAAAGCACTGAATCTGAAGCCACTGCATGAGACCAGCTATGTCTAACAAGGTAATGTTGTTAGATTATGAGATAATCTCATATATTAGCAGAGCTCAGTAGATAGTAGATAGCTCGTTCTAAGGGAACGAACTGTCCGTCTTCTCTTCTTCCCCTGTAATTCTCATTTCTACTAAATTATACATTCATCTATTCATTACAATCCCTACCTTTCTCGGATCCTGATATCTGATAAATATTTGTTTTCTTTTGGCCATGTGACTTTGACAAGCAACCTGGGAAGATTGGAAAACTTCAAGGTTTTATAGAGAGATATATGATCCAATGTCAATGATGCAATCATGATCGACACATTATATGAATATAAAAGCTTTGCACATTCCCTAGACTTTATTTACATCCTGTATAAAGCGAGGAAAACTACTTCATCTTAATCATGGGGAAAAAACGTGTGTATTCTTATCTCGACGATGATCCTCCATGTGCGTCTTGTGGAACTGCACTTGACCCCGAAGAGGTACAAGATGGTAAGTTCTCCAGTTGCAACTTGATGATTATATCGCAATAGGTCACTGAAGATCAACTCAATGCCAATTCGAGAATTGATCGAAGAATGTTATGGTGATAAAGAAAGACATGAACGGTTCGGGGATTGGGAGGGCGACCTTTCCAAATCATGCGTGTTCCATAAAGGCTGCTGGAAATTGTTGATACGACATTTCAACAACGGAATTGTGCCTCTCGATAAATTGGCCAACGTAGTCGAAGAAGCACCTTGGCCACAGTATCGAGCCTGTAAGTCATTTTTCCACTTCTCTTACCAGATCTTCGCATCCACGAGCAATTTCAAATAATGGATGGGAACCTTTAGATTTTGTAGTCCCAGAAACCGGGACGCCTAGCCCGAGATGCTTTCGATATATCGCATTCCGGGCCGAAGCAAGGTCCTTCCCAAAGGCAGCAAACATACAATGTGAACATCAACCGAAGGATGAGGCCCAAGTTAATGACTTCTTTCGTCTCCTTCCACTCGAAATCCGCTTCAAAATCGCCTATCTTCTTTCAACGCCTGAATACCTCAGCTTGAGACTTGCGTCGAAAGTTATGGCTAACATATTTGAAGATCAGGAATTTTGGAAAACACGCTTTTTTATTCATCGGGAACGAGGATATCTCAACTATCTCTTGGAAGAAGGTTGTAAAGATTGGAGATTGATGTACCGCTGCACTAGCAAACCGAGGCGTCTAACCAAGACATTACGTTTTCGAAGGCTACAGTGGCTTCATAACGAGTGGATCAGAGATAGGTGTATGATGATTGAAGCTTCAATATCTACATCGCCTGAGAACATAACTCGATTTGATAGCCTACTGTGGGACAGAGCCGCTGGAAAAGTCCAATGCGATCGGCCTTACAGATTCGACATCACTCCTCCACCTTCACTCGGAAATGACATCTGCATGCGGTGTCGTGGAGTGCATAACCTATTACCACCTCAGATGACCACCATCTCTAGCGACCTTGTGGAAATCGCTGTCTCCGTTCTTGCTGAAGATGAACATTCATTTATCACCGGGTTCAGCCTTGTATACGGCGAGAGTTCATCAAACATTAGTTTTGGCTATGGAATCCCCGAAAAGCAGATCAAGATTGGTCTTTGCGGCCAGACGTTGACAGGCTTCGAAGTCTTCGCTGGAGAAGGCGGCATCCAGGCCATACGTCCAATATTTGACCGAGGATATGGAATATGCCGTGGAATGATTGGTAAGCCGAACACAACTTGCAAATCAGTACTACTTATCCCAGATGGAGAGATAAAAGCCTTTGCGGGGGATTTCGATGTAAGTCAAACATTGATGGGTGGTTCCAATTCACATTTACAGTTTACTGACTCGCTTGTAGCATTGTAGGATGGTAGGGTTTGGAGTAGGTTCATTGCATCCAGGATCATAATATGTATCTCAATTAGAGACACCATATATCTGTGTCCTTGTCTCCTGTTATTTGTGCGCAATTAATCTTCTTGAATGGCTATTTTAATTATTATTACTTTCCTCTCTTCACTTTCGAGCGCTATTGGTATTACTTCTAGGACTTCCTAGAACCACTCCCCAAATTGTGAATCTTATTCCCCTAGAGAAAATCTCAATGCACTTACTGGCAGCTAATACTTCTGCCACCAAATATACTACTATTATTGTATATTTTCTATAGCCTTGAGCTCGATTATTTCTATATAAACCATCCTATTCCCATTCCTGCCATCATCTATCCTAACTATCTTCTTTCTTTAAGGTAAACATATGTATAGTTAATCGCTAAGATGGAATGAAAAATAGAGATATTACAAAATATAGCAAAAAGAAGAAAAGATAGCTCTAAAGTAGAATTATTAGATATCAACGAACACATCCAATAACTTTTCTACGGAAGCAAGAGTGGGAATTTACAGAGGAAATATAGTAAAATTCTACTTCCTCTTCGATAACAAAGTAGTTATCATCTACGACTATTCAACTGTGTATTAATTAAGCAACCGAGGTGGTAACTGAGCAATCACAATGTGTGGTGAAATGCTCAGTAGGCAGGGCCCTATAGCGCCCTCATAAAGCCGCTGCACCCCCCGATCAGAAAAATTGAGACGCAGTCGAAAGGTTGTTTTTAGGCCATTGAAAACCAAGATAGCTTTTTTGATTAGTTGCTAGAGCAGAGTCTTTCGGATCTTGGGCCTGGACACCCTTGCATCCTAGTGTGAAAGTATCTCTAGGAAGGATGTTATGTTCAGGGTTTTCGGGTTACGTATACAAGAATAGTCGGCCGCATTTGCGGCCTTGTGGTGTCTTTTTAACTGGCCTTTTGAGATGTCTTTTTAGTTAGTCTTTTGAATATTTTTAGACGTACGCGAAGGCGGTAAAAAGAGCATACTTTGTGCAAGAGACTTTTCTATATATACCTAGGGATTCATCACATACTTAGTCTTCCCACTTAGTTCCTGCAAGGTGGCCATTTGCCAGTATTTACCTTTTATCTTTATCAACTCATCATGGGTTCCTCTTTCAATAATCCTGCCATAATCAAACACAAGGATCTCGTCGGCATCGACAATGGTCTTCAATCGATGAGCAATCGCGATCGTAGTCCGGCCTCTCATGGCGTCTCTTATAGCCCTTTGGACTAGATGCTCCGATGCAGTATCAAGTGCAGAGGTTGCCTCATCTAGCAGACTAGTAATTGCGAGTCAGAAATCAGCACATTCAATGGATGAAAACAAAAGTCAAGTGGCGTACAGAATTTTAGGCCGGAGTAGAAGAGCCTTAGCAATCGCTATGCGCTGGCGCTGCCCACCAGAAAGCATGGAACCATTGCCTAAGACAGAAGTACTCAATCCTTGCGGAAGAGATAACTGGAAGAATAGTTCATGGTCAGATCCTCTTGAAGAACTCAATCAATCTCAAAATTAGGGATGCAAGTGCTTACCACAAATTCTCCCAGTCCAACAGACTCCAAAGTTCCCTGGATTTCATCATCAGAGAAATATCGCTTGCCGCTTTGTAAACATTCCCGCAAGTCGTCTCCAACTAAGCATGGATTCTGATCGACGAGTGCGAAATACTCGCGATAGCTATCCACAGAGTATTCTGCAATCAATGTATTGGCAAGCCTTATGTCACCACGCTCTGCCGTATAAAACTGCTCTATCAAGTTTATCACGGAGCTCTTACCACTACCAGTCGTTCCGACAAGTGCAATAAAAGACCCACGAGGGGCTTCAAAGCTAACTTCGTTCAAAACGAGTTGAGCTGGACGTGCTGGATATTTGAAGCTGACATGTTGCAAAGACAGATCCTCTGTTGCACTTGGTGCAGGTAGAGAAGTACTAGTTCTTGGCGTTCCAGAGCGTAGTGAAGGCTGTATTTCCATCAAGTCTCTCACTCTTTGAGCAGCACCATGAGCACCAGCAATATCTGGAGCACGCGAAAAGAGCGTCGCTGCCGATTGTGTTCCCCAGACTGTCGCAGCAAAGCAGATAAAAAACTGCTGAATATTATACTCGCCCGTTGCGATGAGGTGAGTACCTCCGTACCAAAATACAAACGCAATGCTCAATATGCGTAAGGATGTCGTGCATGCATACATGGTAGCAGAAAGAATCCAGTATTTGGCTCGCCTATCTCGGTCAATTGCCTTTTGAAATGATTCCATGACTGAGTTATGCAGGCCGAGTACCGTCACAGTTCGAATTGCAGTGAAAGCCTCATGAGCAACAACTACGGCGTCGGTATCACGCCTGACAAATTTCTCAACCTGCGCAACAATATAATACTGCAGGAATCCAGAGGCTGCCACAAGTGGAACGGTCGCGATCGCAGCAAGTCCGATCTTCCAGCCAAAGATGCATCCAATAACAACTCCAGTTCCAAGCATCATAATGCTTTCGGCCACGAGCCCGAGGGACGTTCCTGATACGCCTATCACTTTGACAGTCTCCGAGGAGAGAAAGCTAACCAATGCTCCTGTTGAATGATCCTTTTCCTCGAAGAAAGGGATGCTTTTGAAGAGGAACGTTTTGAACAGTTCCGACCGGGTTCGAAGACTCAGTCGACACGCCGACACAGCGAAGCAATATCCTCGGAGACAGTATACCAGAAGCACAATGAATCCGTGGATCAAATACATTGTTGCCCAGTATTGAGTGGTGTGGCCACCTGTACTCAAAGAGGGATTTAAGATCGAGATGATTCCATTTCCAAAGAAAATTGCTTGGATGGGGTATGTCGCACCAGCAAGCACACTCAAGACGATGCCTGCAGAAGTATACAAAACTTCTGGATTGTTCAACCCCCAGATTATCTTGATACTGCTTCCAAAATGCGCTGCAGATGAAGAATCATCTTCAGCTGGTGCGGCACTGGTCCTGATAGAGACGCGACCTGGCTGTGTCTTTGTCTGGACTATCTGCATAGCTAGGTCTTTCTCTTCTCGATTATTCGAGCTGAATTCTTGTTGTCCAACAAGCTCTTGATACAGTGAGCATTTTCGCATCAACTCTGTATGGGTTCCTTCATTCAATATTGTGCCATCTGCCATAACAATGATTCTGTCTGCATTTCGAATCGTCGAGAGGCGATGGGCAATTATGATGGTAGTGCGCCCAGAAGCAGCCGCATTGAGAGCTTCCTGGACATCATTCTCACTTTGACTATCGAGTGCGGCTGTGGCCTCGTCTAGCAATAAAATTGCGGGCTGTGATATAATTGCGCGCGCAATTGCGAGTCGTTGTCTTTGGCCACCTGATAGTCTTGATCCGTTTGCCCCAATGACTGTGTCGTATCCTTGAGACAAATTGGCGATGAAGGAATGGATGCCGACAGTTTCAGCTGCTTGGACGACTCGTTGCCTGATGCTCATCTCATCCAGTGTCTATCGTCGAGAGCCAGTGAGTATGATCTCATGGAATGGCGTGTTACTCGGATCATACCTCTTGAACATTTCTTGGGAGTCCGTGGGCAATATTCGAATGGATCGTTGTGTTGAACAAGGTAATGTCTTGACCAACGTAACCAATCTGAGATCGGAACCAAGAGATATTCATTTCCGTAATGGGTGTGTCACTTATCGTTATTCGACCACCCAGTGGGTGGTACATTCGCTCTAGTAGAGCAAATACTGTAGACTTTCCAGAGCCAGATGGCCCGACCAAAGCAACAGTATCTCCCGCGGGCACTTCGAAGCTGACATTATCAAGGACCAGGTGCCCCAAGCGCGAGGGGTAAGCAAAGCTGATTTCTTCAAACCGAATGACTCCAGTGATCAGATCGAGCTTTAAACCTGTCTCTTCTAAAGGGTTTATTGCAGAGACTCGGTCAATTACCGAGAAGACCCGAGATGCTGCTCCATTAGCGTTCGCAATGCTCACAACAAAGGGCAAGGCCTGACAAAGCATACCCCCAGCAACCGTCGTAGCATACAGGATAGTCAATACCTCTGAGATAGTACACTGACCCAGACTAATCAAACGCTCGGCTTGCCAGAACTATCAATTTTATCAGAAGAGACCAATGACCATAATCCAGGCGTGAAGTTGACATACCCCAAGTCCATTGCCCCAGTGCAGGATGGCGAACGAACCCGCAACAATCACAGCGAATATCAGCCGCTCCCAAAAGTCCAAGACAGACAGATACCGTAAGATGCCGCGGTACTTTTCGGTATATCTTTCTTGGCTGCGATAGGCGATTACATTTCTCATGGCCCCAAGGACCTCTTGGGCAAAATTGTTCGCCCTCACACTATGCGCCAACCCCTTTCGCTGTGTTTTACTTAACCACGATCCCATCAATCCAACGAGTAAAATGAGAGATATTGGCTGAGTGATCATGATGGACGCGAATCGCCGGTTGCTCATGAAAGCACAGACCAAGGCGACTGCGAATCCAGATAGCCCAGAGATAATATCGCCCACTTTTTGGGAGATACCGTCTTGTATCAACTTCATGTCTTGATCCAGATTTGAGATCAACTCGCCTGCTCCAATAATGTCAAAATATGCTATGTTCTGCTGCATAACTGAAGACAAGAGAGTTTGTTGGAGCCGACGCGTGAGTCGCTCCCCAGTTGCATTGAAGCCCCATGTGCTGATCAAAGTCGTCGCAAACGACCCGGTCGCTAGCTCATGATTAGCTAAATTCGAAATTTGGCGAGAGAAGTTGTTACCGATGATTACTAGTATAACAGTGAAATGTTGAGTCCTACCGATGACATACTGCGAAGACTTCGCATCTCCATTAATGAATTCATCTGCCAATAACCCGAACACTACAGTGACCAAGGGCATCGCTGCACCAGCAATAATTGCGCATAATGCTGAGCCGAAAAGCGTGCATAACTGTAACGGCGTCGCGTATCGGTAGAGAGACAAGAAGTTGGCGTTGCTGGGTTCAATATGAACCTGAGAGTTGATGACCTGCGCGGTGACGGGGAACCCAGCAATCGGCTGAATATCTTGAAGCAGAATATGCTCGACAGATACCGACATAGCTCGGTCTATTGCACTTTGAAGTTGTTCTAGCTCGCGTTTGTTCTACTTTGGTAGAGGACAAGGGGTGCATGCCAGTGACGTGTCGATCACAACATGCATTCTACACGGTAGCCGATCGAATAAGCAAACATCAGTCTGCAAGGTCAATCACACTATTGGCTATAAATTATTAGCTTATAATGCCGGGTGTTAGCAAATGCATCATATGCATTGTTTATTGAGCCTTTAATCAAGCTAAGACATCTTCCTGAATGGTCCCAATCCCACTAGTCATGGATCAGCTAGTACAAGGTATTTATCTCTATGCTGGCATTCAATTACTCGCTATACCGCAACGCATGACAAGTTGTATCGCCCTAGGGTGCCGTCTTAATGAAAGAAAAATGTGTCCTCGAAAGTGCAAAGAACCCAACGCAATCTGACCTTCACGATTTTGTAACCTCAGTAACTTCACCTTCTAGTCTTGGCTCATCACCATCATAAATAGACATCAACTGCCGATGGATCTCTCGCCATGCCCCTGATCGGGTCTTGAATAGAAGCCACCAGTCACCAGCAGCATCCTTGCCCAAAATTCGAACAACGTTGCGAGTTGGATATCCCCGAGCGTGCTCAATGTCATTAATGTACGAGGGTTGACCCAGTGCGTGCGCCCTGTGAGCCAAAGGCACACCAGGCTTGATCACGGCACCCGAGAAATCCGCATTGAAGTTGCCCGACATCTGTTGGTTCGTGCAGGCCATGAAAAAGTTATTTGTACGCCCGATCACAGGCGCAGTCCTTTTGTAGGATTTCCTCTGAATAGCTGTCATTGCCTGAACTTGTTCACGTGTCCTGTGCTCCATGAGCGCCTGGCGGTTCTTGGATGCGGTGTATGCCAGGCTACCGTCGTGGATAACTTTGTTAGAGGAGAGTAGCGTGTAAGAATAGAAGAATGCATTCCCGATGAAGCCAGCTCCATTAGGAGGGAACCACTCCGGGAAAAGTCTCCATACATTGAACACATTCATCAATAAAATAGGTCGTTCTGGCGAAGGCTTCAGCGCTGTTATCATGGTCCTCATCCACCATGAGATGACGATATCCCCTTCACTGACAAAAGGAATTTCAGCCCCCTTTGGAGCGGCCTCGGCCAGCTCCTGTCGTGCTTGCTCTCTCATCTTTTTCACGTAGGTTCCTGGGACACGAATGGTATGGTCTACCACATCCTGGGTAAACAGTAGCTCTAACATGTATCGGATACCGAACATAACAAGGCTGAAACCGGTCAACAAGAGCCCAAAGTTATGGTATCTTTCTTTCGGGTAATCCTGTCCCAGTGTATGCAGCGGGTCTTGATCAAACGGCACCATAGGCGGTATTTCTTCTTCATGACCGCGAAGCACAGCACCCCAAGCCTTCCAAAAAGACGTACGAGAAATAGCATCAAAAAGTGTGTGTACATAACTTGTCGTTATCAGAGTAGTATCGCGGAAAGAAACGACGTGGATGTGGAGCTGTGGTCGGTCCGAATAAATCCAGTCTGCAAGTTCCTTGGGACTTTCCGGATGACAGACCAACGGCTCGAAGAATCTCCCAGGAGGTGATAAGAACGACTGGTCGTAATTTTGCTTCGGTAGTTTAGCCCCAATCGGATGCTCATCGATGTTCATATCGTAGTTCACCGTGGTGAAGATGAAAGGCGGCCGTGTCTTAGTATAGCTTGCTGGTAGGTGATACTCCAATCTGCTGTCACTCTGGAATATTGTCAGTTGCATAATCGAAATAGCTAATCAAGGAAAAATCTCACTCTCAATCTCAAGCGAGCCCCCAGCTGACCCCAATTCCCAATGTCCATCAACCGATACAAAGCCGATTCCAGCTTTTGAACATCGAGCACATCGTCGATCCGGAAGGTGAAATCGTGACAGATACATCTAATGTATTCAAGATCATCCCAATATCGTAGTGGAATCACCCGATCTGTCGACACTTTCGCTGGCTGTCTTCGAGCGAAGTTTGGAAGAGACATACTGAGGGGTTGCCTGGGAGGGCAAAAGTCGCGTGTTGAGATATATCTTGGAAATCAAACTTCAGAAGATTCACAACCGTAGCGTCTGGTATGAGCCTGGAACAGATTTGAAATCTGCCCTCGTCAATGACGATGTGTAGATCGGGTGTCAAGCTGCTACTCTAATTGTTTATCAGTTCAAGGCTGGAAGTATCTTACTTGTGAGTTACTACTCCGTAAAGATGCATCAATCTTCCCGTGTCATGCAAAGGACCAAACTCCGCGTTTGCCTCTATCCTAGCTGCGAGCGTGATGCAATAATAAGGGAGACTAATCAGATTGTGAAGATTAAAATATAGAAAAAGAATTTTCCTACTCCGTGGTCATGTAAGGGATGAATTAGAAAAAGACTTGTTCCAACCACCAAAAAAAGCGGTCTAGCAGCCGAAATCCCTGATGAATTCCATCCACTTAAATCAGCTACAGAAGCTATTCAATGTACCGCGACAAGAAGGATTATTCTGATTTTCAATATTTCCGGTTCTAGCTGATAAAATATAGCGCCGGGCTTGCTCGGTCGCGTCAAGAACCTATGTTTTAGGTATAACTTTCGAATTCGGACAGGTGTACGGAATAGATATATCACAAAGTACTATCTACTAGACTATTTACGCCACATTAAAATCTCACATGCAGCGCTATTACTCTGAGCCCAATACTAAAAGAAATCAGGTGTAAATGGTAGGATGAGTGGTCAATTTATAGCTCTTCAGTTACTGTCACATTTGACTACGTACTTCCTGTAAATAGCGCCCAAGGGCCATCATGGGGAAATAGTGACGGTAGTAGTCATACCCAAGATAGAAATGATTAGGGAATCCGGTTCCTGTAAACACAGATTGAGGCCACGAAGACCCGATACCCTTCTCCGGCTGGAGAGTTGCCACTAGATATTGAATACCGCGCTGGATGGCAAGGTCTTTTGGAGAAAGATGTGCCAACAATCCCATCAAAGCCCATGCAGTTTGGGATGGGGTTGATCCCTGCCAATCTTGACTGGGCGACCGGTAGGAAAGTAGTGATTCACCCCAACCTCCGTCGGCCTGCTGTTTGGATCCCAGCCACTGTATACCCCGTAACACCAATCCAGAAACCCGCGTATCATCGAAGTACGCAAGACCACACAGTGCATGACTCGTGCCATACACGTAGTTGCAACCCCATCGTCCAAACCAAGCCCCACTAGGCTCTTGTGTAGACGCAAGGTATCTGATGCCGCGAGTGCAGGCGGCTCGTAGCGTAGGGAAACAATCACTTGCGAGAGACTTCTCTGGCGCGCGCTTCATCATCAAGCCAAAAGCTTCTAATATACGTCCAGTGATATCCGCGCAGGATGTATCGCATAGACTGTCCATATCGCTGAATGGAATCTTATTAAGGAATAGCTTGTCGTTCTCCACGTCAAAGGCAGCCCAGCCGCCATCAGGGTTCTGCATCCCGACAATCCACATAGCTGCTGCTATCACAGAGTCTGATCCAATGGATTCCACGTCATGTTTGATTTGGGCGAGAATGACTGCAGCGGTGTCGTCCACGTCGGGGTACCAGGTATTCTTGTATTCAAAGCTAAAGCCACCAGGTGGAAGTCCGGGTCGATATACACACCAATCCCCGTAAGGCACAATCAATTGTCGATTTCTGATCCATGTAATGGCCTGCTCGACGACGTGTCGATCGGGCGTCATGGCGTCAGAAAGCGCAATTGACATAAGGGCAGTATCCCACACAGGTGAAATACAGGCTTGAATTCGTTTACCCCGTTCATCTTCCCAGGCAAAATTCTCAATAGCTTGGATACCCAGCCGAACAGGGTCATCGTTGATCTTGTAGCCCTCAAGGATGAACGCAAACACGCTGCCATGCATAGGTGGGAAGATTCCCGCCCAGTCCCCGGTTACTTCCTGTCGATCGAGGATCCATTTAAGGCATTTTCTTCGAGCATAGGAGCGGAGGACCGGAACTGAGCGAAGTCCATTCAGCCAATAGAGCAATTTGTCCATACATGTAAATGCAACGCCAGGAAGGTCACCTTCGAACAACAAGCTCAAAAGAGGCAGGCCATATGACACGTTTTTGTTTGTGGCATCGAGCCATAACTCATCAAGATAGTCGTTTTTAGCGAACTTTCCATTTGGCAATGGAAAAATAGGTTGGTGATGGCAGATGAGTAACAGAGGGGCGATCGTACCCCGAGCCCAAGAAGCAAAGGTGTATATGTTGATCAGACAAATTGATGGAAGAAGAATAAGTTCAACAGGTAGCTGTGGCACTCCGTCCCAGGGAAACAACCCAAAGGTTGCTAGGAAGATGCGCGTAAAAACGCGGACTTTCTCAATACCTCCAGATTTAAGCACGAACTGCCGAGCACGCCGCATCACCACATGGCTGGAATCGAGGCCTAGGATTTTGAGAGCCATGTATGCCTCTGTTGTAGTGGATACGTCACCTGGATGCTCAGGAGCCAGTCCCCACGAGCCATCTTCGTTCTGCTCAGATAAAATGTGTCGACAATAGGCTGCGCTGTCGGCTTTCATATCCAGCCCTAAGGCCTGTCTAAGAAATATGTATTCCGCAGTTATCGTGACATTAGATCTGAGCTCGCCGCACCAGTGGCCATCGGAGTGAACTGATCCATTGGCATAATCTCTGGAGAGCTTCAAGGCATGCTCCACCTGGGAAGCCAAATGGCCGGAGTGGATCTTGTCTTCTGGAACTGCATTGGTGAGGTTCATATTCATCATTTGAAAACGCCCTCGAAGGATTGTCGACACCGGATTTCATTCTTAAATTATATAGGAAGAAAGTTTAGTGGGTATGCATACAACATACAACATATCCTGCCACGATAGGCCGGGCGAGAACTACGCTAATGTGTATGCACCTACTTGCTTTTTTCTGGTAATACTAAAACTAATCAATCTTACTAATCAATCACTATCATACAGCATATAGCCCTAACTATATTTCATCTATTGCATAGATTCGAAATAACACCATATATATACATGTGCCGTGCTTGGATTAGCGGAGTTCTCGCCCGGGCTGTCGTAGCAGGGTAGATCGATGTAAGGTCACTACAGGGCTAGGGGCGAGCACTAGTCATCCCTTGCAGAAACCCACATATTTGGGACCGGGGCGTGCAGGCTCAGCCGCGCCACTAATCATAAAGCAGGTTTAAAGGGAGGAAAATATTATCTATCATTTTATTTGAGCGATCAAGTGACACATGCAAGAAAAGCTGATCTGAGTACGGAGCACCACAACCTTATTACTCGCATACAATATCGTTGCATGAATGAACTAGAGGTTCTACTCTATCCAAATGAATAGTGCTTAGCTGAGTTTCTCCTAATGATGCTTTACTCGGCTGTTGACATTGTCAGAAATAGGGTGCTGGTCATGTCGCCGACCGTAGTTCTCTTAGGGATTGTGGTAATCCTTGTGATTTACCAGTTCACTCATATGCGAAGAATGAAAAACCTGGAACGACTTCTTGGGTGCGAGAAGCCGCGAGGCGAAAGTGACCGTTTCCCATACGATATATTGGGCATTGCAAAAGCGCTAGAACTGGGATATCACTTTCGCTGCAGAAGTTCCCTTTCATACACCAATAACTTATTCAGCCGATATGGAGAGACCTATACCTCACGCGTAATGGGACATCGGCTTATATTCACGTGTAACCCAGAGAACACGACACATTTGCTATCCACCGCATTCGCTGATTTCGATAGCTCGCCTCTGAGAAAACCGTTATTTGAACCGATCACACCGCATGGAATTTTCACCCTGGACGGCGTAGGGTGGAAGGCAAGTCGAGACCAGCTACGCGGCCGATTGGCAGATCTAAGAAAGATCATTGATTTGGATCAGTGCGAAAAGCATTTCCAAGCATATGTCAAGCATATACCGACGAATGGAACCGTCTTTGATGTTCAAGCTTGTAACTTTGCTTTGTCTTTGGACATCCAGACTCTTTTCTCGCTGGGGGAGTCTGTCGATGCTCTCAGCTTTACCCAATCTCAAGAGAAGAAACAATTTTTCGATGATCTCCTGTATGTTAAGAATCGCATTGTCCAAGATGGATTTAGAGGACCACTGCGTCATTTGTTTCCTAGGGGTCAATTCCTTCGCGCGTGCAAGAGAGCGCGAAATTTCGTGTTAACACACGCGACTCGAGAGGTTCAGAAGAGAAGAGGGGTGGGAGAGAAGATCGACTCAAATATGGAACGACAGGAGATCTCTCAATTTGCAGATCAAGCTTTGAGTATATTATTAGCAAATGACAGTATGAGCACTGCACTTTCAGGCATGTTTTATTGTCTTTCTAAGAACGAACACGTCGTCCGCAAGCTCCGTGGCAGCATTGTTGATACGATTGGCTTTGCACGTCCAACATTGGGTCAGCTTAACTCTCTTCATTATGTTCGTTGGGTTATCTTTGAAGGTAAGACTCTATTTTGAAGGAGAAACATGCACTCAACTGACATTTGAGGGGAAGCCCTGAGACTTTACCCTGCTGTTGTACTTAATGCAAGAGTTGCGAACAAACATTCTACCTTGCCAAGTGGTGGTGGGATTGATGGAGCCTCAGCAATTCTTCTTCGAAAGGGTGAAATAGTGGTGTTTTCCACTTGGGCTCAACATCGCCTGGGAGAAGAATTTGGAGTCGCACCGGAAGAGTTCCACCCAGAACGATGGGAACATCTGTCAGGGGATATGCCCGGGTTCATTCCCTTCAACAAAGGACCTAGAATATGTCCTGGTAGTACGTGTTCGACTTTAGTGGTTGTTTGTATTTCATCTAACCATTTTGCAGAGTATTACGCCATGACGATTCTCACATACATCATCGCCCGCATTTTTCAAACTTTCTCCACGGTGTCAGATTACAATGTCAAGCCATGGACCGAAAAAATCGCCATGACGTTCGAAAACGAGAATGGAGTTCTGATTGGATTGAAATAGCCACCTGCAATGCGAGATTTTGAGACAGACGATAATTCAAAAGAAGAAGAATTTGTAAAATACAGAGAATTTTCCATTATGCAACCGCAGTCCTCTCGCATTCCTGGCGGCTTCTATATATTATGAAAAAATTATTCACGATTCATTCCTGGTCAGCACCAGCAGCTGAGAGGGTCCATGCGGCGGTTAGGCAACCTTACTTGTTTTTGTGTTTTTTTTTGTTTTTTTTCCTTGCTGTCATTTGAATCTTAAGAGAACATTGTTCACCCGGTGGATACGAATGCTAAAGAGTTGAGACATAACGACTTGCCTATGAGAAAAAAAAAACCCCCCCAGTAACGTATTTCACAAGCAAGCCGCCATCTCCAAAACAGGAATCATATGCGATAGATTACAGCTTTATATCTCAACAATGTTGGTCTATAAGATCCTTTCCTTGTAGCCTATTACCATCTAGGTATTATATAGCCTCTTCCAGGAGTTTAGGAAATTTAAGTTTATTACTCATTCAGATATATTTTTATAGCGGTAATTCATGGTAATGTTTGAAAAGATGGTAATATAGCCTTTTGATTTATTTGAAAGTGATATATATACGGCTAATAACTCTTATAAATAGCTATCGACAAGTGGTCTGATAAAACAAACCCGTGATTGTTGGAATATAAAGTGTAGGAGAAATGTGGCATTTACTATGTGTTTTGGAGATGGCGGCTCGCTTGTGGAATACGTTAAGGGATGGATGCCAGCGGCCAAGGACTTTCGAAGGAATAAAAAGAAAAAGAAAAAACATACAACAGTGAGGATTCGCTGGTGGTCACCCACCCAACTACTAACTCACCGGCGTGTGGCTTAAGTACGGCTGAGCGGACGGGAAGCCCTGTTTTCCACACCCTATGGTCGTATGTATAAGGTTAATTGTAGGAGAGGATCATAGATTACTCGAAAGATCACCCAAAAGATGTGTTTACAAAGGATCCCCAACGTTGGTGGCTAGGCCTTAAAAGTACTTCAGTACCAAGCATATTTTGGTATCAGCTGCCACAAATTTCCCAGATTTGGTGTTAGCGAAAGTGGCCCGCGAACTCCTTGTCCCCGCAGGTGAGATAATCATTGGATCCAACACAAGGCAGTGGACGCAGGGTGGTTCCTCTTAGGATTAGCATTCAAAAATAGAATGCCTACAGCTTGAATGTCAATCTCACTGGAGACCTCATCTCACCGTCTGGAACGGTGGATGTGTTGAGAAAAACGGGCGGGAGTGACGGGGGTTTCCCCGGACAAATCATAAAGCTTGCCGTCCCCCACCCTCACTGGCATTGGACGCCTAGATTTACCGAATACATACTCCGTAGACGAGTTCACGTCAGTTGTCGATCCTTCACGAGAAGCCTAAAATACGAACCTACCCATCCCTTGATTGCGTGGTGTGATAGTTCGGTTATACTTCCTGGGGTACTTATGTGTCTTTATCCCTGAACTCCTCGCGTAGGGTCAAATGACAAATAATTTTCCTTTTTATTTTTATTTATATTTTTTAAATAGAAATCTGGGTCTATTGTCTCACGAAGATCATGTCTTATGTTTAATCATTGGTGTTCTTTATTCCGACATTTATTGCTTCTCACGGTCATTGTCCAAAGGTTGGTTTATACATGCTGAATATGCAACAATCACCCTAGGAGACAATGATCGACAAAGGAATCAAAGCTGTCATGCTAGGGTTCCCGCGCTGCAGTTTATGAACCCTAATTCACGAACTCCAGTTCAATTGGCTCAGATTGAGTATTCATTGATCGGATTTCTACTATCTCCGCTCTCGTGGCTTGGTTGAGGATGGCACATGGTAAAGTCTAAAAAATACAGTTGACAGCTGTAAAGTGTGGTTACCATAAGCAATATCGGTGCGCACGGTGCTTGCCATTCTGGAAGCCCCTGGGCAAACATTTTACTGGATTTTGCTCCAGATTAACCCATGTAATGACTCCCTTGGAAGCGTACTAGAGAGCCCTATCGAAAGAACGAATCTATCCGATTTCTTGATCTTCCGAGGTATAGCATGGTAATATTTACGGGATTTTCAGAGCTTGCAACATGAGTGGTAGGTACCTTATGACCTGCAATGAAGCGGGTCTCATTTTGGTGTCCGGGTCTATAGTTTGCATGCGAGTCAATCCGGTTCTAGTTCATTTGCGCCGCAAGACAACACCTCTTATCGAGTTGATACCAAGTCACTTCACATTATTCGACCGGCCAATGGGAAGCTTCCCACGGCTAACAGAGGTCAATGCAATGTTTGGAATGGTTGGAATGGTACCTATGTACCGAGCAGATCAAGGTAAGTTCTATATCCCCTTCTTTTCACATACCCACTCAGGGCAATCTTTAAATCATATTCACATATAAATTAAACCCAGAAAATCCGCAGTGTGTGATATATTTACGGTAGTAATTCCTACTATGAATACCAGCATCGATAACTCAATGGCTTGTCACACCCCTCTAGTGAAAGATGGTGAATTGAGCCCTTCTCACTTTGCGCTCATATCTATCGACATAGAGGGACGGCTTCACCTGAAGTGCTCTCAGTCGATTGCCAACACATTTCAAAGATGCCTATCGGTACCGTTTGCAGATACCTTTTTGAAAGCAGTCGCGATGTCAGGAGAAGTTGGTTGGTCAACAGGCCAAGGTGGGTTTCACATTGACTACATATAGGAGAGTACAATGAAATAACAAATTTTAGCACACCATGGCATCTCAAAATCGCCTGACCAGATCACACCAGTCGTTAGGAAAGGATCGCCACTAAGAACAACTCATATCGCCCCCTCTCACAAGATGGGCTTAGACAGCAAGGCGCACGCGCAAAATTTCCCACCAGCTTGTCAATTTCCGCCAGCTTTGGAGACAGAGCATAAAGAGACTTTGCCCCTATGGAACACAAATGGTCGGAAAACCACGAAAAGAAATGTCTGGAGTGTTGACAACAAAATGTGGAGGCCGGAAGCCATGATCCCTATCATAGACCCCAATTTGTTACGGAGGTATTATGATAAGGCATTTCGGAACCTACAGCAGACAAATTGCCGGGCCCTCGCGAAAGCCTACGTTAAACTGGTGGAGCCCCGAAAGCAAGTATACTTTCCGTACAACGGAAGGAAGATCGTCGCGGGGGTCACTCAGCAATTTGACCCTGAAGCGACCAAGCCGCCCTGGTGGCCTCCCGGAGTTAGTCACCGAGAGCCCGACCATCTTCTCAAAGAAGGTAAAAACTGTCCCTGATTATATGCCTGTCAAGTAACTGACTGTCAACAGAGCGCATCAGGCTTCTAATCCATATTTTGTGTGAGCTGCGTACTAGCCACTGTATCACAACCGAAAAACTACGGGAGATCGACCAGCCAATTCGCCGGTATATAATCCCAGCAGACCGATTATGCATCATAGATGAGATATATCGGGTTCGCCAGAAAGAGGTAGATTTTTTGGAGGGAAGGAGTGGTATGTTATTATGAGCTCTTGCCACGTTAGCTGCCTATAATCTCATGCTTAAATGCAGATGGACAGGGTCAGGTTTGGATTTGTCGCTTGAACCTACCTAAAGCAACAGAACCCACATTCAACTACAGCGAACATAACGGAGAGAGCAATCCTTTTGATACAGCATCCATAAAAATCTCAAACGCCCCATATGAATGTGTCGAGTCAGGCCCTACCAACAATACTCCACCGGCATTGCTTGCGCCTGTAGCAGATTTCCCGGCCCACTTACCTCTGGAACATTCCTATAATGTGCAGGGTCACTTTGCAGGGAAATTCTTCGCAGGACTAGGTCCCAAGACCATACGTGGCTTTGACACAATTTTGCCAGCATCACCGCCGCATCGTTTCAAGAGAAAACGCGAAAGCGAAGAGATGGCTCATGTCGACACCACCAGGCCCGCGGTATTCACACACAATTTCTCTCCTTCGGTCAATATTGATCTCCAAACCTATCCATTACAATACCCCGGCTCCTTTTGCACATTCCCTCAACAAAGCTTCGTGTCGCCTGGGCCTTTTACAGCGGAAGAATTAGCGCAGCCAAACGAGAGTCGTGATATCTCTCACCATTTTGGCTGTTGATAACTAGCAACCTTTGACCAGTCCAACTGATTTCCTGGGTTGCGTGAAGATCTGTGGTAATCTGGTGGCAGGTCTGCAACTATTTGTTTTTGGCTGTGTTGTCATTCAGAGGAAGATTGTTTAATATCGCTTTTCGATTGGCCAGAGTTAATGAAGAAGGCTCTCAACCGTGCATATTTGGACCAAATCGGCAGTGAGGTGGGCTGGAGGCATATTAAAGGATGTTAGGACGAGGCTAGCGCTATATAATTTAATAGAGAGGTTCACGAAAGTGATTGCAGCGGCAGTTGATAGACACAATCCTTATCTGCGACCAATACAATATTCTCAGCGCTGGTTCGCTGTAGACTGCAGACCTTAACAAGTAGAGGACAATCACGCCGGAAATGGCAAGGGAGTTGAGGTGGAGATCGGACGAGACCATGCTCGCTCTGAGTCCCCTTCCAAGAGATACAACAGAAAAGGTTTCAATTCTTAGAATATTACTCTACTACTCTATGGGTGGTCTGGCTATAATCCTATTCTCATACTAGATATTCCTCGGTAACTTCTATCAAGCATCCATTCAATATATGTCTCTGTAAGTTTATTACAACACCCGATGCAACTTATCAGTATCCAGAGCACTCAGAACCACCTTGCCGTATCTCCATTATGGCTTAAGAGTAAGCCGCTAGTCTTGGAATCCAGACGCTCAATCACCTGGAGGCCCTTCCTAACACTCTCCTCGGGCTGAATCTGCCCCTTGAGTTCAGGCTCGGCTGCCTGGAACTGCTTCAGCATGATCTCGATCCCTTGTACTACCTGGGAAGGCTTTTCTCCTGCAATGATATTAGTGTCGATAATTGCCCTGCTGTCAAAAAGGCCACTTACCCTCCCATGTATCAACCCATCCAGGGCTTAAAGCCAACACCTTGATGCCTCTAGGCGCAAGTTCTGCTGCGTACTTGGCGACTTGAACATTCATCCCGGCTTTTGCGACAGAGTACGCGACAGCATAGCTCACACCAGCCTTATTGATAAGACCCGAATCCGCCATGGCGCTGGAGATGTGCACTATCTTCTTCTGAACGCCCTTCTCTATCAAGGGTAGGAATGCGTTTGTCGTCCATATGCCGCCGTAGATACCCGTACTAAATGGCAGGTCGAACATTGCCCGAGTGGCCTGAGCATCAAAGGGGATCTGAGTTGGGTTGAAGGACATGGTGGCCATATCAACGGCATTGGAGTTGTGGATAAGCACGTCTAGTTTACCACCTGTGATGGCGGCTGCAGCCGAGGCAGCCTCAAGAATCGACTTTGGGTCCGTAACATCGCCTTTGATGACGTGCAAATTAGGATGATTGGAGGCAAGCTCAGATATTTCGGGCGATTCGGGGTTTCGCACAATAGCCAGGACCGTGTTGGTTGTATCGGCAGCGAGTTGCCGCACGAACTCGCGGCCAATGCCCTTGGAGGCTCCGGTGATGGCATATGAAGACATTCTTCGTTTTTATTTGAGTAAAGAAATGTATATTCCAGTGATGAATGTATTCATTTATTGCTGGTACGGTTGCGACATTCGTTCGACTTGCTTCCCTTTATACATACATTCGGGCGGATTACAAACCGTTCCGACCGGATGGTCCGGGTTTCCCGCTCCAACTTCCCACCAGCCGGGAGTCAACCGGGCGCTCCGTTTCCGTTTCCTGTTCAGCTCCTTATGCAACATCATGAACGCCACAATATCGTCAGTCAAGAGAAGGGCATGTGTGGCGTGCACGGTTGCGAAAGCGAAATGTACGCCACAGGCTGTCAACTTATGCCAGCGGTGCGCTCGTTTGGGAAAGTCGTGCACATACCTTGACCTTCCGCAGACGAAGCGGAAGCACAAGGCTGCGCCGAGGTAATCCTTCCCAACACATATAAAACTTGTGGTATTAATCATGGATGTAGCCGTGTGGAGTTGCTAGAGAAGAAGGTCGACCAACTGACGTCGCAGCTGGCTGCCTTAACCCGGCAGAACGGGCGGGCACCGCCCGATACTTCTAATCTGCTCACCAACAACTTGGGCTCATCTCGTGATTCCGAGCTGGATTCGGCAAACATTGCCGCGCTGCTAGACGTTGCTCAAGACCCGTCCCACGGCCTTGATCCGCCGACCAGCTCCATTCTAGAAGGCCAGCCGTCTATCGTAGACCAAGGGCTTTTGAGTGAAGCTGAGGCTGAACGCTTAGTCACGACTTTCCAGCTTGAATTAGTGCCCAAGTTTCCCTTTGTATTGATTGCACACGGCGAGACAGCCGCTCGACTTAGGGACCAAGAGCCTTTTCTCTTTTTGTGTGTTGTGGCCGCAACTATGGGCAGTGCGCACCCTATGCGCAAAACTGTCGCCGAGGAGATTATGAAGCATGTCACGTTGAGGGTTGTGGCGCGATCCGAGAGGAATCTTGAGTTACTCCGTGGTCTGTTGGTTCACGTCGCATGGTACTCATACCCCGCGGAGAGATATCACCCGCAACTTTTACTGTTGATTCAGCTTTGTGTTTCTATTTTATATGATTTGGGACTTCACAGAAAGTCTAGTACAAATTTGGATGAGCAGCGGGCGCTGCTTGGTACGTATTGGCTGTCGGCTGGGTGAGGTTCTCTGCGCTGGTAGATGTGGCTTCGACTAAATACTTTTTAGTTTATGTGGCACACTCGGCCGGCCGACGGTCATGAAGCATGATGATCGAACCAATGAGTGCATTGACAGTATATCCTCTACCGAGCATTTATCTGATCGGTGGGTTGCGCCATTTATACATCTACAGTCGTTCTTGGCAACAGTGGATGATGTTTACGCTTCGATACAAGCAAGCGGTGGAAGGGCTCTCGTTCAAGTTACGCGCGGCTCTCTGCAGCGGCAATTTGATAGCGTGAGGGCATGTGTAGAAAAGGACATCTCAAGCTGCCCTTCGTCAACAGGTGTGTCTTGGATCCAAACTAGTTGATGGGGATTGACCAACCGTTGCAGAGAATGCTATGCGCATTGAGATCAAATACGTGGAAATCCGGCTCGAGGAATTATCTCTTCGGCAGGAAATGTGGATTACAGAGCCTGCCAGCGCAGTCCGGACAACCATGCTAATGGGTATAATACAGCGAAGCAAGGAACTCATTCACATGATCACAAACCTACCAGTGTCGGAAATTGCTCAAATTACAATAACTACATGTGCTCGTATATGTGCCGCAGTGGGCTACATGCCTGCTGCAGTATTGACTCTTCTCAATCTCATTGCTACTCCTACGGACTCTGCCATGGAAGCCCAGGTGCAGGCCGTTGTGGATGCAGCAGAGTATCCCAATCTTGTCATAGAGCTTGCCAACGCACTGGAGACAAAATGTGAGGGAATGTCTGCTGCAGACAAAGAGGCGGACATTGTGGGGAGCCTTTGCTCCAAAATGCGGCTTCTAGCACGTTGTTATCCATATCAAATCAAGGCAATTGTTGGAAGTGCGCCGTCCCAAGACGCAAGGCAGGATACGTCCATGATGACTGTTCACGCCAATGATGTTGCTATGACACCCCAAGTCTGGCCAGATGGGTCTGCCTACGGCGATCTAGGCGACATGTTCCCTATCGAAGACATCCAGTGGGATTCTCTATTGAGTGATTTCATTGGTTTTAGCTAGAATACCTGATATGTTGCTTTGTGAATCACGTCACAAGATAGTGGATAAAATATTCCATGGTTTCATGGCAGATGGTTAAGGTTTCCATAAATACGCTCCCATAGTTCATATTGCACAAGAATTATTCCAGTGAATCGTTAATACACATCGTGAGGCACAAGAAAATGCCCAGGTGTAACGGTCTGAGAAGTGTGATCATTCAGTCAGTTCCACACACGATACTAAGCTGCATAGTAATAGCCTTCCGATGTTGGTAAACTTGGAATATGAAAGCAGGATGTTCGTATGATCCTCGGCCCCAACTGGTGTAACGGATTATCCGGTACGGGACCGGGTGGCCGGAGTTTCCGGTTGAAAAATCGCGGATATTTAGAGACATATCAACCTTGGAATAGCCTGATATAAATGATCCATTAAAAAGGTGCATCTCATATACATATATATTAGTCGCGCGTGAGGCTCTGCTAGGCCACGTCCGGCACGATACTTCTAGCTTGATATTTCTAATTCGCTCTACTTCGGTAGCCATGATCTTCTTATACATAAAGATCAAAAAAAAAAAAAAAACGATATCAAAGGCGCACTTAATTCACGATTGTAGATATATTAACATCAAACACCTTGACAGCCAATATCAACCACTAGAGATCAGGAATTGTAGTTTCGTAATCTAACACATCGGGCTGCTTGACCTCACCAACAGCCAACTTGCTCCAATCATCTTCAAACCCCTCCTCAACATCAGGGAACGGACCCAGAGGCGTGATTGCCTTTGGATTGATATCCGCATGACTCTTGGTATACTGTATCAAGTCAGTTGGTGTCAATTACTACCAAAAGGACGCGTCAACATACATTTTCTTTGATATGTAGAAAGTTTGTTGAGTCCCTCGCCGCTTTAACATTCCAATACATGCCCTTGAGCCAGTTATTCAAAACTGGATAATCATGTCGGATAGTACCTAGGTTGCACTTGAAATGTTGCACATACACCGTGTCAAAACGGATCAATGTTGCATACAACCGGATATCTAGCTCGGTTAAATCCCGACCGAGCACAAATGGGCCTCCATTATTTGCAATGATCTTCTCGAGCTTGTTCAAGGCCCCAAACACAGGAATGACGTTTTTGTCATAATCCTCCTGCGAGGATGCAAAGCCTGCTTTATATACTCCAGCATTGACATCAGATTGCATCCATAAGGTGACTGCGTCGATTTTATCTCGCAGATGGATCGGGTAGAGGTCAATTGTAGCGAGCGATGGTGGGAGTAGCTCATTGAACGCCGTGGGGAGCCATCGGAGAAGTTCAGCACTTTCCTAACGACGAATATCCGGTCAGTACATATACTTGCCCAGACTCGCTAACTAGGTTTTGTACATTGCAAACCGCTCTCCCCGCCTTCTTATCCCACAGCAACGGCACCGAATACCGCCCCTTGTAATCCGGATCGTCTCGGAAATAGACTTTGTGCAAATAGTCTTCACCAAACAGGTGATCAACTGTCGCACCAGGATACTCATCATTCGAGGCCGGGAACCGCCATCCTGGCCAACCTTTGGCGTCACCCTTAGGGTATGGCTTGACAATGCTGATGTCAATGAATTCGGTCAAGCCTTTCAGATGACGGACAAAATTTACGCGGTGGGCGAAGGGACAAAAGAGGCCGATATAGAGGTGGTAACGGCCTTTCTCGGCGGGGAACTCCTCACTTGGAATGACGCCATGCCAGCCGTCAGCAGTTGCGGGCTCATGGATTGCGGTTGGGAGTGTCATGGCCGATGAAATTTTGAAATAAATGAGCAATTGGTTTTCAATGTTGACGCAGATAATTTGGGAAGTGTTAAGTTGTCTAAATGTAGGTATCCAGGTGTTTAGGTCTTTGATTGATAACGTTGTGCGGAACAGTCCCGCTAATATGACATGACACCATCATCGGGGGTTATGAGCATCGAAATACTAATTATCTTTGGGCTCGCGTCAACAAATTTCATTTAGGTATATCTTTTTGCTCACGTATCTCGTTATAACCATCATGACCAAACTTGTTTATAACATATAGGTACATGTATATGTTAGTATTTTATAAATGGCTCTTGTCTTGTCAAATATGTAGCCACTAACCAGCGTTTTCCCAGCACTTGGACTTCATATCTGATCGCATTCCCCACACGCTTGGTCTTGTTCGATCCCTGATTATATATAGAGAAGTCGCTTACAAAGTATGCTTTTTTTTACTGCATTTACATATGTCTCAAAAAACCAGCTAAAAGAAAAACTTAAAAGATATATGAAAAGACAGTTAAGACTAGCTAAAAAGACGTCACTAACGTGGCTGACTATTCTTGTGTCCTTAAAATTGCCCCTCGACGATATTAGCCTTGGTGTGAGTCGAGCTTCCCACCAAAATCGAAGCCGGTGACTTGCGCGATGAAGACGTAAATAATTCACCACGCTTTGAGCACTTCTCGACAAGGGTTTCTCCGTCTTTCTCTGCTTTCTTGCATATTTCTCTCTCTTCGTATTCTACGCGCGCGCCATTTCTTCTCGCGACCCAGGCTCGGTGCTTTTTAGACCTTGGACTGCATATGATGCTTCTTATTCTTCAGCAAGAGCGCACGAGGCAGACTCTTACCACAGTGCGGTCTACACCAAAGGCCTCGTCAGAGCCTGGATTATGCGTTGGTATTGCATCTATCGCCCGAAATAGTGTACTATATTTCAAAACTGCCGTGGGGACTGTCCTAGAAGGTTCAAGCGAAGAAGAGCGCGCCGACATCCATCTTATATTGTTCATTGCACAAACGGATTTCTCTCAGTATTCAGCATACTCAGAGCCTTAGCTTCATGAACTGCCGGACCAAGTGTTGCTATACGGCCCCGCAGAGGTAGATGTTGATCACATTTTATCCCTTAAGACAGACACGGCAAAAGTCTCAGGGCGTGAAAAGGCTCTCTTTGATTACACATATCTGCTGAAAGCATATAAGGCAGCCAATACCCCGTATACTGTCATGCTTGAGGACGATGTCTTTGCTCTCGATGGATAGTATCATCGCACCCGCAAAGCTTTGGCGTCTGCAAAGAAGCAGACCGAGGAAATCGGAGCATCGAACTGTAGGTTTCCCAAGGACTGTTTTCAACCATTGATGTCATCTTTGAAGATCATTTATAACTGACTTATCTGCTTGGCCTAGGGCTCTATCCGTCTCTTTTACACTGAAGAACTACTCGGCTGGAACTCAGAAGAATGGCCCACCTATCTATTTTACTCGATTCTTATGGTTCTGTTGGTCGCTTGTACTTGCCTAGCATCAATAGGCTTATCAAAAGGCTCAAAAATAGGCTCATTAGGGTTGGATTGGGAATAACTATGTGTATTATTACAGCCTGGTGCTACCTTCTAATATTGCCATCAGTAACTAAGCTAGCGAATATCCGGCAGATAATACTCGAAAATCAAAGAGACTGACTGTATTCGACATATCGAAACCTGCATACTACCAATCCATGGGCTGTATACGACGTGAAAGCTTGGAATGAAGTTCATCATCGCCATACAAAAGACCAGTATCCGCACCTTCGTAGAGCACCTCAAGTTCATCTTTTAACTTCTGTGCAGTTTCAGTTGAGAGCCACATGTATCTCTCCACCCTTCCCGCCTTCGCTAGCCCGCCTCCATATGTACCTGGAGTTTCTTCGTGTTCATTTCCACAGGGATATTGCCCATACCCGATCTCCATGTCATGGTAGCTGACAGTGTGATCAGTGAGAGCATCTCTAGGCTCCAGATCAGTCTGTAAGCCTGGTGCAGTGTAATCAAAGTCCTTGAAGTCGTGAAAGTCCGGGGGGTTTATGTCGTGCTCCTTCATGATTTCCTCAAGGTATTGTAGGTAGAATGGATTTTCACTTCGCCTGGCAGCCACATACAAGGATTTGGTGTAGGGGGGCTTCAAACTTCGGAATATCGATTCGTAATCACATGTTATACAAGTGACCGCAATTTGGTGTCCCATGGACGGACACTTTCGAACCAGATCAGTTAAAGTATTTTCAGAGGGCTTCACGGGCCCCCATATAACCCACGGGAGGCAGTCAGAGTCATCGTCGATACCAGAGATATCATTGTTCATTATCATGCGGGCATTGATCGCAGTGCGAATCTCTCTGCACTCCCGTTCATTGCCTTGGCCAAGCAATTTACCAGGGAGGATAGCACGTCCAGGGTTTGTTTCCAGCTGATAGGCCCACCATCTAGCGAAGGTTGTACTGTGATAAATTCCACGAAGAACACAATTGTATTCAATTTTGGTTCTCAGCCTGCGTGGGTGCATTAGTCGACTGTATCGATCCACATTGCCTTCCCACGCGGCCATCTGTGTCTGAAGGCGCTTTTCGAGAACTGGGAGATCAGGCGGAAGAGGCATCCACAATTGATTAGACTGGCCTGGGCCCAGCTTAGCGTAGTCCTCCACTCCGCTGATATCCTTCAAGCTGATATCTTGCAAGCCGATAAATCCATCTTCCTCGATGTCAATATCATCAGCAGTCGTCTCTGGTAAATTTTTACCAGGGTAAACTCGCTGCCCCAAAGCCCATCTGGGCTTCATATCACCATTCAAAAACGCAGGTGTTCGTAGGGTTTTAAGATGAACGGATCGAGAGAAATCTTCCATAACAACATATCGTTGGGGGGCGGACATGATGATCTTGTAGATTTCGGCGTCTTTATCAACTTCGCGGGATTCTTCCGCAATAGAAACGTCAGGCAAAAGGTCCAATTCTTTGTAAAGATCTGTGTAGCATGCTGCAGCACACGCTCGGCCTACTTGATATCGCATAGACGGATACTGACGGGCAACTTCGCGATATGTTTCTTCTGATGCAAGCTCGGGATACCATATACAGTACGGCTGAGTGGCAGGATTTTGCATATCGGGGATTATATCACTCATTATCAGGCGAGCATTGCGGGCGCGGGAAAATTGATAGGCCTGACCATCGTCGCCGGAGCATAGCTCAATAATTGCTGGGCTTGTTGCAAATTGAAGTGAATCACGAATCCCACGAATGACTGCTCTCCGATACCAAAACGAGCTTAGATCGACGGGGACTCCCTCCCCCTTTATTGCCGCAGCACATTGATCGGGGTCGCATGCAGGTATAGGTTTGCCGGAAGAGTCAGTTGCCTGCCTTTTCGGTAAAACGATAGAGTATTGGCTCATAAAGCTGTTACCAGAATGTTCGGTAGCCGCCATTAGGAAATAGTACGGGCAGTGGTGCCAGTGGCGCTGGTGCTGCGTGCAGTGACAAGTGGGGAAAATCAAGTTCAATGTTGAGGAAAAGGAAGGGGAAAGTCAACTTCTTGAAGGACAGGATTATGTTTCTACCAGCTAGTATTTATAGGCGAAGTAGATCGCACTATTATTTGAATTGCATCAGTTTATTTCCCGCACTTTTTTTTTTTTTTTTTCTTCTCATTCTCCACTCAGCTTTGACATTCATTTGCTCCTGGTGCAGTGGTGCCCCATCATATGCGACGGGAACTGTACCGTAAACTTACAAGCTCATACACAAACTGGGCTGGATGTATATGAACCCATAGACAAAGTTAAGTACGTCGCACTGATTCTCATTCGAAACTATTAATTTCATTTTAACTGCGAATTCTTTCAAAATTTTCTCAAAATTGCATCCCCCCAAAAAATAAAAATTCAAAAACAGTTACTCTCGATAGATGCCCCTGACTCCAGACAGAATTCGCGGTTTTTAGAGAGGGAGATTCCATGCTGGCCATCACCACAGATTATGGATAATATGTAATAAAGTGTTCACGATAGCTTCAAAATTACACTCATTTGCGCCTCTTGGGTTCTAAATGAGGACTTTTTTACATGTGTACGTGGTAGATGGTGATCTTCCTGTTGTTTTGGTGTGGGTTTTGCTAACTAATTCCTATTACTTAGTGACACTGATCGTGCAACTTGAAAGCTAGTAGGATCTTAAAACCCTAATAAATTATGTATTTCCCAGTTCACCAAGTATAAACGTCAAATCTCTTGAGGATCAACACTCATCTATCCAAGATTTATCCTCCCAAGCGGTGATCTCTTGCCAATGGCTAACACTCGAGTCGCTCGCTGAAGGACCATTGGTACTGGGTAAAACGTCCCCAAGCTCATTGGCCTATGTATCAACATGCAGTTAGTACCTCTAGGGCTTATAAGATGAGACCTTGAAAGAAGGGAAACTCACCCAGGTATGAAAATCAACTCCACTTTGAAGGTTCTTCCCTTGAATTTTCGCGGTGTTGAGTGGATTCTTAAAGGTTGCGGGAAAGTTAATTGTTTGGTATTTGGATATCTTGTCTTCGCCTGGAACTCCGGTCTCTGCGTCGTCCACGGTCGTAACAGTGGTACGGGTTGAACCGTCCTCAGTTTTTTGGAGATTCCAACCATCGTCTCTGGATAGATACTTGATCAGCCAGTTGTTTGTCGAGGCTTTCCTGAGGAGTATTATTCGTCGACTTATAGTGTCGGCGCGATCAAGACGTGCGGAAACATCCCCAATACTAGACTTCTTCGCATCATTTCTGATCGCCGCCACCTTTTCGATGACTTTCTCGATAAATCGAGTATGGATTTGATTGCTTCCACCTGTCTTGAGGTAAGGGCTGACTTTATCCATCTTAATTTGCCCATTGAGACGTTTATCAGTCAACTCCTGTTCCGCCCTCTCAACATCATCCTCAGAATCTGGCGCAGTTATATCAGGATGAGCCACGGTCACCGTGTTTTTGCCCCCCAATCTTAGCATGAATTCAGAATAATCAAGAGGATAATTTGTCGGCTTCTCCGAGCCGCCAACAGTTATCAGATGTCGATTATCTAGCCCGGGCGTGAGAAGTTCTGTTCCGTCCTTCTTCAAAAGGAAAGGAAGTATGAGCTTTTGTGTTTTGTAACCCTCAGTTTGACTATATTGAAATACCGAAAACTTAGTCATGGACAACTGGAATATTGGCTAGATGCTCTGAGAAGGCGAAAATCTCTCGGTGACAACGTACCCAATGATTTTATAGGCCTCCCACAAAAACAGCCTTTCGTACGTATGAGCACGATCATTGAGCCCGTTATCAATGATACCTTGAATATCGGCTCTTCGATGGTGTGTGTGCAAATGATGATGAGAACCGGAATGGGCTGTATAACTTAGGCTCGTAAAATGAACAAGCCACACTATAACAAGGCCTAGAATAGAGAACCCAGGCACCCTGGAGAGCATCTTGGTAATCCCAGAGTCTTGATTGATCGGGGGAAAGTCTTTTTCAAAAAGAGAGCTCAGTTAATCAAAAAAAAAGCAGACGGAACAGGCTCTCAAGTTCTTTTATGGGACTCTCCTTTCCCACCTTTCCCAAATGAACAGTCCGAGCATATTAATTTCTCCCTGTACTCCGTACCGCAAGATATTCTCAAAAATTCGGTCTCTTGGCAAGTCCACGCCGATCCTGCTATTCCATTCCGTACTCCATACAGAAGCCACGCTCATTTTACTTCCGAGCCGTGGCCTTGGGAAATTTACCAAACTATAGAAGGGAAGCTGCATTGTTTCATGTACGTGCTAGTACTGGAAGGCTGGGACGCCAATACATATTATTATTGGTGCTCACGGCTAAGCTAGCATAAGCGCTAAATTAGTTCTTTGGGTTGGGTTTCATGTTGCTAAATTCGATAGTATTTTGCGGGATCTGCACGGCGTAAATGCTTGACCAGGGGGCTTGCTCTTCTTGGCATTCCGCGACGCCCAGAAGCTTGTATGTACGGCGTACAGCTTTGGATATGGAATCAGCGTCAAGCTCTCCAAGTGTATCATTTATGTATCAATTATTAATGGCATTCACTGATTCACCAGAAGAGAGATTCCCGATAAGAGAGGGGAGGCATAGTATGGAAATTAACTGAAGTACATACTCCCCTGAATGAGAATGACTCTCTTCAAGTTCAGCCTTGATGTAAGAGAATTATCCAATGAGATTCAGACGTCTTAGATTCATTAGGCCCCCGGGGCCATGACTCAGGGAACACGAAAATAGCCTGTGCGGAAAATTTTAAGATTAATCACCTACTGGTACATGAAGTGTAAAACAAGCCTCGGGGATTGGGGCCGCGGGAAGGGTCCGTTGGAGGGTCAGCCATTCGCGCACCATGTAGAGACTCCGCTGTCTTCTAATTGGCTCTTCTAAAAAAAATCTCGATAAGGGGGCCGGTTACCCGCGAAGCACCCACCTTAATTGCTACGCGGGGGCCAAAATGTGGGATGGGCATCGGGGGCCATTCTCGGACCCACTCAGAGATTGATAATAATACAGCGCGAGGCTGTATCATAAGATTTTTTAGACCAATGCTCGGCAAAGCTTGCATGCAGGGCCTAGTACTGTGCCGTCTTGATCTTGGAGGCGAAGATTGCATTGTCAAGCCTGAAGTAGTCGTCTCCAGATGTCCACCAAGCCCCTGACTAGGACCCTGGCTACGGAGTAAGACCCTGACTACATGGAAATACCGAGATACATCAAGCTAGTAGTTTAGGAAAAAGCAAAAAAAGATCTAGAATTAATGAAACAAACCTGCGTACTCCATAGTGAAATCCGCTTCTTAGTGGTAATATTGTGATTCAACTGTTACTGGTATCACCAAATCCTGTCGAGGTGTGAAACACGGGAACTCATGTGCTCCGAGGGTGCCCCGTCCCACATCGGTTCAAGTTCGTGGTCTACAAACTTGTGAGTGGCCATTCAATAACGAAGTATAAGTATTTGCAATTTACCTTGCATTGGGTAGTGATGGGTATATCTTAACATCATCTCCACTGTCCTTTCAAGTTCCTTTTCATTTTCCAACTATCATATCGCCTAGGCAGTCTTTCTCTTCATTCTTTCATGATGAAGACTGCCATAGGGGCTTTCGTTCCTTTCCTCTCTTTGAACTTCCTCATTACCCTTCCTTCTCTTACCTATGCCTCGCACAACAAGTCATCAAGCTCAGGTATTTTGCCTGCTCCAGGTTGTCCAGAGTCCTGCTCAGTTGTTGGCTCAAATCCGAGTAATTGGACCTGGATTGTTGACCAAAGTTATTTGAGCATCTGTGAGCAGCCAATACTATTTGACTACCATATCTACCGGGACTCGAGCTCCAACTTGGTTGTACGCTCTTGCGCTGTCCTTGAGCCTTTCCCCGATCAATCTCAAACCTCGAGTTTGCAAGAAATGAAATGGAGTAATGTCAATAGCAATGATTCAGAAGTCGTCAAGCAGTCATTGGTTGTATCGAAGTCTTGCGGGGCATCCCAGCAAACTTCAGATATTACTGTTCAGGTGGGCCCTGCTGGTACTATCAAGGCTACCAAGGATTCCAGTACCGCAATCCAGAATCTAGCATCCTACATGACTAATGCTGCCTCATGTGGCACTACCATACTTCTGTCAAAGGCTGGCGACTCTGTGGCTGCGCTTTATGCCGGTGCAGATGTCTATCAAAGCGATGTTGGACCATACCTTCTCAACTTCAAGAAGCAATTTAAAGCTGGATCCCAGATAATCCAATCCTGCGACTCAAGCTCGAAGCGAGATAATACCATTGGTGTTTATATTGTGAACTCATTGGATGATCTAGAAGGTATCGATCGCGCCTTGCAGACATGGTCCAAGGGTAGCTGCCTTGACTCTGACGGTCATGACTTGATCCAATCAAAGACCACCATGCTTGGTGTCTCTGAAGTCAGCAAGCGATCAGATATCTCCTCATCGCTCGAAGGTTTCCTAGCCCCTCGTGCTGATTGTAAGACCATCGAAGTCAACCAAGGAGACGGTTGTGCGTCATTAGCAACCCGCTGTGGTATATCAGGAGACAATTTCGACAAGTACAACACCGGTACTGATCTTTGCAAGAATTTGAAAGTTAAGCAGCGTGTCTGCTGCTCAGCGGGATCTCTGCCAGATATCATCCCTAAGAAGCAGTCAGATGGCACTTGTGGCACTTATACTATCCAGACGAACGACAACTGTGCTGAAATTGCGGCTCATTTTGGTGTTACACAAGATGATATCTATGACCTCAACGAAGACACTTGGGGGTGGGCTGGCTGTGGCACGAACGATCTCAAAGCAGATCAAGTCATCTGTTTGAGTGAAGGCAATACTCCTATGCCGTCTCCATTGAGTAATGCTGTTTGTGGTCCTCAAATGCCTGGTACCAAAGCTCCGTCGGGAGATTATACTGGTTGGAATCTTACTAAGCTCAACCCTTGTCCCCTGAATGCTTGTTGCTCAGGTTAGGGCTTCTGTGGCACCACAGATGAATTCTGTACCGAGTCACCCGCCAGGACAAAAGCCCCAGGGGCCTTTCAAAGTGGCAAAAATGGATGCATCTCAAACTGTGGCACATACATCGTCAACAATGATGACGCTCCAGAAAATTTCTACCATGTTGCTTATTTTGAAGTCTTCAACCTCAAGCGCGAATGTCTGAACATGGACGTCAATGAAATCAGCGATACATCCTTGACCCATGTGCACTTCGCTTTTGCTGGATTGACTGCTGATTTTGATGTTTCCTTTGACAACGATGAGTACAAAGCGCAGTTTGAAAAATTCGTCAAAAATGATGCATCCTATAAAAGGATTCTTTCGTTTGGAGGTTGGGCTGAGTCAACATCCGCCTCAACTTTTCAGCGTTACCGTGATGCCGTCAAGTCTGGAAATCGTGAGAAGTTCGCTAAGAACATCAAGGCATTCTTCGAGAAATATGATGGACTAGACGGTATCGACTTTGATTGGGAGTATCCTGGAGCCACTGATATCCCTGGCGTACCTGCAGGTTCTGACAGTGACGACGACAATTACCTTGGTTTCTTGAAGTTGATGAAGAGCACTATTGGTGATAAGTCCCTTTCAATTGCTCTACCTGCTTCATATTGGTACTTGAAGACATTCCCAATCGCTAAAATGTCTGACTATGTTTCATACTTCATCTACATGACTTATGACCTTCATGGCCAATGGGGTGAGTTTATAAATATCATCCTAGGTTCATTGTCGATGAAGCTTACTAACGATATGAATTTTAATAGATTATAATAATGCCTACGCAGATGTGGGCTGCCCCAGCGGAGACTGTCTTCGATCGCATGTCAACAAGACCGAGACTATAAACTCTCTTGCGATGATCACCAAGGCTGGTGTGCCTGCAAGCAAAATCTTTGTTGGAGTTTCAAGCTACGGCCGTAGCTTTGGTATGGTCGACCCAACCTGCACTGGTCCTATGTGCAAATACGGTGGCGCTTTTGATGTTTCCACTGCCGAGGCTGGAAGTTGTACCAACACTTCTGGCTACATCTCAAACGCCGAGCTTAATCTCATCATGCAGGGTGTGGACTCGGGTGCTAGTAATTACAAGGGCCGCACGTGGTATGATGAGGATTCCGCTTCAGACGTAATGATTTACGGTACTAAAGGCGAAATCACTACTTGGGTGGCATATATGTCAGATGACACCAAGGAGGCACGTATTGATTGGATCAAAGGACTCAACTTTGGAGGCGTCACTGATTGGGCTATCGACCTTCAAGAATTGAACTTGGGTGTTGACCCCGACTCCGATGAAGCTCAGGACCTTGATCTTCCCGCTCTACCTACGGGATGTTCTTCTGCCAATTGGCCGGACAATCTGGAGGACTTGAGGAACAAAATTGATAAGATTGATTTAGGCTGTCGGGCCCAGGCTGTTGTTTGGGTTTTGATCAAAATTCTTCCTGACATCCTGGACAACTATCAAAGTGCAGCTGACAATTATGATGAATACGTGAGTTTCAAACCCCTCGTGGTGCTTTCGCATTCAAGCTAATATGCCTCTAGTTCAAATACTATGCCGAATGGGTCAGAAACGGCATCGATGATTCATTACCACTCTTTATGTGGAGTGATGGACAAAATTACATGGACTGCAAATGGTCATCTACATCGGATGGCAGTGGCGATGCGGCCTGTACAGAAATGCACGTCCCAGAAGGACAACCAGGACAAGGTGAAGTCAGTATCACATATACAGTACGTGATGAAGATGGCTTTTATAAAGCCCTTCAAGCCGACTATGGAATTGAGAAGGACTGGATTGTGTGGAAAGACATATACGCAGACCCTGAGAATTCTCTTACCTGTCCTCCTTGTCCTAACCTTACTAAAGACTGCAAACCTTGCACTGGCCATGGTGTGACTTACCACAACTGGCCAGTAAAGGCTGCGGACGATGACATCGATGTTCCTAATCTCAAGGACATCATCGACACTGCAGTACCTAACATCACGACACTTCAAGATGTCATTCTCGGGAGTTTCATAGAGATGCGTATCGGGGCCATGGATGCCTCGGACGAAGACGTCGCTACCGCGCTCAGTATGCCCGTTTTTATGATTGCAGACACAACTGAACAAATGAAGAACATCACGAAAATCGGCAAAGAACAGGAAAAAGCTGATGATGAAGCTAAAGTCAGTTTCATCTTAGACATTGTCAGCATTGTTCTTATGATCATTCCGTTCGCTGGAGAGGCAGTCGATGCGATTGGTGGCGTGGCGAACGTTGCCCGTGCGGCTTATGTTGTCGGCGAGGCTGGCAATGCAGCTCTTTCTGTCTATGATATTGTGAAGAATCCATCTTCAGCTCCCTTCGCCATCCTTGGTCTAGTCATGGGAGCTGATGCCTCAGTTGTTGGCAAGGCTAGCAAGACGACTTTCACCAAAGCTGCCGCTTTCCGGAATGCGCTGACCGAGGATACTCTGAGCTCCTTCAGCAAAGAGTTCCGGGCGAACGATGCGATTGTACAGGATATTGTTAAAGCTTGTAAAAGGGCTTGATGCTCATGTTGTGGAGCAATGCTAGCGGCTTTTATCTCGAGTCGGGCAGGCTAGTTAATTATAGAAATATCACTACTTGAACTATTCCTTTTCCAAATAGCAATATCACCCACTCTTTATGTAGAAAATAGTGCGAGAAATGATGCTAGTGCTTGAGACACGGAGATTCAGTGGACTCGGACTCTGACTTTAAACATTTGAAGAGCAGACGTGCCTGAGGCGTACTAGAACCTTGGAAGCACCTCTTACACCTCGACCCCCTTTGTTTCTCGTCTCTCCCTTCGGGATAGATTAAACAGAGTTATTAGTATCTTCACACTCTGCATTTCGTTCGTGTTTCTTCAATCTTCAATGGTGCTGATAGTGGGAAGACCGATTCAAGTGATGCTCTCCAAGATGGTGCAAGGGTGTGTAAGACTGGGGATCAATTGATGTGGATCTCCAGTCCTTCCAACGTTGCCAACACGAGGGCTATTTCTAAAATGCCCAAAAGTCAGTTTGACCGTTTTTCTCCTCTTCAATTCGCGCTTATAATTTGAATTGGAATCACCATGGGGGCCGGTAGGCTGCCCCTTTTAGCCGGGTTTGGAGATCTAATTATCGCAATATTATCAATTGCTTTCTCTCCTCTAACTGGCCTGATCATTCGAACGAGTGTCACATATAACTTCCACTTCCATTTCTTCAGCTAAAAGTGTTTGATTCTGTTCACGATATCACATACCATGGCTCCTTCTCTAGTGCCGGTATTGAGCATTTTTATAACATCTTCTATGTGCTAGAGCCATCGGGCTCCCGTCGCTTTGCGCCTCCCGTGCCATTGAAGCATGTGGCTGGGACTGTAATCGATGCTGCTACCCCCGGTGCTTGGTGTCCACAGAGGCTAGGTGATATCTTACCGTTCACCAGTCAGGTCACAAATATTGGTGAGAATTGTCTCAGCCTGCGCATTGCGAGAGTTCGGGGTGTTAAGAGCGGGGATAAGATTCCTGTCGTTGTGTATCTACATGGTGGTAAGTTCTATTGATATTATAATCAGATTGATGGACTCGATCAGGCTATTTTAGCTGTCTCTTCTGTGTAGTAGTTGTGGTAAAGATGACTTTCATTCAGGTGGTCATGCTCTTGGTTCCGGGGAAGAGATTCTCTATGAATTTGATGGCTTTGTTGGTCAGGCCATGCGCGATGACCAACCCGTGATATTTGTCGCGATTAAATATCGGCTCGGTCTCTTTGGATTTGCTACTGGTGAGGCCTTCATTAATACTAAGCATACCAAAGCTGGATTAAGGGATCAGCGTGCTGCGTTAGAATGTGAGTGTTCTAACATCTCTTTACCAGCTTAGATTCATCAGGATTCATCATATTGGCTATAGGCATTATAGGGGTGCGAGATAATATCGATGCATCCGGTGGTGATCCTCAAAGAGGTAAAAATACCGTTTCAAATTATTTCACTTCTTTTAGAGCTATCACAACGATACCATAATCACCGCGATAGGACAGAGTGTCAGCGCACTTGACATAGGTCTTCAATTAACTGCCTTCGGAGGCGAGCAGGCTGTTCCATTCCAACAAGCAGTGTAAATATCCAAGGCATATGACAGTTTGCATACAAAATTGACTACAACAGATTCATGGTTAACCTCAAACTTGCTTAGAATGATGTCCGGTGGCCCAAACCTAAATTTCAATACCAAATCACCAGTAGTCGCAGAGACCACCGCATTGATAGCAAAACAGCTAGGCTGCACTGAACAGGACAACGACCAATCTGAAGAAACAATCAACTGTCTCCGCCAGGTGCCTTTCGATGCTATATCCAATATCTCTGTTCCAATGGCTCGCTCTGCTCACCAAAGGGGTTCTTTCATCCAACCTACGATAATGACTTCGTACGAGATCGTCCATCAGAAATGATGCTTAGCGGTCGATTCAATAAGGGTATCCCGAATATAATATCGTGGGTCACGAATGACGGGGCATAGTATGCGCCTCCGTCCGCGTAAAGCGATGAGTACGAAGGAACATAGCGGCCAGTGATAAATGTGAAAATGGACTCCCCAACACTATATCTCACCTCTGCGCATTTTCAAAGGTGGGCATTTTTTAAATTACATCTTTACAACTGTACATTGTGGACATCAAGTGGTATTTGAATGATTTCCATTTATGCCTACATTTTGCCATGTGTACACCGATTTACATATTTCCCCGGGACATCTCACTATATGAGTTCGTGTGGAATTTCTTTTTATCTCGCCCTAGTTAAAGCGACAAGTTGTCAACCGTTTTGGTCTTTACGTTTGGTGTATACAGCAGACAAACAATTTGGCTACAGAGTTCCCGTGCAAGTGATATATTCCAGTGTGAGACTAAAAGATCAACCACACAAATATTTCACACTGCAGTGACCTTGACAGGTAAAGTTCATTCCACGGGACTGCTGACAGATGGCTATTGGCCCGCAGTATTCAGATCGGTGCGCCAACATTGATATTTGCTCCGTACACCGGTCGCGAGTCCTCGGTGAGCAACCACACAATTGTCCTGGCCACATCCTCAGGTTCAATCAACGGCAGACCATGCTTATCGTATAATTGCCGTATCTCATCTAGGCCTTTAGCACTTGGCTCGAATTGCGGAAGCAGCGCAGTATTGGTGATACCTACGATACGCGAAAATGATTCCACATTAGTAAATAGGCATGCAATCGTTTCAACCTGAAGTTCCAAATCTCCCCATCTTGCAAACAGACATTCTTACCTGGAGAAACTGTGTTGACTCTGATTCCAATGGAAATTGCATCTGGTGCCACACAGGCGGTAAAATAAGCTGCAGCGCCCTTCGATGTCCCATACGCATAGACATCGGGGGTGTGCGCAAAAGCCGCAATGCTGGCCACGTTGACAATACTGCGATCTCGTCTGGGAAGGCCTTTCATGGCACGCACCTCCGCGCGGGTGCAATAGAAGATGCCGTCCAAGTTGACACTCATGATATTGCACCATTCGGCGTCGGTTTCTTCGAGGATCGTAGGCACTTGCCTGAGGCCCGCTCCCTGGGCAATGCCCGCGACATTGGCGGCCCCATGGAGGTCGCCGCAGGTTGCGATGATTTCGCGCATCCAATTCTCTACCTCGGCCGACGAGGTGATGTTCAATGTCTGGCAGTGCAGCTGGGTCGCAGTGTTCTCCTGGTGGATGCATTGTTTCAGTTCCTCGAATCGGTTGTTGGAGATGTCCCCGACCCAGATCGTCGCGGCTCCGCGCTGAGCTAGTAGACGACAGACGGCGGCGCCAATCCCGGACGCACCCCCTGTAATGGCGAACACGCCGCCAGTGACAGATGCCATTGAATTTAGCTCGGTCTATGCTCAGTCAAAGTGGGTGATGTAGATGTATTGTTCAAGGGCCTAGATCGAGAGAAAGATGGGGTTTTATGCTTGGAAAGGCAAACCAGGACTACGGCTGACGCTAGCCCGCTGCGTTTGTGACAGACGACCGGAATACGATTTGTGACGTTGCTTCGGTATTGAATGATTTTCCCCTCATGTAGCGGCCGATTATACAGTCACCACTAGATTAAAGTACTAAACTCGTCACCCTGCATGTGCATATGCATATGCAGATGCTTCTGGCGAGGAGAATGCCAGCAGGCACATTTGTCCAAACTTTTTGCATACTAGGGTACTAGGGTGGTCAAGAACAACATCTGACAACTATATATCTGTCCTCGAGGCGAAAGTGAAAGGTCAATCTTGACCCTTCTTCAGAACTCATACGACCATTAACACATGTTTTCTCTCACGTGAAGACGCATATTGCCTCAAATGACGAAGTCAAATAATATGTTTACTCCTCTTCGAGTGGGCAAGTGTGACCTGCAACACAAGCTGGTCCTATCTCCTATGACTCGCTTTCGAGCCGATGACGGAGGCATCCCGCTGGAATTTGTGAAGGAGTACTACGCTCAACGGGCCTCGGTTCCAGGGACCCTTCTGATCACAGAAGCCACCGCTATCTCCTCCCAGGCTAAAGGGTTCTCCAACGTCCCCGGGATCTGGAGCCAGGAGCAAGGGCAAGCCTGGCAGGAGATCGTCCACGCCGTCCACGCCAAGGGGTCCTACATCTGGCTTCAGCTCTGGGCTACCGGGCGCTCTGCGGAGAAGGAAGTGCTGGCTGCTGCGGGGCACGAGTTGACTTCCAGCAGTGCCGTGCCGGTGGAGCCTGACCAACCGACGCCTCGCGCACTGACTGAGGCCGAAATCCAGGCGTATATCGCTGAGTACGTGCACGCGGCACGCTGCGGGATGGCGGCGGGTTTCGACGGGGTCGAGCTTCATGGAGCAAATGGATTCCTGATCGATCAGTTCTTCTAGGCCTCCTGCAACCGGCGTACGGATCAGTGGGGGGCCAGTATTGAGAACCGCGCGCGGTTCGGGCTCGATGTGACCCGCGCGGTGGTGGCCGCCATCGGCGCCGACCGAGTTGGCATGAAGCTCTCGCAGTGGAGCACCTCCCAGGGCATGGGGACGATGCCAGAACTGGTGGCTCAGTTCGAGCACATCATCACTGGGCTCCGCAACCTAGACATTGCCTACCTGCACCTCGCTAACTCGAGGTGGGTCGAGGACAAGACGCATCCCGACATCGACAATCTCACCTTCGTCCGTATGTGGGGCAATCGCAGACCAGTGCTCCTGGCAGGTGGCTATGACGCGGACTCAGCCAGTCGTGTCGTGGACGAGACCTATCGTGGCTATACCAATGTGGCCGTCGTGTTTGGACGACTGTATATCTCCAACCCGGATCTCCCGTATCGGCTCAAGCAGGGCATTCCCTTGCAGCCGTATGACCGCGATACGTTCTACATCCCGTTTTCGGACAAGGGGTACCTCGATTATCCGTTTAGCAAGGAATTTTTGGCGGCCACTGAGATTGGACTTGCAGTGTGAATGGGCTGAGGGGTCGAAGGGGGGGAAATGTGTATATTCACGAAGGACTTTTGCATCTATACAAAAGTTCGAAAATTTTGTGGTTGGACTGCTGAAGTGGAGTCACTATAGAGTGGCAGATGCACTAGTCAGACACGCATATGCATATGCACATGTACATATACGGTGAAACATAAACCCTGTCGGTACGTCCAGTAGGTCCATGAACCTAGTAATTCTGATTTACAGTAAATTCAAATGTCACACACAGTCCTTGATCTCAGTTCACCTATCTATCCGTGGCAATAATTAAATGCTCAACAAGAAAGAAAAAAAAAAAAAAGGGAAACTTCTGTGTACTGGCCTCCGTATATGTATTTCGACTACTTTGTAATCGGTCATCTCTTAGATTTCCAAAAGTTTCAACCTCCCCACTAGTTTTTCCTTCCTTTCCAACTCAAACTAACCCACCATGACGACTCTCTTGCTAGGTGGTCGAGGCAAGACCTCCCGCCGAATCGCCTCTCTGCTGCATGCCGCCAACGCCCCTTTCCTGGTCGCCTCGCGCTCCGTGGACCTCAACTATCCGCACAAGCAGGTGCATTTCGACTGGCTGGACGAGAAAAGTTACGAGACTCCGTTTAGTCATGTCGCAGCCGACGGGATGCAGCCGATCTCAACGGTGTACCTAGTGCCACCGCCGGTGTTCGATCTTGCGCCGCCGATGCTCCGATTCATCGATTTTGCGCGTCCCCGGGGAGTCCGGCGGTTCGTGCTGCTCAGTGCAAGCACAATAGACCTAGGTGGTCCTGCGATGGGTCAGATGCATGAGTATCTAGCCAAGCTGCTCGATATTGAGTATGCGGTACTCAGACCAACGTGGTTCATGGGTGAGTTTGTCTTCGTTTTCTTTTTCTTCCTTTTCTTTTTCTTCCTTTTCTTTTTCTTCCTTTTTGGTATTTTATTGCTTCTACCCATCTTTCTTCCGGGAACGCGACTTCTGAAGGAGCAATTTGGCGAAGGGCTAGGTTGGATGTTCAATTCCTTAACTCACGAGGCTCCAAAACAGAAAACTTTTCTGCTCCCCAGGAGTATCAATATCTGGCCATCAAGAACGACAACAAATTGTATTCTGCGACGGGGAATGGCAAGATTCCATTCGTCTCAGCCAATGACATTGCTCGAGTCGCCTTCAAGGCCCTGACGGATCGAATTCCGCATAACACAGATCATATCATTCTCGGATCTAAAGTTCTCACTTATGATCAGGTACAGTGTTCCAAAAACAATACCCTTTTTTGCCATGCTGCGTCAACAGTAGATTAATCCAGCTTTCCCGTCCAGGTGGCAATGATTCTTTCGTCTCATCTGGGGAGAGAGATCTCGCACACGGATCTTTCCGAGGCCGAACTCGCCAAACGGCTCGAATCAACTGGAATGCCCCCAGAAGATGCGATGATGCTAGCGGGTATGGACACCATGATTAAGGGTGGTGCGGAGGACCGATTGAATGATGTAGTCCGCGAGGTGACGGGCGTCGGTCCGAGGACTTTTGAGAATTTTGTGGCGAAAAACAAAGAATGCTGGCTGTGATCAATTAAAAGGTTGATTTTTGGATTTTGTTGTTTCGGCCAAAGAGAGCAGTAGAAACCTGTATCGGAATCAAATTTCACGGAGCAGGGTTACATATTGAGACGTCAATGTGTTTGATTCCTTCATATATTTTCATGATTTGTAAATGGACAATATGCTACCGGGTTTTCAAAGGCTCATTGAAACTGAAGATAATGACACTAGATTTAAGAGAAGTAAATAAAGAAAGAAAGAATAAGAGAAAGGGAGAAATGAATGAACCAAATGCACTTCCATTGCTCACACCACGATAGTCCAAGAACTACAACCCGCCCGGGTTCCTCATCTTCAATTGGTAAAAGTGTACCTCGCAGCCCGGGCTGGACCATGCATTGACCGTGTCGACCCCCGCCCCTTCCCACAACGTCTCCAGCTCCTCCCGATCGTACCTGTAACTACATCCAAAACGTACCTTCTCCTCCCGCCGGACCGTGATGCCCCCCAAGGGCGGCCCTAGAGACACGTCGCCTGCCTGGGGGATCAAAGACGCCTCATGGCGCCCAAGGACATAATTCCACTCGCTGAGATAGTTCCAGTCCTTTGGGTCGAATGCCTTTTTGGGTTTGTACCTGCGTTGCACCCTTCTCTTCGCCTTCCCCCTGGCCAACCAATAACCGATTCGCGTAGTCCAGCGAGGCTAGGGCAAAGGGCACCACTCCCTCGCTTGTGTAGGCCCGCAGCACCCGGGTAGGGACCTTACAATCGTCCAGCGTCACCAGGATGGAGCTCTCGGCCTGGCGGGTGGAAAGGGCTTGGTTGGTGAGTTGCCGCAGGAAGGCTGCCGCATTCGCCCGAGAGTAGTTGCCCAGCGTCAAGCCAAGCAGCAGTAGGTGGTGCACCTGATCACGGATGTTCGGCGTCTCGCAGAGCCAGCGCAGCCCATCATCGAATGTGCCGTGAAGGGCGGCACAGTGCACGTAGCGGAACCTCGCGGTGGGGAGGCTGGCTAGCGCAGTAGCGAGCTCAGTTGCACTCAGATCCAGGGCGTAGTAGCGGACGGGCTTTTGCTGGGCTTCGAGAGCTTCCAGGAGGAGGAGGACTTTGTCTTAGCTTCTGTTTGCGAGTTAGGCTTAGCTGTGGTTACAATTTGGGGTAAAAACATAGATTATTATTTCTTTTCTTCCTGGCGAGGAAGAAGAATTGAGAGAGAGAGAGAGAACAAGTAACTTACGCGCTCCCAAGATCAACAATCACGCTGTTGTGGGCTAAAGTGGTTGCAATGCTATGGGCATGCTCCCGCAAAATGCGAATTTCTTCCTGTCTATCACAGATTGATTCGGAAGTGTCGACTTTGCGAATGTCGATGATAGTGGATTCAACCTTCATAATCATGATTTTAATGGGAGAGATTATAGAAATGGATAAAAGAAGAGGAGAAAGGTAGCGGAATATCTTGTGAATGGTGAAATATATGGGTAAAATTTCTGATTGAGATTCTTAGCTCGGGAGTGAGTTCGACCAACAGCCACAGCTGCAGCAAGACGCTAGTGTCAGAATCATCAAACAGTGGTATGGTACTCATACAATCTCATTACAACAAAGTTGTCAATCTCTACATAAGCACACCTGCGAGTACCGCCCAAGCCCGCGAAAATGGGTCAACCGGCTTCCTACATGTGCCTTCCTCATCCCAGTCCTCGCTCCCAACTCCATATTTGGCAATAAACAAGCCATCCTTATCTACCTTCCGCTTGATCCCAGCAAGTCGAGCGTAGTGGTCTCCCCAGTAAACCTTTTGGAAATGCTTCTCGCTTGGGGTTGCCAGATTAAGGTAGGATACTCGAGAGATCGGCTCCAGCGAGTATAGGACCGGCATTTGAACCCGAGTGAGCTCCTCGATGGCAGCAGCCTTCCCTGCAATAGATGGCTCTACTGTCCGGATAAAGGTAATCAGGTGTGCCGCAGACCTCCAGGCCGGATGCATGGCGGTCTTGTTGAGGCCCCTGTCAACTCTATAAACCCAAAGCCCAACCTGCCCCAACCCACTAATGGGCTGGGTTTTGGGCCCGGTCCTTAGGCCCACCGATGGGCTATGGGCCTAAGGTATAAGCCCACTGCGGGTTAATGGGCCCCTATATAGGCCCCAAAGAGTACACACAAATATGCCGAGAATTCAGAAGTTGAACCCCCTTTCAGGGATTTTGGAATTACCATTCGTTTTACCCCCGTTTCTAAGCCTTATCCCAAAGGTAATATTTTATTAGTTAAAATTATTTAGAATTCATTACTGATATTCTCTCTATATCACGTTTAAAATCCTAAAAAAACGCGTTATTTAGATAGAATATAAATTACACAAGTTCACTTAGAAAGTAATAGTACTCCTTATATAAACCCTAGATATTGAAGAGGGGAACGCTCAAGGCTGTATGCTCTGAGGCATACGGGTCGATTCAGCACTCGCAGTTCAGTTTCATACTCGACTCTGTCTACAGAGGAACCAGGACATGCAGTCCAAGAGGTCAATTCAGAGAGGTGTAGAGGTGTGTTCTATTCAATTTGTCTCTTCCTACTACTTGTATCCTCCAGCTCCCCAAGATTACAAAATAAAATCACTTCGTAAGACAGGACAGGCAAGGTCAATACGTAGTGGGAGGCAAGGTCCCCCACTACAATATATATCTTGTTAAAACTTCAATTTTATAGTATCTCGACCTTTGCCGGTCGGGTTTTATTTAAAATTGAAATATATACAATTCGTAAAAGGGTTAGGATATGATATTGTATAAGATGCCCTTTTAATAGGCTTTAATAGGCGCCTTATGGGTCCCCATTGATGGGCTGTGGGTTAAGGTTAGGCCCATAGCCCACTGCTGTTTGGACTTTGGACCCGGGGTCTAGGCCTATTTGTGGATTTTGCGGAGCGCTACGTGTGAGGAATATTCAGCTGGTTTTTATCATCTTTTGGTGGTCTTTTCTTTTGAACAAGTCTTTTAAATGAGGTTGTCTGCGTTTACGAATATCTCAATAGCTTCAGCTTTAATTTTCACCACCTAAGCAGTCAGCACACAAATTGCGTTCAGTCAGCACACAATTCCTCTTTTCGTCTCGTTGCTATTGGCCAATTAAGAGATACTAGCGCATGTGCGTTTCTTTGTCTGACATGAGGCTGAAAACTCCACACCTCCGACCGCCCCTTAGAATTGCACATAAGTGAACAGACCGCCATTTCGAAGATCAACTCATCTTCATCTCCACCTTCAGTCGATTCTTCTGAATAGATTCATCTCTTCACTATAGTTTCATCTTCAATAATGGCAGCCATTTCATCTTTCCGGTACTCAACAGGCAAGATCGCCACCGCCGAGGCAGCCAAGTCGTTTTCGTGGGAGGCACCTGTACCAGTAAATCGTTTCTGGGACAGTTTCAGTTACTCTACTGCCCGGAATTTTCTGGGCAACTTTTCGGATAACGAATTGGAACAGCTAGCTGCCGACCCTGCGGGAATGAACCCCGACGATACCGCAGATCAGCAAAAAAAGCTTCAGCTTCTCCTTCAACTACTCCAGGACAAGTTGGCAAAGGAAGAAGCGGCCACTTCGCCCCCTCAGTCACTCTATAAAGTCGATTACGAACAGTGGAATAAGCTGTGGCAGGGAATATATATACTCGAGGATGAATTGGATCTACCGCAGGCCGAGGAAACTGTCCGCATGCTAGTGGAGAAAAGGCCGGATACATCGAACGTTGTCCCTCCCCATATGCTGGCAGATCACCTTGTCAAGGTTGGGAAATATAAGGAGGCGGAGGAAGTTGTGCTGCCGGTTTGTGAGTGGATGGATGCTCAGGCAAAGCTTGGAAAAGGCTCTCCGCAAGCCCTCAGCGCTCGCAGGACTATCACAAGAGCCTTATGGGGCCAGGGTCCCTCACGACGATCTGAGGCCGAGGCGCTAGTTGTCGAGATCCGTGAACTTGTTGATGGCATGGGCGGAAGCAAGTTTGAAATTTACCAGGAAGAGGAGATGGGGCTTTACAAGGAAATGGTAGCTGGTCTGAAGCACGAGATTTAGGAATGCCGTTGGTGCCTAATCCTTCAGACCAGGTCATGCATGTTTGCTTGCGAGGTGAAGGCTTCTTGTTCCCCTCTCTCTTTGTTCATTCTCAATTAGTTAGTTCTCCTTTAGCTTGCAAAGAATACTATTGATTGACAAAATCGATAAATTCCGGACAGTGACGCAGTTTGGTGGATACCCTCTGGTATCTTGTATTTTAAGCCGCATTTTTGTGTTATGTACATAAAACGGCCCCAGTCTGACCCACCCGGATATCCCCGGATATCCCCGAGATACCCGAGATCGGCTCCATGGTTGAACTCTCGGAGTTTAGCCCTTTAAACCCTTCCAGATTAACTGACCTACTCGCTCGTAATTGTCTGCTGGTAGTCATCCATATAGTGCCCCTTCTCGCCCCTGCTGTGACCGCTAATGCCTATAGCTGCATTTAGGTCCGCGCCCTCTCGCACTAGCAACCGTATCACAGGCTCGCACTCGGCATCAGCCGCGGCATGTAGCGGACTTCTACCCTCATTATCACGAGCTTCTATATCCGCGCCAGCGACAAGTAACTCTGAAACAATGTCGATGTATGCACCGTGTGCTGCGTAGTGTAGTGCTGTCCGCCCCGAGTCGTCCCTCGTATTGATGTCGATCCCGTGGAGTAGCAGAAAACGTACGATTCCCACATTGCCACGCTCGGCACTAATGTGTAGTGCTGTTTTCCCTTTATTCTCCGTGATATAAGCGCTTTGTGAGCTCTGGTTTGTCCCCGATAGTGGCGTCAGTGAACGTATAGTGGACGCATTGGTCCCAGCAATCCTCTCGGTGGATAAAGCCATCGCCCCGAGAGCTCTTCGGGCCACAGTGGATATCTGCTGCTGAAACTTCCTGGGGCATTGCAGAACATTTTCTGGTGTCTCTTCTTGATGTTCCTCTAGATTATTTGAGGCTCTGGGGTAGGCAGACAAAGAACAAATCCCAGGCTCTAGGTCCTGTGCAAAATTGGGCATCTCTTCCATCATGGCATCAAATATATTGACGTTATTTAGACTCGAAATAGAACTTGCAATGCTAGGGCTGTTGTTTTGCTTTGTCAAGTTCTCGGGCTCACTGGCAGAGTAGCGCCTGTAATCCACGGCTTCGCATTGAGATATCTCTGATGCAAAATAGGCAGGAAGTGGTATACCCTCTTCGAAGTGGGAGTTTCCCGCTTTATTTTGCGTATTATCCAAGTTTCGCGTCTGGTAGTCGTGGCAAACACTATCAGATGGAGCGCAGGTATTGCCATTTTTAGACTGAGGGCTTCCCTTCGTTTGTTTTTCTTGCTCTTTCGGTCGCTGTTGCTGAAGCTCTGCTTGACGTTTGCCTTAGGATACAAATCATTAGGGAAGCCAAGACCACATGAGTGGGGAGTTGAAAGGTAGGAATCTTCAAGGCTTACGACGGTTTCTCTGAGCATTGCGATTTTGAAGTCTTCTTCGCTGCAAGGTTTCAATGGCAGCCTGAGCAACTTGCTGAGTATCCATTATCTGTTGCCCTACAGGCAAGAAAGAAAAAGCACGATTCAAGGTACAATTCTCATGATGTCGCAGAAAGGTGCTATAAACCAAGTAGGAGAAGATCGCATGCGCACAAATAATGTGTATGTATCACATAAATGAGAGGAAGCAGAGGATTAAACTGGAAGAAATGGGAGGCTTATCAACTCTGCATGGAATAGCACAACCTTGCTAGTGATACATGGATAGAATTCTACCTAGGTACTCCGTAGATAGGCCTATCACGACAATTAAATCCCCAAGAGAAACTAATAATGGACATACCCTTGCACATACCTATTATAATAGATGGCCGAAAATCAAGGGTCCACGACTAATACTGTATAGGCGTAGCCTCTCCAACCATGGCCCATAGGTCATACAGGTGATTTGACTAGTCTATGAACCCCGAATGATGGGGAGGGGATGCAGTAGCTAAATAAGGCTTAGGCCCAAGGTTGACCAATCCGCTAGGCCACAACAGACAATCAAGCCCATTATACTCCGTATTTCATACAAAATGCAATATATTGTACGGAGTACTCCGTAGCCCGATTTAGTATAACGCATACTCTAACCATGTCCTATCTAGCATGAGGGACCATTATTGGCCAAGTTCTACACTCAGAACAGTAAGAGAATTGGGACAGGGAATAGTAAAGTAGGAGGAGGGCATCTCTCAACCTAGCCCAAGAACAGTCCGATTCCAGTCCTAAAGTTTGGAACTGAAAGTTGAAATGAGCTCAATGCGAAATTCAAAGGATACAGGCGGCTAAACAGCTATCTAATTTTCTATCATCTGGGTATTTTAACAGAGCTTGTTAAATACCCCCAAAACCCCGCCCTTAGAGCCGTCGGATCTCCGGGACCCTCGGTTTCCGATTGGTGACTTCTTTGTTCTCGCATGCTTCTGCCTAAGACTAAACAATATGCGCAAGGAAGGATTGACCCTCCATGTTACTATATCTGTAGGTTGGTCAAGCTGACCATGTGTTTCCTGTCCCATCAACGCTCACGGTCTGCTAACATATTGTAAGATTTGCCATATTCTCCACGTATTAATTATGAATTCATCAATCCTACCGCACCCTGGACCACACGTGGCGTACCACTATTCGAACACGTTCACTACAGTGGCTTTGATGTCTGAAACAACGTCGCTAAGAGCGGTCTGGCTATTGGCTTTTTGGACTAGCTCCGACATCTTATACTAGGATATTCACCGCTAATGGGTACTTATGTCCTTATTACTTTCGGAAGGAAGGCCTAGGATATATGCCGGTTACAATAATATCACACTACGATTTTGAAGGATGGTGCTAGCGATCCCATCATCGGTCTTTTTCAGGAGTATATTCATCTAGTAGCGACAGTTGAAAAGAAAGACAGAAAGGATGTGAAGTATATATCCTCTCGGCAGTCCTACGCAGAAAAAAAAACCGATCCCAACAATGGCGCTATCTTTTACGATATTGGGCTACATTTTGCAATAATAAAAAAGCCCCGTAGTACAATCCAGCCCCTGCTCGAGGAGCCAATGGCAAGGTAGCCCAAATCCTCAATGATCAGTACTTATCTTCCATCTCTGATAAAAGGGTATGATTGAAACAAAAAAAAAAACACAAACACAAGTAAAATCGTATATATACTCGACGCCAAAAATAAAGCATGATCGCCATTAGTGCGTTACGTCATATCATTGAGAAGGTTTCTCGACCTCGCCTGGGCTTCTCTCATTCAATACCGTGAATAATTCTTTTCGTCGGATCGGTTTCGTTAAAAAGAGGTCCATTCCGGACCCATAAGCTTCGTGTTGAGCACTAGCACTCGCGAGGCCGGTCATAGCGACGATAGTCGCAGGTGTAAATGATTCTTGTGCAGAGATATGGAGCGTCTTCTGATATTCTCGCTCAGCCTTGCGAATAAGTCGAGTAGATTCGAACCCATCCATTATAGGCATGGAGATATCTGTGCTTGTTAGAATAGTGTTTCATATACAACAAGCAGGGTACTTACCCATCAGGACCACTCCAAATTTTCTAGGATGGGCTTTGAAAGTGTTCAACGCCTCCAAACCATTGCGGGCAATCGTGTACCTGTATCCTTCTTTCTTCATATGTGCAACCAGTATTTGCAAATTGATATCATTGTCTTCAACCAACAACACTGTCAGTGTCGGCTCCTCTTTCTCTGGTAAACCCTCTCGAATTGGCAAAGTAATGGCATCACTTTCAGCCCGAGAAAGAGAAAGATGAGTACCGTCAGGTTGTTGTGGGTCTTCTTTTTCGTCTAACTTGCGATATTCATCGTCTATCGCCTTTTTTCCTGCTTTGTGTTTTTGGAAATCCAGCTCATCATCTGCACGTTGTGCTTCGATTTCCTCCCTAGAAGCTGGAGATGATTTCGTCAACTGGAACGGTTTCTTCCTCTGAGGTTGATCTATATCAGAGTTACCCCCAGTCAAAGGTTCCTGGCCTTGTTGTCGCTTGATGCAAATGTTGAATGCTTTGGACAACTTGCGCGGGCCACAGGGCTGGCTAATAAATTCGACAACAGCCTGCTGATTCGATTGATTTGCTGCAACAGACATGAGGTGTGCTGCCTCCGGCGACCGACAAATCACCACAATCGGAACTCTTCGATTGCTGGCATTGTCATGGGAAGAATTCTGGGTCTTTAACAACCATGATTCCCAAGTGTTCACTGAATCGGTATCGGTCTGCACTACAACATAGAAATCGTATTCGGGGGAAGAAGTGTCTGTTGGGGTCAGGACACGGACATCCATCTCGAACCAGTTCTTGCACAATTTCTCTAGAGAAGTACAGAGAATTGTATCGCGATCGGAGATGTCAGGTGATCCAAGCTCCAGGAGTCCCAGGGTCGCGCCACGTGTAAGGTGTTTCACTTTCAAAAGGGGCTCGGGTTCGGAGAGACTCGATCTGGTCATTTGTGTGGGCATATGGGTAAGGGTGACTTCAATCGAGACTTCGGTACCACGACCCCGGAGTGAACTGACTTCGATATGACCACCCATGGACAGAACTGCATGGTGTACAATGCTGAACCCGAGTCCGTTTCCAGGGGCAAGCGAGTCTTCTTGTGTGAATGGAGTGAACAGACCATTCTGCAGATACTCCATGCTCATCCCGATACCTGTATCTTTGACCGTCAGGGTCACCTTGAAATCAGAAGGTCCTCCAGGCACGGCGTCGTTGGCAGGAGTGACAGGCGACGCAGTCAACTTCACTAAGATAAAGCCAGTGTTGGTGTACTTAAGGGCGTTGCCGAAAAGATTCATCATGATCCGACGCCATGCACCTATTTGGGTGGAAAACCTCCATTCGGCAGCTTCATCGATGTCCAAGATGATGCTGACCTGACTCGATTGCTGGTCGGGCCCCAAGACGTCTAGTGCCATGTGATTCGGACGGTCTATCGCCATTGATCTTTGTGGGCTGTGGTAAAAACTGTAGCCTGCAAAGACACTTTCCATCACCTCTTCTAGAACGGCATCTAGCTGAATATCAGACTTTAGACTGATCATCCCGCTATGCCGCGTCCGTCGTGAAGGCTTTATACTGTGAGGTGATGGGTCGGTGTTTTTGTGTCGTCTTGAAGGGCTCTTCCGTTTATGAATAGCTTTTTTGCCTCCTTCCTTCCGGAAGTTGTTTATCTTCGAGAAGTCCAGTAAATGGTTAATCGTATCCAGCAATGTCCGCCCACACGATTCGATGGTGTGTACCAATCCGTGCTGAAGTGCGTTCATCGCCGTGTCCCGAAGTATTTCTGACGTGCCAAGAATGCCATGGAGAGGACTTCGTAATTCGTGCGAGATGCTGCTGACTAGATTTGTTTTCGCCTTCTCCGACATCTCGACATCCAAACGATGCACCTCCGCCATTATACTGTTTCCAAAGGCTGAAAGATATGTAAGCTCGGTCTCGGACGTGAAAACACGCCGAGGTGTGTTTGTCCATACCAGAGCGCCTGAGAACCACCGAGCTCGGTGTGAATCCCACATGGGCAGGAGAGCGATACTGCGAGCTCCAGGGAAGAGTCGAATGAGGACATTTCCATCCTCTTTGAGCATGGCACCGCGCGTCTTTTTCCGGCTTCCTCTTGCTCTTTTACCAATGAGGTCGAGGTTGACCGAGCTTGAGCCCTCACGGTCTAACGAGCTATTCCAAGGCCCATCACTGCTTTCGTCAGACGACATCGATCCCTCTTCACTGAAATTGAAAATCCTGCCCTGCGGGTAGCGCCGCAGAAGGGTCTTCAGCAATGCTTCCCGGAGGGCAAGTCTTCCTTTTGATTCCTCGTTGATACTGGATGTAGTCGAAGTCGAGAAGCCTAGGATTTCACATAAGGTCGTATTCTCTGGGATGGTGTCATTCCCAGCTGATGCGGTAGAGCTTTTCTGGGAATCAGACCCGGTGCTATCGTCGCTGCTGCCCATGGAGCTTTCCAAGGTACCACTGTCTGAGCCTGGCCCCTTTCGCTTCGTATCGTTGACGAGACCACCATAAGACCCAATACTTGCGTCGAAGAACGCCACACCTTCAACTTCTATTGACTCTCGGATGATGTTAGCTGCTCGCGAAAATACTTGGCGCACTCCGATAGAAAGCATGTCTTCTTGTAGATTTTCGGTGGATGCCGTACTTCGGACGGAAAAACTAGTTTGCGTTTCAGCTTTGTTGAGATTTGATATCTGATCGATACTGGCGTCTGAACTCTTGTCGGACTGGGTTGCTGACGATGAGGAAGATGGCCCTGGGGAGGGGCTCGATGATGGTATACTGGACAATTCGGAGGATACAAACTTCTCAGAATGATTTCGTGAAGCTTGTGACTGCTGCGGCGGCGATGAGGGGTGAGTGTGGACAGTTGTGAGTAGACCGGATTTGATTTGTGCATTTTGCTGCATAACATTCAGGTGGCCTTCGTCATGTTGCTGTTCATTCAGGCGTAGTCCAGTGTCTTGTACCCACTCCTTACGGAGCGTCGCCTTGCCTTCCACAAAACTTCCGAACCCAACGATCATTCTCTCTGCACGATGATGTTCCGCTTTGCATCGGGCCATGTCCAAGTGGGTCATGACAGTCGATGCCATATTTTGCAGGAACTTTATCAACGGGGCGTCCAATCCGGATCGTGGCTCGTCATCGATAACGCAGTAGGATCCGATGGTGATCCCTTTCGAACTGATTATGGGGGCGCCTACATAGAACCTTGCTTTGGGGGTGCCGGTGACCATGTTCAACTGATTAAACCGGTCATCTTCGCGCAGATCCGGTACCATGTATATACCTCCCTCGACCACATGTTTGTCTTCTTTTGGCTTCATTTGGGGCAGAGAAGCGACTTGTTGACATATCCCATGCTCCTTGGGGACAACGCAGCAACCCAACCATAAAGCATCTCGATCATTCTCCACTGAATGATCTTGAAGACTGAGTGTTTGAGTGGCCTCTGCGAGGACATACTGTTGGTCCCGACCGAAAAGCGAGATCAAGGCACGTCGAGCCTTCAATCTTAAAACTCCTAGCTGGGCGAAGGCCGTCAAAGCGGTATCTGGCGACGATCGGGGAATATAGGCAGTATGTTGATTCCGTACATTCTCAGGTGTTGTATGGACGCTTGGGCCAGGTTGGAGGACTTCGTTGAATTTAAGATATCTTTTTTTTATCGTAAAGTTTTAGTGTGCATTCAAGTCGGGGACAGTGGAACCCCTGTTCACATACTTGTATAGTTCCCTCTCTTGTGCTAGTTTGAACTTGGGTGGTCCGACTTGCTCTGGCTCTGACGATGACATGAGATGTATGTAGTGAATGCTTTTCGGTGGTAATTTTCACCGGACAGGACAGTCTAGTTGTTAGAAAAGAGCAAGGTGACTGTGACAGAAATCAAGGAATTGCTAAATTTCGAAGTGGATACATGGTTGATCCATACCGAGGTCGGCCAATATGAATGGGCCGATCGCTCAATCATGTTGTTTCCACCGGGCTGGATCGGGCTTTTTGACCGGAATTCTGCTGGAAGAAATGTGGCGGTGGAGGTTGCACCGCTTTGGCTTGATCCGAGCTCGTTTTGAGGTCATTGGGATTTTCTTTCCCTGTGTCATTGAAAAAGAGGATAGTTTCCATTCTTTAGCGCTGATGTTCACGAATATGTATTCTTCTTATCTATCCAGATTTATGTTCTCCTATTCACGTTACAGAACAAACATCTCATCTTTTCGATTCAGTAGCCATTCTTATCCACGCCGTTTTCCTGGTAAACCCGCAGACTATATCGTGCGGATTTGCTTCGAGCCCGAATCCTTTTGCCGTATTTAATGAATAAAGGCGGAACGATGCAAAACAATGTTGCCAGCGCCGCTAGAATCGAAGATGCAACATTCGCACCAAGCCCCTCAAACATCTGATTAGCGAACAATGGGAAAGCTGCTGACATCAACGAGCGGATGAGCGAAAGAGCAGCGAACCCACTAGCCGCATAGCTGGGATAACTATCAGCAAGATAGCCCGCAAGAACAGAATCAAACTCATTCAGGGCATATCCAATGAGAACAAGGGCAATTTTAGAAACAATCCAATGAACATCGGCCACTGGCGGAATGGTCCATGAGAACCACCACAATCCTCCAGCCAACATAGGAGCACCGATCATGAAACCGAGAAGCTTATGCTCTGGCTCAAGTGTAATAATCTCTTCCTCATATTTGACAATCGTACGGTGGTCTTGTATGCGGGTAAGAAGTCTCGATATAAGACCGACACAAATTGCGAGAAAGGGAAGGCAGGATGAAGTGCTCGAGAACCCCATCGACTCGTAGATCGGCGGGAGGGCTTCCGTGAACATATATATCAAGGCAAAAGCTACAGCGCTCATAGTGGCCACCACAAAAACAATCAGCTCTGTGAAAAAGAGTTGAATAGGACGGAAGAGGGCGATGCGAGCAAAAGTTTTCAAATCGGGTGAGTGATCAGGATTCAGTGCCTGCGCGGCGTTAGCAATGCCTTGGAAATTGAAAGGGAAGATATCTTGAAATCGGGAGGCCAATCGGATCCCATACCTTTAAGGTGTCAATCCCGGTTTCCTGGCGTATTCTCTCGACTGTCCGACTAAGGAGTAGTGACGGTCGCGACTCGGGAAGACCAAAGAGGAACAATGTAGTGATAGCCGTCACAATCCCGGCTACATAGAAAACCCATCGCCTTTTTGAAAAAAAAGAAAGAAAAGAAAAGATTAATACTGCATCGAAGCATCAAAGTCAGTGTATTCACCAGTTTGAATGAGCTACTAGTAAGGAAAAAGTTACGCACCTATCAGTGCTTGAACTATGATGGCTCATATTTAAAGGATTGACGCAGCATGTTCCCTAAAGTCCGAATTTGCTCCCGGCCCTGCACCCCGGCCATCTTCGCTGCCACTAAGAAGTAGTCCACGAAGGCCTATTTACATTCGGCCTCTGGATCGGGGGTAATTTCGCCCTCTTTCAAAAATACTGTATATTTTTGTACATATTGCAAGATGCCCTCAGGCAGCGAATTGGCTCCCTTGAAGATTCCACCACGCTTGCCGGAATCAAGACAATGTGATAAGGGTACTGAGCCACCTCTAGAAAGGGTTGACTCAAAGACTTAATATCCTCGTGAAATATCCTTCCGCTGTCTTGATTGATTTTAGATGCCGAGAAGCGGTAGAGAGTAGCATTTGCAATGCAAAATAGTCAATCCAGTGGGTATATTCTACCGCAAGCAGTGCGGAATCTATGTGTTTATGGCTCTCTGTTCTTCAGAAAACATCGTTGATGTTGTACAAAATTCTGCCCAATACTTCAGAAGTCTCACTATAGCTAGACCTCCGCAAAGCCCACAGAACCCAAAGCTCAACCCGCCCCAACCCACTAATGGGCTGGGTTTTGGGCCCGGTCCTTAGGCCCACTGGGCTTTGATTAGGGGGCTAATAGGGCCCAATAAGCACCAAACAATATAAACATTCCAAAAAAACGTTACTTTTTTTATTACCCTATGTTTAGACCCAGCTCTTAAGCTTTATTTCAAGGTAATATCTTGTTAATTTAATTAGTGTGTAATTAATAATCAGTTAAATTTATATATCACGTTTAAAAACGCGAGAAAACGCGGTATTTAGATAATTTAAATATTATAGAAGTTCGCTTAGAAAGTAGTAGTATACCTGTATAAATCCTAAATATATATGTTATCAAAACATTACCTCTACTAGTCGGATTTTGTTTAAAATTTAAAGATATACTTAAATAGCTATTATAGTTCTAAAGTATAAATTTAAACACTATAAAAATAGTAGAAGGTTAGAATACAGCGATTACAAGACGCCGGTTTACAAGCGCTAAGACCCCCTTGGTGCCCTATGGCGGGGGCCTTATGGACCCCTACAAATGGGCTATGGGTTGGGCTGGGCTTCGAAGGTTAGGCCCATAGCCTACTGAGGGTTAGGCTTTGGGCCTGGGGTTCGGGCCTATTTATAGGATTTGCGGACCTCTAAATTTAGCCTAGGTTCCGAGGTCTCAGCTTCTGCCTGGGGGTTGAAGTGTCAATTCCACATGACTTGGTTGTTGTCTCCAATGGAGACAACTATAAGAATTACTATTTGAAACTGTCTCCCGATGGGGCTCTATCCACTTATTCCATTAACCACTGCTAAATAACCAGATGATGCCTCCAGCAATTATTCCTGCATCATTCTTACCCGCATCACTGGACCTTTGTAGACTCTCCGGGCATAAATTACATAATACCCAAGTGAGACCGCAACAACGCCCCCAAAGATGACCACACTCCAATTCATGGTAGTCGGGTCCACATCCTTGTTCAGTGGAAAGAAACTGAAGATCCATATCACTAGTAAAACCATGATGGAAATTGTGTCACAGATGGGGGTGAACTTTCCCATGGTCCAACGTGCCGGTGGTAGGGGCTGATTGCGCCAGCGTCGAAGACGAACGCAGGTGATGGATATAATGTAGGAGGACAGAAGGGCGGCTGTGCCGAGGGACATAATGGCATTGAAAGCCACAGAAGACCCAATATTGATTAGGGAGAGGAGACAGACGATAACGAGACTGATGCAAAGGGCATTCAGTGGAACGGTAAAGGTTGGGTTAACCTATTTTCTCCATTTTAGTCACAGCGATGGATTGTGGCGTGTTGAAGAACTTACATGTGCTAAGAAATCGGAAAAAGGAAGACCCTTATCCCGGGCAAAAGAGTAGATCTGACGAGAGGTTGTGGCGACATTACTGATTGCCGCGCAAAATTGCATGATCATGATCACTACTGTCATTCCTGTCGTGGCTCTGACTGATCCGGTGGAATTTAGGAAGACCTGAATGAATGGGAAGCCTGTTTCAGACTTGAGCACTTCATCGATATCACCCACACAAAATGCAAATGTGATTATCATGACCAAGCCGGTGGACCCGTTGAGAATCAGAGTCCAAACCATGCTCATGGGAAGTACTCGCGATGCATCTCGAATTTCCTCCGCTGCATTATGGTATTAGTCACTTCCATTGTATATATCGGGGAATAGCCAGATACATACCCATATGAACTGCCGAGTCAGGACCTTTTCCGGATATATCGTTAGCCACGACGAAAAATGAGATCCATCAACACGCGACATACCAATCAATGCATAGATGGGCCCAACCAGCCCTGCCATGCACGAGAGTCCATTGTTACCCCATCCACCCCGGTCCTCAATGGAACCAAATACCTTTGAAGCAGGAACCCTAGAAGACAACACCCAAAGTGGGATCAAAATTCCAAAGAAGCCGAAGCAGTGCACAAACAAGATGATACCTTCGATCAAAGGGAGCTTTTGGGCTAGGAATGTGTTAAACATGAAGGCTACCAGGGCCACCACAATGACAAGCAGTGTGACATGCCATGGCTTATAGGTGTACGTGTCCGGATAGTTTATGGCAACCACGCCAACCATCATGTTAGCGACTGTATAGCAGCATCCTGCGATACCGGTGTGCCAGCCCAACACGCAAATCCATCCAGTAATGTAACTCAATAGGGCCTGGGCACTAGGAGGTGCGAATTCCGACACCCAATGATACTGGCCACCGGACAATGGGGCCCTGAAAGAATCGGAAATGAGGGTTAGGGATCTCCTCGTCAACACATCTGAAGTATACATACATGGAAGCCATCTCAGCCATTGAGAGGATCACAAAGCTGAACCCTACCAGGCCTCCCAGGTAGGTATAAATCATACCTCCCTTACCACCATTAGTCAATTCATAAGATGAGCCACTAATGTAATAAGTCAGCACATGACCCAATATAACATACTTAAGTTGATTATCCTAGCGAAGATATCGATCAATCTACTTAGAGAGACTTACAAGAGAACTGCTTCCCATGTGCACATAAGCACGGCTGTAAAACCAAGAACGGAAAGAAACCTGAAGTTTCTCTGTAGAGGGTGTCATTTTTCTTGCTTGTCTTCGTTTTCTGCATTTGGAAATTTGGGAAGGGAGAAACTCAGAAAGGTCGAGTAGCCTTGCGTACGTTTAGTTCCTGATCTCGCCCGACACGCCACATATCTTGCTTGTCCTGCACCGTACCTGACTTTTGTGGGGCGGCATCCAGGGAAGAGGTCTCCGGCATGGAGTGTTGGACATTCAACATGATTCCGTCCTCACGCCCCATGGTGAATAATGATCACTTCGATTCCAGTGATGCAGGGGTTAGATGAACAAGGTCTGAGGGTAAACCCAGTGAAAGGAAAAGAAGAAAGAGCAGCCACCAAGTAGATATAGAAATTGACAATATGAATTCAATGAGAGTTGAATGTAGCTGTGCTTTCGGTTAGAAATCTACAACTTGAGCGCAGGGGCAGATGCTGTGACGATAAAAGAACCAGGGTAGTAATGATAGTTTATATATCTTGGGAACCCTGGTCAGAAAGCAAAGGTTGTGGTTGGCGGCGGCCGAAGTACGATGCAATAGGCCACCACTAGGGGCGCGCCGGCCGTGAGAGATAAACCCTACATAGTACATCCTCCATTCTAACTCCACAAGCCGAGCGTATTTTTCCCTTCATTACGGAGTACTCCGAGCACTACTAAGCTCTTTTGTGTGATCAATTATGGCTCAGGAGAAAAAGCCCTTCCTTCGGGCTTAAGTGGACTTTTCTTAGCACAAGTACGGTCCTGAAGTCTGCCTTTAGCTGTCTCGCCGAGTTTGAGCCCCATTCAGGATCACAATCCCAGCTATGTACACACTTTATTAGGATCGTCTGATTGAGTGGGTTATCATATTGATCCGCAATTCGTCCGGGATAGCTCTGTACGTACTCGTATTATGTCTCCATACAACAATGCGAACAATAGCTTCGGCCAAAACCCTGTAGATCCCGTCCCCACAATTCGCTGCCCACATACGACGTTGTCCGCCGCTCAGAGCTTGTATTTTGCGTAAAATCATTTATGGGACAGCCAAGCCCATGCTAATTGTCACATCTGCATGGTCTGGAACATACAATATAAATTCCAATATAAGTACTCCGTACTAAATACATCTTATGACCTGGGTAATTTAAGTCTTCTACTGGCTTTTCTTGAATTCAGATCAACCCATGAAGTCCATATTAACTCATCTGCATAATGACCTCACTGATAGACCAAATAGAGCAATTATCAATTAAGATCAGGCCTTTCTATTTGAGAAATGGGGTTGATATGAAAACGAGAAGTTTATTCTTGTAGAGATTCCTGTCATGATCAACTCCACACTTGATTAATTTGTGGTGACCAGCTTTTTGAAAACAATACTACTGTAAATTATGCGTAGGCCGACATACGTAGATTGTATTTACAGTATATCAAGTCTAACAGGACCCCTGTCGTTCATTTGATCCTTCGATCCAGTTATCGGCCGCAAAAATGGCCCCGGTATTTCTCAAAGGTTATAACCATGATCCATCGCGAAATCTCTGTTGTCTAGTCCCAGTCACATCTCGCCTTTCTCGATCCCCTCATGGAGTCCATCTCCTTCTATGCAGTCTCCACGACGAATCGAAGTGGCTTGATTATCATCGCTGAAACACTGTTTATGACGTGGATGATCATAGTGAATCTGATTCGACTATACATGCGTCTGGCGATCAATGGACCGGTCAAGATTGATGACGCGGTAGTCTTTACTGGGAGTGTAAGTCTCTACTTATCCCCTCCCTCAAGGTTTCCTCTTTTTCCCTCGATCACTATCACTCCTTGCATTTTATCGACAGGTCTCTAAGATTGGTCGTATTCAACTTTCTAGGTAATAGCCATTGCCCATGTCGGAACAATCATAGATGCAACTTCACATGGTCTGGGCCGATCGGAGGACGAAAGCTCGGCGTCGGACTTAATACGCGCTGGAAAGGTCGCCCTCCCTATCCTTGAACCCCCAAACCTGGCCTTTAGTGCCGCTCGAAAGAAGAACAGAAGAATCAAAGAGAAAGAAACTGACGTATGTTTATTCGGGGCGTCTATGCAGCAAACCTCTTATTCTTGGCTGGGCACGGTGCGGCCAAGATATCCATATGTTTGCTACTAAAACAGATAGGCCGGCAAAAAGGCTACTTGCTCTGTTCCAAGGTTCTTCTGGTCATGGTGACGGCGTGGATGCCTGCTTCGATTCTTGTGGTTGCCCTTGGTTGCTTCCCACAATACCAATTTTCTATGGCCCAACATTGTAGTAATATGGTGCGTTATATTTACTCACACGGAGCGACCTAGCTGACAAGAGAGACCAGGATAATGCCTGGAAAATTATCACTGCGTTTGATGTGATTACAGATATCCTTACTTTTGGACTATGTATCCTCCTGGTGTGGGGAGTTCAGATGCGGCGGAAGCAAAAATGGGCAGTAATTTTCGCGTTTGGGACTAGGGCTCCGTGAGTGTCTAATATCCCAAAAATGAAGGTGTGGAAGAAAAATAAATGCAACGGCTAATAATTTTACCGCAATATCTAGAGTTGTAATCTTGATTATACTCCGCCAAACCTATCTTGAGCGCTCACTTTTCCATTCCAACGCGCCTCTGCATCTATCGAGTGCAATGATCCTGACCGCTATTCTCCTTCACTGCAGCATCATGGTATCCACCGTGCCATGTCTGAAGCCGTTTGTTATGTCATTCAATACCGGATGGGGACAGGGCGTCACAAATGGCAACGGGCAAAACTCGTATTTAACACCTACGGGGAAAAGCGCATCGGCCAACCAATCCCACTTCTACTCAATGAACCGAGGAGAGGAGGTCGAGGCTTATTGGAATAATTCCCGGCTATCGCAGGATAGCCAGCACTCGCAACGTCTGATTATTCACCAGGTGCGAGAGTGGAAGGTGGAGGAGCAGTATGAGATGCACTCTGTACAGAATAAAATTTAAGTTATCTATACATATGTACTATACTGTGTATACCGTATACCCTCTTATGAGAGCTTCATTAGGCTAGACTGTATAGAATATGATATGTTATTTGCATAAAATCATATTCCAATATTCTGTCCAACCCTTGCTGTGAAAGACAGCACGGCGATCATCCATCAATCGGATCGCTTTCTCCATACAGATATCATGTATATTCTACCAATACAGAATCCAATGCTTTAATCAACCTATATCTACCTGCATTCCATTTGCTTGGAGTATAACTGGCCCCATCGCAACTGCTCTAGCCCTACCAGTCAACTAGCGTATCAATGCTGCCCATCTTCCACAAATACTTAGAATAGCATCAATAAATTCAAAGTCTCGACTAAAGATTATCCACTAATAGATGGCTCTTGGAGGGCCAAATACAGCTTACGCAAGTCTGAGTCCCTCTGCAGTAACGCTTCAGCTCTATCGCACTCCACAAGCTCCCCATGCTTAAGCAACATCACCCGGTCAAACCAATGAATATAACGAAGTCGATGCACTACCGCAATAATGGTTTGCTGAGAAAAATCCTTCGCAATAACATCCTGCATGATCGCCTCCGTTTCCGAATCGACGCTAGCACGAAAATGACATTAGCTTCCGACCCAGTGAAATTCAAATATCCATAGATCCGATAGACCAATGTTCGCACAACTAATTACCTGCTTGTAGCCTCATCCAATATTACCACAGCACTTTTTCTCACAATGGCTCGAGACAAGGCAAGCAATTGCCTCTGTCCGACCGACCAGTCCGCGGCAGAGAATTCCATATCCAACCCTCCTTTGGCACAAACTTGGTCCCAAAGGCCCACCTTCTCCACGGCATGAATCAGTTCTGCATCGATCACAGACTGTCGAGGATCAAGGTTAAACCGCAAGGTGCCTGGCATAAAGAATGGGTCTTGGGGGACAACGTTGATGCGCGATCGGATTGTGCTTCTCGGGATCTCAGCGAGGTCCTCGCCGTCTACGCTGATTCGTCCAGACTGGAGGTCAAGCATCTGCAGTAAGGCCATTATAAGTGATGTCTTTCCACTCCCGGATGGTCCGCAGACGGCGATTTTCTCTCCAGGCTTGATGCTCATCGTAAGACTCTTGAGGATCGGAGCGGTCGAGTGTCTATTTCTGACTTAGCTTCGAATATATATAGCAAAAGAAAAAAACATCAGCACAAGCGGGATAATACGTACTCATATCCAGCAGTCACGTCAGTGAACTCCACCGCACCACTGCAAGGCCAGTCATCCGGTAATTGAGAAGCAATTGGAGATACCCCGCGGCGTTCTTCCGAGGGAGTATCTTCTATAAAGCGTTGCACGCGCGATACAGCCCCGACAGAAATCTCAGTCATGGTCCACATCTTGAGAGCATTTGCCAATGTTTGATTTAGTGTCAGCAGAATGTTGAGTGCAACCCCAATGGATGCTCCACTGAATTGATCCCTCAGGGATGTGATCATCGCAATCAAAATGACTGCGATGGCCCCTACGAACAAATCCAGAACCAAAATCAGCCATTGTTGGATACTATAAAGCATGTAGACCGGTCGCTGCGATCGGTTTAGTAGGGAGTGGCTTTTCTCTCGCAACTGGGGCCCCCAGTCAAAGGCTTTAATGATTGATATGCCATGGATTGTTTCGAGAAAGTGTGTGTAGAGAGGCGCCTTGGCCTCGATGTCTAGCAATCGGACCTGTCGGGATGTGCGGAGGTAATATGCCTGAATGAAGAATAGAACCACGCCCAAAAATGGGATTGAGACTGCCAGGTATCTGCCCATCGCACAAATAATAATAATGTTGATGAAAACATTGACAAAGCCTGCCGAGTGAGTTAGCACTAGCTGTGTATTAGTGAAGGGTTCGTACTAGTCACGCAATTGACGGCATATATTGGTAGCATCATATCAATAAGTTCCAAATCTTGGCTGAATCTATCTCAGATATATTAGCACGAACACCACAGGAATAGGATTTTAGAATCAATAATACCTATTCGTTATTGAGCCGTGGTCTACACTTTGGTAAAAGCTGATCGATGCCCTGCGGTAAAAAAATATTAGAATGCCAAAATATGGATGTTAGAGCATGATCGCTAACTGAAACGCTGTTTTGAGAAGATCGGAATGCAAATTCAGCGAAGTATTATTAAGGACTCGGACGAAGAGCAACCTAGTATCCCCAGTCAGCTCTGAAAATAGATCGCGTCTCAAACACATACCAGCAGCCAGCGAAAACACTCAAACATGACAATCCAAATATCAAGCCGTAGATACCGAGATACATGCCCAGCTGCTTGTTAGGTTTCACTTCATTTGCCTCAACCCACCATTGAATCCATAATGCTAGAAGAAGTTAGCTTTTCTTCTGATCAATAGGTATTAAACGGAACAGACTTTGAAAGCTGGTACAGAAAGCTTCAAGAATAGTGCATGCCAAAAACGAGACCAGAAGACCGTATCCTGCGCTCCGAGAGTAGTATTTGTACACGGGCCAATTTCCTTGATGTTTAACATTGACAGTCTCTTTATCATCGGCTGATTGCACATCAGTGCTCGTCTGGTCCTTTTTTTCGACAACAGTGAGACCAGAATTTGATATCTCTACTGTTGCAAGAGGAAGACCCGACGTTGGCTTATGAACCTCTAAAACAATCTTTGGTTCATTGGATAGCATTTCATTATATGACCCCGATGCTGTAATCTTTCCCTCATTCATCATCAGGATTTGGTCCGCATGGGGGAGCAACTGATCTATATGTTCTCTTAGCACTGGTCTTGGTCGTGTTGTAATAGTTTTTGTCTGCACTCAAGGGCATCTCGACACATACAGGTACTCATAGCGAGAATAACCGATATCCCTCGTTTTTTAAAGTGGCCGTCTTTGCCGAAAAGCCGATCCGTGATAAGAGCAATACTCGTCGAGTCAAGCCCGCTGAACACATTATCCAGAATGACAATTTCAAGCCTAGAGTAGACTGCTCGGGCAAGCGCCTACAGATGTAAAGAAATGGTTCATCAGTACGTTCAAACATTGTCATTTGTTATATATCAGCACTCACAACTCGTTGCTTTTGGCCTCCACTGAGTGAAATGCCACCGCTACCAGCCATATGCATGTCACCTTCTGAAAGAGCGTCGAGGTCCCCTTGCAGGCCACACGCTGCGCATGTGAAATCATACCATGTTTGATCAAATTCCAGGAATCCGATGATATTGTTCCGGATGGTGTCGTTCGTAATCCATGGGGTCTGTGGACAATAGGCTGCTCTTGAGAATGAGGCTGTTCTAGAACCATTTGTGACCATGTGCTGGTGGAGGATGCTCTCAATTAGAGTCGACTTCCCGCATCCAACGGGACCGACTATCATGGTAATCCCCTGGTGAATATGAACACTCAGATCGCGAAGCACAGGCTCTTTTTCCGGGGCCCATGCTATGTTTGCATTCTGGAATGAGATCAAGAACGGATAGAACTTTTCGGATGTCGACAATGGCTGGATCTCCTCTTCGTGTTTTGCAGATGAGGGGGTGCCCTTCGCAAAATATGCTTCAATCCGGTCAAAGCAAGCGACGGCCTGCCAGAGTGCGGGCATAGCTTGGCAGAATGTGAGTAGGGGTTGTGTGAGGAGAGAAATCAAAGCGAGGGATGCGAATGCCTGGGCAGAGAGTATTGACCCATCGTGTCGCACAACAGATATTATCGCGTAAGTTGTAAACGTAGCAAAGGGAGCTAGTACAACAGGCAAGTTGGCTGAAGTCAACGTCAGTTCATGTCCTGGTGGCCATCTCATCCATCTCGGGTACTCACACAGCGCAACCTGCCATATCAGCAACTTTCGGGAAATCAATGAAGTTTTTACTTCAATCTCACGCAAATATGACACCAGAGGAAAAATAACATCGCTCAACCCAAGCATTTGTACAGCCTTCATGTTGCCTAACGTGTTTGCTGTCACTGCGAGTCGCTTTTGTACTCGCTCAATCCATTGTTTTTGAGCTTTCCCAGATCGGCTTGACACTGGGACCATTGCTAAAACGGAACCTATAGATAAAATTTAGTGCTTGTTCTTCAAATATATCCATCTGTTAAAACTTGAAACTGGACGAGGAAATTCTTACCCAATGAGATGACGAGGGGTATAAAACAGGCCACCCCGATCTCGCGCTCCAACAACCAAATCGCAATCCCCAATTCTATGACAGATGCCCATGCCTCATGTAGGTTCTTCAGATTGGCCACTATTCGTTCGACATCAGTGCCCATTAATGTGATAGCTGCAGAGTCAGTCAAATCAGCCGCAGCCATGTCGATAGTCTGGTCATAGATCATAGATATAAGACCAGACCGCATCATGGTGAGTAGACGGTAAGTCTGACGCCAGTATACAGCTTGGGAAACCTGTTTTTGTTTTTGACCGTTAGAAACATTATGCATTGGTAATACTGAGTGAACCTACCGCCAATCCCAGATATACCAAAATGTACGCGCCAATGAGTCCAGTTCCGTAAACCTTAGGTTGTGACGACGATGATCCTCCAATATAATTCACGGTTGCTGTGATTAGAAAAGGCTGTGCAAAGTTAAAGCAACTGTAGGCCAGGCGTGGGGGGATCGCGGAGACACAAGCCCATCCGTACGCACGAAACACAACTTTGATTAGGCGATGATGACTTTTGACGCTTGCTGAATCCCAAGACTTTCGAAGCTTGTCACCAGAGCATTGCCCTTGAAGATTCGTGTCAACTTCTGGAACATCCTCGACCTCGAGAGCTTCCCGATACCCTGTCTGTAGAAATGGCAGTACCCAGATAAAGAAACTTCGGCTCCAAAACCCGATTTTCTCTTCGTCTGTAGTACCATAATAGTGAGAGTGCAGAATCTTGGTCTTTGGGAGCGACTCAAGAGCTAAAATTGCGACCGTGAAAAGGAAGCTAGCTAGCGAGAGATATCGGCAGACACCAACTGATTGGATCAACCATAGCGAGCGCAGTTGCGGCAACCTACAAATGCTTGACGCTGAGAAATAGAGGATGAGGAGATCGGATGGTTTTACAGATCGCTGGTCTTCTATGAAGGAGGCGTATGAGGCCGCAAAAGTTGCTATGATGTTGAGTACAATCGCAGGCAAAGAAGCACGTGTATGAAGGACGGATTCTCGGACTTGAAATGCCATAAACAGAACTTGAAGCACAAATAACACGGCAAGAAGACACTGCTTGAGATCAGCCATACTCGAGAAATATATAAGGCGGGACCTTTACTAGCTTGCAGACCGCTAACTTGTGTGAATTGATTTTGACTGACTCGTGTCTGAGAAACCAAAGCCGTATAGGTAAAACTAATAAGAAAACTGCCGCTGGCAAAGATGTGAAGAAAATGTCCTCAAATAAGAGAGTAAAGTCAAAGGCGCGGCAATTAATGCTGACACGAGGGCCAAAGTGATTGTCGGCTTCTAGTGACCGGCACAAGCTGGTTGCCATTGGTACTTTGCGAGGTATATCGAATGTGCTAGTAAAATTTATCTCATTGGAGAATGATTGCTTATTTTCATGGGATACAGCGTTGACTTATTTATACCAAGATAAACAGCCATCTAAGGCTAATTCGGAGCAATCTTGATCAATTGCCTATTTAGGAAATATCAATTTTTGAGCTCCGAAGATGCATAGTCTCTTCATTCCGATCGAATACTTGTATCGGAGTATTTAATTTTACTCGGTTGGTCTTCTGAGTCCAGACCTTGCCAGTTGGTCGCAGTCTAGGGGTTACATAGCACCTCCATGGAGTTTGCAAGTTCGGGCGAGGCCTATGTGAGTAACTATATTTCCTCGAAGATCATCCTCTACGCCAGTTTATCCTTTTTTGTGGCCTTTTTTTCAAACTTTATACATTGAATCAAGCTTTTTACACCCCCTATATCATACTTACAACACCAAAATATTTTAGAAGACATCTAAAGAGACATTTAAGATGAGTGTGAAAATAACTACCAAAAGACCCAAGACCAGTCCGCATAAGCGGCCGAATACTATTGCGTATGTACCTAAATCCATGAAAATTCAAAGGTTGACTGTGTCAGAGAACTTGCTAGTGTCAGTTCTAACGACGGCCGTTATGCCATATACAGATATGCTCAAGAAGTTCGAGAAACGGCGCGTGTTATACATGGAACTTTTCCCCGCGAAATCTGCATGAGTAGTAATATTTTAAAGAAAATATGAGTCTTGAACCCAATCAAAGGCATCATTTTTATCTCGCTGGGGAAAGCACAATTATGATGTGTGTTCCGACATCTAGTCAAGATCGGGAGACTGTGTTCTCTCTTCAACGTATATACTGAATTAAACGTGGTTGTTATGATCAAGTCTGGTGTTTAATAGAGGTTCCTGATTCCAGTGGATGTTGTCAAACCATGCCAGAAAATCAAAATTCCCGTCCAAATCACAACTGCCGAGCCAATCTACAGACAGATCAATATCTGGAGTCAATGGAGCCGGCTGAGGGCATTCAGGCGAGAGGACTCGATCGAGCACCCGACGAATAAATCTCGCTCCTTGTTGGGCAATTTCATAGTCCCCTTCGTGTGGTTGCACTAGGAAGATCAGATGAGAGACAAAAAGATTGAGCTTTTGAATAGTAAATGAACGAAAGGTGGCAGGTAATGGTGCTGGTAATGGATTCGACATTTGAGAACTGTGTTCGGAGAGCAGTTTCGAAGTCAGGATGCCTGCAGCAGGGAGACCGATGTGGCATAACTAGAAGAAGGTGAGCTCGTAAGAAAGGTCCCATTGTAGTATTGAGGCCAGAATAGTCTTACATCCCACGACATATCGTCCACCAAGTGATCATATCGGGTCCGCATGCCAATAATGTCTGATAGCGTGGTAACTATCTCCAAAGAACTTTCAATAAGGCCTTGTGAATTCCTCCCGAGGCGCTTTTGCAAGATCCGATGTAGCAAAAACTCCTGGTACGTAAATTCTATGTGAACGAAGGCGCGGCCCTCATCTCGTGTAGAGTTATAAGCACCTGCTGCAGCTTCCTCGGGAGACCATTGCAAAAACGAGGGAAGGTCTTGTTGCATCTGACGAGATTCCTGAATCAACTTTCTGTATGGTTCCTTGTGGTCAGTCCATGTTATCAACATGACATGAATTCTATAATGGGATACGAACTCAACTTTGGCTGGAATATGCTCAGTTGTCGGACTCAAGGACAGTTCTAGAATACTTTCTCGCATCAGGCTGACCAGTAGCACGACGCGAAGCTTGACGCCAATGGTCAGATATCCTTCGGTGTTCCAACCATTCTCGTCGAGATTCTGCATTGCCTTCTCTCTTTCGCTTCGTGTAAGGACCAACTTCTCACAACTGATATCCAAGGGAAGCGGAATGGTACAGTATCGAGAACAGATCCGTGGGGGACGCCCCAAGGAGGTCGCTAGTTGCTTATCAATCGCGTATGCGCACACCATGGTTCGCTTTCGTATCTCCACCAAGAAGAACGGAAAGTTTTCTTCAATGTCTTCACCAGATTGGTGCAAGCCGAATTCGTAAATAATGGTAGATAGATCTCCAAGCTTTTGCCAGACCCTATAGTCTATCCGAATGTCAGCCATTTTCACTCTTTTCTAGTGGGTAATATTAACGAGTGATTACCGCTGTCGCCAAACGTCGAATTCAAGAGAACCAACTGCTGGATTATGAGCCAGCAAAAAGGATCGCTAGTTGTTCCAGCACTATTGCAAAATTGGCAGCAAATATCACCAATGGCGGTGGCGATATTTCTGAGCTGGCCTTTTTCAAGCTTCCATGGGTTGCGATGTGTGAAAATCGGGTCATCATCGGGTGTGCGGAATAAGGCTCTCCCCAACAGGGCGAATACAAGTCCAATTGTCTCCCACCTCGGCGCTATTGAATTAAAATACTCAGACACATTCATTTTTGGATGTGTCCGAATATCTTTGGATGTGTTGACACATATTTGACGGGACAAGGTAGCTAGCGATGCATGGGTATCCTGAGAGTTCCGAACTGCACAATCATACATTTGCTCCATAGAATTGAACAAGGCGCGAGTTAAGGGGGGCCCTAGAAACCACCCTGGAGATAGCTTGTTCTTCAATTCAATGATCTCATGGAACCAGCTGATCTTCTGCAGATGTGATAGAATCTGAGCGCCTAGCAACACCTGACTGGAGTCGCTGAGTGGATATGTAGTTGCTGGTACTGTCGCTGCTGGTAGGCTGGCTGCCTCTTCGACACGTAGGGTATCTTCATACTCACTGAAAATATCTTTGGGGGAGACCAGCCCCATAAGTCCCGGTGCCAGATTCCGCTTCTCCTTAGCAGCCCATCGGGCGATATGCTGGTCGCATAATGTATTTCCCTCATCTGTCACCGGTGGTGAAACTGACGGCGGACCTTGCGTGGCTGTGCTGGAGATCCTCTGATCCAAACGAAAGACCGACTGATTTTCCGGGCACTGTCGCCTGGTGGGTTTCCGCGATATCACCCTAGAGGCGCGTTCGCGTGGCTGGGTTAGTGGAGCAGGATGGTAGAAGCAACGTTCAGCCTCGCCGTGGAGACATCGACCGCAGATAGGACTTTGGTGGTCGCATCGTAATTTGGACTTCCGACAAGGCTCACACGATGACAGCTGCCCATTTCGACGAGGTGTTGCCATTTTCAGTGACTTTGTTAAGAACAAGAGGCTGGCCTTTATCCGGTGAGGATAGGTAACAAACAAGACTAGGTGATCAAGACATGAAATGCCTACTAAATAGATGCTCAGTACCGGACCTCGGCACTGGACCTGATTAAATTTCCTATTTGGGTAATACCAGCTGGAACTCCGAATGTGCGGCGGGTTTTAGACGCCATCGCGCCATATAATTTTTATTACCGCCTATTTTACCGCCTTGCTCTCACCTGTGTACTCAACCCTTGGGACCTATATGATTCCTCGGCTTCCCCCACTTCCCCCTTTATTCTTATTATAGGCTTCTTCGTATAGTTGAGATACCAGCCCTAATTGATCTAGAACCATTTAAATACGAGATTATCTCTCACTTTAATAGTGATATATCGAAAGTGATGTTACAATATATGGTACATAAGAGCCAAGTAACTATTAAAACCCTCGGAAAATACACGGACCGCTACGGCTGCAGATACCCTTCAAAAGTATATATTAAGCTTAGTTATTGGCGTTCGTATTAAAATAGTCATTTCCGTTAGATTTATATACATCCATTCACCATACCATTCCTTGCTGTACACCTTGATTTCTGTTAAATAGCGTCACATTTAGTGCCTATTTTCTAAGGCATTAATGCCTTCTCTCATGGTGAGGATATTATGAATTATTACTCCTTACTAATTTTCTGCCTGGCAAAAACCCGGTTGGCGCGATGGCGTCTTAAAACCTGCCGTACGAATGGACTATGGAACAGCACTAGATGATACTAGTGTTAGCAGTCCTCAATGTGGCCATCGAAGTGGTCCCTAGTGAATTCCCTAGTCCCGTACGACTGGGCATATTTACCGTACCAATTCAGCATTTTGACATTGACATTCCCAATGTTCTCTCTTTCTTTCTTCCAACTTTCTCTCCCTCTACAACTGAAAATATTACCTGAATCCTTGTCTATCATCACAATCATCAATTTCTGATTCGTCACTTCACTGCTCCTACATTCTTGTACCAAGCCAAGAATTCCTGTCAATATGTCGATCTGCCAGTTGAGGTGATGTCGACGGTCTGTAGCTTTCTACAGCTATCTGAATGGCGAGCGCTTAGATTGTCATGTCGCGCAATTCACAGAATATCCCTCGAAGGATTTTGCATTTGATATCTCAAGAGCATTTGCTTCATTGCGACAAACGATAGCCTTAGAGAACTAGAAGCACTCGCCGAAACAGATAGTATTCGGGAACGAGTTCAAGAGTTGTGGATGATTCCATCCGTGTTTGATGGCTCCCATGCAGAAAGTGAAAGTGCTATTTCCGAATTTGCAGTGTCATCGAGGAGTTGTCGGCCGGTATCTAATGACGAACTAAAGGTTCGTTTTTCAACATATAAAGGCTTGGTCACGGAGAGTTCTAGTTTTCTAGAATCGTAAGCCTTTAGCACTCGGCTACGCAGATGTTTGGAAAGATTCGACAGCCTTAACACGATTGGACTTGCACATTATACGACGAGCTTTCTGCTCGACCCGCGACAAGAAAAAGTCCGATTTTTCTTGGCTGGCGCCGCCTCATTAATCAAATCGACTTCCGATTCGGGAGTAAGAACCTCGAGCCGCTTCGTGGTAGCGGAAGCGTAATGGACAAGGTGAACTCTTTAGCCACATCAAGGCTTTTGCAGGCGCTCAGTGGAACGAATCGGAAAATCAGGAAGTTACAGACATGTAATCCTGATTGCTGTGGTAACATTGCCCCCGAAATCGCCCTCACAGAAGAGCAATACAGCTCTGTTCAATCTGTTCTGGGTGATATAGAGGACCTCCACGTTTGCATAGCTTTAAGAACCACAAAGCCAGCTTATTTTATGGATGCAGCGACCTTGATCACTCTGCTAATCCATGTTGCTCCCCGCCTAGAAAGACTTATTCTCTCACAAGACTATTCCCTGTGAACCCTGCAGTTCTACTTAGTTCGGCAAATCAGCTTTCAAAATACATGATTCATGTGGGGTGCAATTGACCTGAGCAACAAGCATGATATGCGTTATTCGAATACCAAATTGTTTAAAACTTGCATTTCAATTGATACACTCCATCTCCTATCACTTGTCTGACTGTCTTCAGTGGCTAACGTTAGTTCTGATTTATCCAGCCATATTCTGATATACCCTTCATCAATTGGTAAGATGGCCGAGTTGGTCTAAGGCGCCAGGTTAAGGTATACCTTGACTCAACAACTAGCAATAGTTTCCTGGTCTCGCAAGAGGCGTGGGTTCAAATCCCACTCTTATCATAAATTTTTGTTTTTGCTTATTCCATCTCGATCTAAAGCTTGTCTTGGCTTAAATAGGTCATTTTGGGTGTTGTGGTATAGAAGTGGGTGGTTGGTTAAAATTTTTTTTAAGATTGTGCGTTTGGCAGATCTTGAGTCTATGAAACTTAGTTCTGATTCTAAGATGTTATACTATAATGGAAATCGCATATAGCAATGATGGAAATCCTCACCGGTTCCATATTTTGCCTACGCTATATTATTCCTGGTTTCTACTCATGATTTTACATTTGTTCTCCTGGTTTATTTTGCCTGTTGTGTATCATCTTTTATTTGGTCTTGATAGATACAGCACTTCACTCGAATGGGGTATATGACTTGTACTTGGGTAGTCCGAGGCTGTGACTGACCTAGGCAACCATGGACTCGGACAAAAAGGAAACCATCTACTCCGTAGATATATCTAGTTCAAGACCAAATATAGCAGGGCAACAAAAAAAACAAAAAGATATGATAAGAGTGGGATTTGAACCCACGCCCCTTTCGAGACACGGAGACAGTTGTATACCATCGGGATCAGGTGGACCTGAACCGTGCGCCTTAGACCAACTCGGCCATCTTACCAATTGGATGAAAGCTCGAGCCATCTTTGGATTTATGAAGGGAAAACGTAACCAGGGCTTGCTGTGCATCGGATTATCTTGCTATTCACCCTACTACTTCATCTCTCACTTTCTTAGGTAGTCTAAGTTAGTACTTAGATTCCATGTGTTTTATTACTCCTGGATATTTTCTCCTTCGGATCACAGTTGGTGGGTTTTATTCAATATATGTGTCGTGGGACTGTCGATGGACCAATATATATAATCAAACCTCAAGAGTACGATATTATTCGATCAACACCACACATTCATATTACATCGCATTGTTTTAAGGAATAATTATCGACCCCATCAACAATACATAGGTAAATTCTAACCCATCAATCTCTCTTCTCCATGTAAGGCAGACAAGCTTCATAAACCCCACCATAGCCAGGGTACTTGATCATCCTCTGAAACACCCCCTCATCAATCACCCTGATACACTGAAGGGATCCAGCAACGAAGAAGTCGGTGTAGCTTGGCAGGGCACCAAGCACAAACGGTCCGTCCGCCTTGTGCGTCCGAAGCAGCTGGCCAACAGCGCCCATAGCGTCACTAACACCGTCCCAGACCCGCTCCTCCCTGTCCCCGTCAAGCAGATCCTCAAGACGGTGGCCAAGGGAGGCTTCGCGTGTGCGCCGGAAGAACTCCTGCGAGCGCGGGGACAAGATGCGGATCTCGCGGGGCATCACTGACGAGTAGATGGCCTTGCCGAGTACACTGCGTGCCTTGGTCTCGATCTCGAGACCGAGTTCTGAAGTTAGTGGCACGGGCGGGTTTGGGTAGGTCGACTCCAGGAACTCCGCGATCGGGAGAGAGTCCATCATGTATGTATTAGTTGGCACATGGTGGATTGCGGGGACGGTGTATTTGGATGCGGATTCCCCCAGGACCAGGCCACTGGGTGGTTCAGAGTTAGCTGAGAAGTTTGCTCATGTGTGACACGAGGAGCTGAGGCTGTGGGCTGAGACCCGAAGATAAAAGAAAGGGAAGCGAAGGGGAACGGATATAAAGAATGGAAAGTGAAAGGAGGTAAATTTGACTCACAGTCCCTTTAGCGTGGGCTCAATGTCCGGAAACTCGAGGAAGATAGTTTTGTAAGGAATGCTCTTATAATTGAGCATAAGGCGAATACGCCAGACAACAGGTGAGAAGCAGACATTCTTGGTGCAGGCCAAGTCGTACAAAACGATGTCGGGTTCGGCGGCCATCTCCTCCTGCTGTATTTGAATAGAGAATAAAAAGGCAAATTTCAAGTCAATGCGAATGATTGAGGACTGGAAAGGCTGACGTTGGAATGCTGATGAATTTCAAAGCAAACCCGGGGAGCACGGCTTTATACGAACAAGTACCCCCACCAGACTCTTAACTATCGGCCCTCTAGATGCTTTTTGATGGGAATGCTATATATAGAATAGCCTCTAGGGCTGCCATCTGGGATGAATAAATACTACGTGTGACATTTTCATTGCATCTTAAACCAATGATGGATTAAATGGGCCCTATTATATCCCTAGGTCTACAAAATAATACTTAGCCCCGACAATATTCTAGTGTATTGATAGCCTGTGAGATGTATTAAAAAAAAGCGTAAAGTCAAGTGTTGCATAGCACTTCTTCATAAACTCAAAAATGGCTCGATCTTCCATCCAATTGGTAAGATGGCCGAGTTGGTCTAAGGCGCACGGTTCAGGTCCACCTGATCCCGATGGTATACAACTGTCTCCGTGTCTCGAAAGGGGCGTGGGTTCAAATCCCACTCTTATCATATCTTTTTGTTTTTTGTTGCTCGGCATTATCCTTTCCCCTCATCACAGTAATGATTGGGTTGGGGGTGTGGGGATTATTATTTTTGTTGGACATGTGTACAGTCTGGTGTGACTTGTGCCAACGAAAGCAAGTTGGAGGTTGGATGCAGAAGACTCTTAAGGAAATTATGTATAGAACTATGACTGTAGAATGTAAGAGAGGAAGATAAAACCGAGAAAGCAACGTATGAAATAAAATAGCTCAAGTAGTATTTGAATTTCTATGGTCTAGTCTTGCGAAGAAGAAGCGAGGAAGAAAATTAGAACAAGAAACCACCAGGTTAGGCCTAATGAGCCTACAACTAGAGAGAGCACCCACCCCAAAAGCCACGAATGACCCGAGGTAGCAGCGCACCAAAAATCAGTCAGAATGTTCAATATACTACAATGTACAGACTGGTTCTATGTACAGTTCTTGAACCGAGCCCGCGAAGAGTTGCCAAATGCCAGGGTGAGAACACGATGGAAAACAAGAATAAAGAAGAACACGTGCTAGAGCCGCTACAGCTTAGCCTTGGGAGCAGACTGCTCCTCGACGGCCTGCTCGTAGAGCTGATCCAAAAGGGAACGGTATAGCTTGACAGCGGGAGGACGCTTGAGCTTGAGACTAAAGAAGGGGGGAAATAATGTTAGCAATGCTGGGATTATGGAGGTTGAAATAAAAACTTACGTTGGGGTCAGCAAGTTGTTCTCAACGGTGAACGGGTCCACCTTGAGAGAGACGTTGCGAACTCTCTCGTAGCCAGCAAACTTGTGCTTCTTAGCCACGCGCTCGAGGTCACGGAGGACCGCACGGCGGACCTTGTCATCCTTCAGAGATTCCTTGACCCCTTCCAAGTCCGTTGGGGCAATGGTCTTGCCTAACACCTTGCTGGCGAACGGAGCGAAGAGGTCAGGCGCGACACCGAAGATGCCAACCAGGAAAGTCTGCATGCTATCACCGTGGATATAAGCCTGGGCGATGTAACCGAGTTCTGCAAGGACGACTCCCTCAAGACGCTCGGGGGAGATGTACTCGCCCTGGGCGAGCTTGAGCACGTTCTTGCGGCGGTCGATGATGATGAAGCGGCCCTTTGCGTCAATTGTGCAGACATCGCCGGTGCGGAACCAGCCGTCCTCGGTGATGGCATTGCGGGTCTCTTCCTCGTTCTTGTAGTACTCGCGGAACATGTTGTTGCCGCGTAGCAAGAGCTCACCACGGGGGAACGGCTTGTCGTCGACGGAGTACTCCATGTCTGGTAGGGAGACCAAGCATGCCTCAATGCAGGGTGCGAGACTACCGCAATTGCCGGAGGTCAGATCGTAGGTCGGTTGGGCAGTGGCTGAGGCGTAGGACTCGGTCAAGCCGTAACCCTGGAGGACGTCGGTGCCGGTGGCGACGCGCAGGAAGTCGTGCAGGGTCGGGTCTAAGGGCGCGGAGCCAGACACCATATATCTGGTTCGCTCCAGACCAAGAGCGGCAGTCACCTTCTTAGCCCAGATGCGATCGTACAGAGCGTGCCTGACTGTCGCCTTGGAGGGATCGGGGTTCTTCATGTTCGCGGTTTTGGCCGCAACGATGTGTCGAGAAAGAGCGCCCTTGAAGCCAGGCTGCTCAACTGTCGCGGAGCGGATTGCGCTACCAAATCGACTGTAAAGACGAGGAACAGACATGAAACCAGTGGGCTTCAGCAACTTCAAATCGTCGACCAACTCCACGATGTTTCCGTGGAAATAACCAATTCGTGCACCGCCCCAGAAAGCAGTGTGCTCTGCCAGACGGGCATAGATATGGGCCAGCGGGAGATAAGAGGCTGAAGTATCACCTCGGGCTTGGCCGATAGTGATCAGACCGCAGGATGTGGCGGCCACGGCATTGCCGTGCGTCAGAACGACACCCTTGGGAGGACCGGTCGTGCCGGAGGTGTAGTTGATAGTGACAATGTCCGAAGCAGAAGGAGCATTGTATCCGCGCCCTGAGGCCAAGCCCAGCTCCTCAACCTGATCGATAGTGTAGATCGCCAGGCCCTGGCCGGCAGCCATGGCCTCGAGAATGGCACGCTTGGAGTGACCATCCTGCTCACCTCCATCCAATGGGTCCAAACTGATGATGATCTTCAGGTTCGGGAGAGAAGGCTTGAGCTTGAGCAGAGTCGGGATATGGGGTAGAGAGGTGACAACACAGCTCAGTTCAGCGTGATTGATAATATATTCGGTAGCGTCCGGGGACAGGACGTCGTAAATCGAGACGGAGTAAAGAGATTGGGAAACGCAAGCCAGGTCTGTGTAAAGTTTTGATTTAGCATTCTAATATTGAAGTCTTCCCCCTCGAGACTTAACTCACCAGTGATCTGCCATTCTGGCCGGTTCTGGGACCAGAGACCGACACCGTACTGGCCGGCCCGATGGCAGTCGTGCTTGTGGTGCAGCTCTACTAGACCAGCACCGAATGCAGCGCGTCTCTTCTGCACAGTCTCGTAAGTGAGCCACTGGTATTGATCGAAGGACTTGGTCGCGGGGTTATACGGACGCCAGCCAAGGCAGTGGTTATTAGGCTGGCGATTGGCGGTCGACTCGAACATATCATGAGCCGTAGTGACCTAAGATCGGTTAGTATTTTAGTATTAAGATATTCTGGCATTCGCGGGTGGGCCTCTCTGTACCTGGGGGTCCAATGTCTTCAAAAGTTCCTTCTGCGCGTTCCATGCTCGGTATACTCGACTTCGGCCGGGCTGTTCAGTACCAGGAATGGCCACAGAGTATGCTACGCCTTTGGGAGGTGCTTGCTTGAGCTCCTCGGCCTTGGCCAAATGGGGAGGTTGTGAGAAGAACATATCTGTCAGGATCGCGATGGTCAGTGAGGGAATGAGAATAAACAATGGGCGGACGAACCGAAATCTATGGGGGTAAGGAAAAGTGAGAAAGAAAGGCCCGAGTAACCCGGATATTAAAGGGGGGAAAAGTGTGGGGAAGAAAACTGGAGTAGCATGGAAACCGGCGCGACCGACTCTTTTCGGACAACAAAAGACATGCGCCGACGGGGAACCTCGGCTGTTCGGGGGGCGGTACTTGCTACAGAGTGGGAACTCACATACTATCTCATGTACCGACACTTGTGGGGTCTGCTTACATATTCCGCGTCATTTGCTGGATAACGGGGCCACATGCACTAATTTTCACATGGACCGAGATTGTTGGGAATTTATATTATTTTAGACTATTAGATGCGGAGCGATCTACAATTCAGATTCAAAGATATCCATGGATGTATATTGAGAGAGTATGTGTATGCATAAGAAACAACAACGCCTATAAAGTATGCAAAGAAAATAAAATATATACAGTGAGATCAGCAGTCTCTAATTACCCGGAAATCCACTTCCATGCCTTGCCATACCATGTAGTTGGCTCAATAGTCTCCCATGTCTCGTTTTCAGCAGTGGTACGGCCGGTATCCAGATCGGCTTCAATGGGCTTGACAAAGGCGGGGCGGTAGATGATCTTGTGTCCCGCATACAACACCACGAACAAAATCAAGCTCAGGTAGTTGATGAAGAAGTCCTTGACTTGGAAGTTCGGGATGAAGGCAGTGAATCCCTGGGTGAGGATGATCAGACAGTTGAAAAACAGACCATACCACGAGAGCCAGGGCTGCCAGAGAGCCTTGTAGGGCAGGATATCCCGAGAGATATTGCGAGCCTTAAGCGCCCGCTGGAAGGCAAGGTGGCAGGCGTTCAGCGAACACCAGGTGATGAAACCAGCCACACCCGAGATCTGAAGCAACCAAGTGAACACCGTGCTCCCTGCATCGGAGACGTTCAAGAATCCGAGCAGACCAAAGGCTGCCGTGAAGAGCACACTGTAGTAAGGAACACCGCGCTTGCTGGTTTTCTTGAACCAATGAGGGGCGAAACCTTCCTGAGCCAGACCTACTAGGATACGGCTTCCACTGTAGACGTTGGAGTTGGCTGCCGAAAGCACCACGGTCAGAAGAACTGCGTTGATGATACCGGGGAGAGCGGTGACGCCGGCACGGTTGGCGGCAATGACGAACGGCGAGGCGTTGGCGTTTTGAGCGGAAGCACCACTGCCCTGGCTAGCCAACAGACCGGGGTCGTCGGAGGGAACGACAATTCCGAGGAAGAAGATCGTCAGGATGAAGAAGAAGACGATACGGAAAAAGGTTTTGCGAATGGCAGATGGGACGGTCTTGCGAGGGTTCTCGGTCTCACCGGCGGCAATACCAACCAGTTCGGTTCCCTGGTAGGAAAATCCGGCCTGAATAAGGGTAGACCAGAATCCAACAAACTTGGCCAACGAATCGTTGCCTTCAATCAAGTAAGGGAAGAACGGACCGGGGTGCACCCAGTACCGGAAACCGATGTACCCTTCTTTACCGACACCGGCATTCATACAGATCGCGAAGATCATGAAGCCAACCACGGTAATAACCTTGATACTCGCGAACCAAAATTCGAGTTCACCGTAAAAGGCCACGGGCAGCATGTTGAAAATGATAATCACGACCCAGAAGACGGCAATGAAAATAGAGATCGGAATGCTGCTGTCCCAGAACTGAATGATTAAACCAGTTGCGGTCAATTCTAACGCAAATGTTGATGCCCACGAGAACCAATAGATCCAACCCATAGCAAAGCCCAGACTAGGGTCAATCAGGCGAGCAGCGTATGAAGTGAATGCACCAGGAATCGGGATATATGTTGCGATTTCTCCAAGGGCGGTCATGACCGAGTACACGATCGTTCCGACAAAAATATAAGCGATGAGAGCGCCCACAGGTCCTCCGTGAGCAATGGCGGTGCCGCTACCAATGAATAAACCGGTACCTATTGTGCCGCCTTCGAAGATCGTTAGTCCGAAGATTTTGATTCCGTTGAACAATATCATCCAACTCACCAATGGCAATCATCTGCAGATGTCTGCTCTTCAGCTTCCGCTTGAGATCCGGCAACGGGTTTGCCTCGCGCTGGGCGCCATGCTTCTCGTAGTCGATATCAAAGTCTGTGCTCTGTGCTTGGACTTGCACAGGCATTTCAGCGCTCAGCTTTCCCTCTGACTTGTGGGGAGCCATGTCTGCTGGGGGTAAGGCAGATTGGGGAGTTTCAAGATGGGATAAAGAAGAGAAAAAAAAGATCTTGAGAGACTGCAGCGAGTATCCACTCAATTAAGCCAACGGGGTCCGAAGACAGGCTTTTCCTCGGTGGAGCACGAGACTACAGTAACACCTTGAGGGGAAATATATGTTATGTAAAAGAAAAGAGGAATTTGAGGGGAAATAAATGGGGTTCATTCTATTATCTATTATTCTATTCTATTAGTATTCTATTTATTTTCTATCTCAATTTTCACGGAAAAGAATCAAATTTTTCTCTCTCCCGCCAATCCCATTCGGTGTGGGCCAACTTACCGGGAAGAGTTTTCTTTGGTGGCGACTCTCTTTGCCCCCCTTAGTATACCATTTTTGTACGGAGTACTCCGCATAGATTTTACATTTTACATTTTACATTTGATGTTCTCGTCTCAATCTATATTTATTATTTTATTATATAATGATGCTTGTCATATGCATTGCTATAGATAAGACAACAGTCTACGTTTATAGGTAGGTTATACATAGGGTAGATATATGCATGTTGTATGTCTAATTCAACACAATATATCTAATCCCTCTCTACTAACATCTTCTTTGTCTTTTCGAGACTATAAACACATGGCTGAAATAAGAATGGAATAATTAATTATTTTGTAGCCACATACTTGGCAGCGGGCTTGGCGAAATCGGGATGCCGCTTGCGGAGATAACCTTGGAGCTAGTCATAAGAATGACAATGAGCTATTAAAGACTAAGGCAACAACATAATACGCCCTACACATCTTATTTTCTATTTTTTCCCCCTTCTTGATGTTAGTATTTCTACATTTCATCTGTATAGCATCTATGTACGGAGTAAGAGGTATTGTATCACGGAATTTTATTTTCGATGGGATTGTTGGATGATCGGGTTTTTTAGCTTTCAACATCCGGACCGGAGTCCCACATGCTCGGGGGGCCGCCCCGGAGGCAACTATGGCTTATATTAGTGGAGAGCAAACTGAGACTACTCCATACTAATGGGGCCATTTCCCATCGATTCATTCTTATCTTGCTTGTCCGTTTGTGATAGGTCCTGATTTCTGACTATTAGACGGAATGACTGCATTTTTGGTTGCAATTTTTTGCTACTCTATAACAAGCAACTTATGTTCATATCCTAGATCCCCTAAGTATATATGCATTGAAATAAAACTACGGAGTAAGTGAGTCTAAATGAACAGTTAGGGAACAAATATAGAGTCATACAATTCTTTCCTCAATTATGAAACAGGGGTAAATAGTAATCTTCTGCCTACAATGATAGTAAAAAGGACCAAAAGCCACGATGGCATGCTTCGTCGCCCGTCTTCTTGCCTGTCCTGAGACCAGTTTAGGCACCGAAGGCGGATATTGTAAAGAAAGATAACTATGTCTGTACAACGTGACGCGGTATTGCGGTAAAACCGGCAATCCTCTATATCACAGTATCGACGACAGACGAGGTATTCCAATAGGCACGGGCATAAGGTGAGCCAGATTATGTAACTAGATAGTACGGCCCGGGGGATGAGTGGCCTGTAATGTAAATCCTAGGAGACTCTGTAGACTAGGCAAGGCTTGGGATGGATGTTGCTGGAATCGAGGATGATTTTAAGTGTTGGAAAATTAGGGTTGCCTCTACGGCAATCTCTTAAGGTTTCCAGCAAAATATCTCTTTCTGGTAGGACATACGGACTAATCTCGGTAGATCGGGGTTGCATTAATCCGGCTACATATTATGTACTTGTTGAGGATGTTGTAGTGAGCTTCGTAGTGTCGATCATTACCTCACACTGCCTCTAGTCCGGGAGAGCTCACGCTCAGGCTGACTTGAATAGAGCCCCTGTCCATCCCCGCCCCAATACTTTCAAATTCTCTATTCAGAAGCAAAACCAGCTCCTGGTCGTATCCGAATCGGAAAAAGTTATGTCAGTTCTGGAGGTTATTCGGGTCATCGCTAGCATAATCCAGGTCGCATATCTCGGAGCTAATTATCCGTCAAGCTTTGCACGTTTTATCGGACTGTGAAGTTCGCAAACCACTTGCTAAAAGGTCTCTCTAGCAAGGCTTGCTTACTTGCAGCATCCTCAATGAGCTCGATAAATCTTTGTGGCAGGACGATCAGGCGAGGGCTTGCTCTAAGAATGTCGTCACTACTGCCCAGGATGTCTTGGCCCCATGAAACTTACTGCTTACTTTCTTTCAAAATAATCTAGCTTAAAAGGTCAATATAACCACAGCAAACATCGCCATGTCATGTGCCAGTTCAAAAGCAACCTAGCTGCACATGCTGTGCTCTCTTCTGGAACCATGCAGCCCAGATAGAGAGGCATGGTACCATGCATTGTATGCCTTTTAATGGATAAAGAACTAAATATACGGCAGTCTTGTGCCTATTGCAAGATATATAGCTCTAGGAGATATCTTATAGACCCTGTGATTTATCCACACAGCCGGTGCAGACCTAGCCCCGACCAAAGAAAATGTTTGACTTAAATGGGAGAGGCAACGTAAAAAGTCACAGCGTTGAAAACTTTGAAATTTGATTGCATGATGTGAAAGTAATGTTGCAGAAACTGGCTAAATAGTGCAAAATATAGATCATAACAATCTTAGCTGAGTCCCACCCATTTTTACACATGGGATTGTCATAAATAGATCATGAATAAGATAAAATAAAACAATTTCAGTGCAGTGCTCACCACTCCATACCTGCATTTGGAATTTCATGTGTAAGGATAGAAAAATTGTGTCAGACTGGACTTTGTAGTGCGACTCGCCTTTGGTTGAAGGGTCCAATTAGCCTCTTGAGTCCCATCCAGGGTTCGTTGATCGGACTATCCATCCCAGTATACAGGAATAGATCGTAGATCCATCCCCCGAAGGTGCAACCTAATATTGGTGCAACCATAGGAACCTAAAAAAGAAAAATTTGTAAGCCGAGAAAGTCCAGAGGATTTGATGCATGCAATGTTCAGATAAAACGTACCCAGAAGTAATAGTCCCCCGCAGCCCATACTTCATGCCCATATCCAATTATATAGGATGTCAGTCGAGGCCCAAAGTCCCGTGCCAGGTTGATGGCATATCCAGTCTCCCATCCAAAGCAAGCGCCAATTCCAAAGATAACGAAGAATAGCGCGAGAGGCATCAGCGGCCCGGCACCTAGATTGCCATCATCTTTCAGAGCGAATATCATGAACATCAAGATAGCGCTGGCAAGGAACTCGGAGAAGAATTGGCCCTCCTTTGTCATGAATTCTGCCGGGTAGGTGCAGAAAATCCCGCCTGTTGCTGTTGTCGAGTAGCCGGGGACTGTGCGGATATCTGGCCCGCCCTCATAGACGTTGATGGCTGACTTATAGTTGCCGTACACGATGGCAGAACCGCACATTGCGCCGAGAATCTGCGCTAGTGCGTATACAGGGAATTTGCGCCAGGGGAACCCGCGGAGGACGCAGTTTGCAAATGTCACAGCGGGATTGATGTGGCCTCCTGATGCCCCGCTGGCGTATACTCCGAGCATGACGCCTAGTCTGGTGAATAGGGCTAATTAGAGAAGAACATTAATTGATGATAGAGGAAGTAGAAGAGGTTCTTACCCCCATCCCCAAGAGATAGATTGGTAGTCACCTTTCTGGCCATGACTGAGTAGCACCTGGGCAACGACCCCATCCCCAAATAAAATCAGGATCATCGTCCCAAAGAACTCCGAGAAGCCGTCACGGCAGTACTCCCTCACTTTAAACCAGAGCAGGGGACGAGTATCAGGGCTTTCGACTTCCGGATTGATGTGATGGATTGCCGTTTCGTGCTTACCAGTCAGACAAAGCGAGCCACAGCCACAGTCATGACTAGCAGAGGAGAGAGTTTCACGGTGCACTTTTGACATTGGGTCAAGCTCAAGCTCCTTCCAGGTAGCCATCGAAAGGAGAGCTCAAGCTCCAGAAGCCAGGGTTGGGGCTTCGAGTTGATATAGTACGACCAACCGGGGGGAATCTCGCCAACCACACAAAAATGATATGGCAGTCCCTCCGGTATATCAACGGCGCAGAAACAGGGACGACTGTGTAACCAACCCTTTGCACTCAATCTGTGCTGTCCTTCGCACAAGAGGGTAGCTCAATTGGCCGATGCAGGATCTTCTCCTGGAAGAGAGTGTGTGTCTGTGTGTCTTGTCCTCCTGGTTCCAAGCTTCAGAGCCCCAGAGGGTGTGCAATCTTGCAGGGAAGATATTAGCTAGAGTTAAATCCGGATAGACTCGGAATCATCAAGTGCACATATCCCTTTTATTGAGCTGACTGGGCCGGCCATTGTCCTTTTTGTCACCGTGCTTTTTTGTCTTCCACATAGAGCAGAATTTTCTGACAGCGCATCTCTGCTCATAGTTCATTTCAGGGGTCGTTTGTAGAAAGAACCGTTTGGCCTAGGCGGCCGGAAGCCACTGTCCGATCCCGGTTGGGTTGTTTTTCTCTCCTTTGGGTACTTCTTAGACACCGCAATGTTGTGTATAGTTCCCGCTTACCGGTATTGGTCATGACTGCCATGACTGTAGGAAGAAGCTTGAATGTATTCTGTTACTCATCGCCAACTCGTCGGGTGCCAGACTTTACGCAGGCTCAATTGAAATTTTCTAGAAAGCTCAAACTGTATTACCTTGAGGTAGCGGCAGGCATCTCCAAAGGGAGGCGAGAGTAGCGGAAAGAGATTGATCCTCCCCTATGAAGATGCTGAGGGTAGTATTTTGTCACTCTTCGTTTCTTGCTGGTAGTGGCACAATCAACCACTGACTGTGTGACCATCTGCTTGGAGGTAGCATTGCCGAAACCGGGGTTGTCGGATTTGACTTTGCGGATGTGGTAGAAGTGATGTCTTGTCCTCCAGTGGTGACTACCGCAGTATTCACTGGGGTAAACAAAAGCCGATATAGGCTTGCAGATAAAATTTTAATTCCGACCAATCTAGCAGTTGTAATTTGGGCCGTTTATCGGCAGATGTCTGGTTGGTCTGTTGGTGCTGCTTATATGACAATGGAATAAGACCGAGTCAATGCGCAATTACCCACCTATTGGGATCTGACACTTCGTCAAATGAACCGAGTCGTTAATCGTCTGCTGATCTCTCCCCACAATATGCAGGAAAGTCATGCTGACAGGGTTTGAAGGAAAGTCGGGATGAAAGAGTGGTTTTCCTAAGGATATCTTTTCCCAAATGAGTGCAAAGTGCACTGACACTTGGATAATTCCACAATTCAGTTCCAAGAATGATTCTTAACACGAAGAGCCAATAACTGTTGTGACACAGCCCATTCTCACCTGGGCACTTCTCATCTCACGTCTGACCAGGGGTAATCCCACCAATCCCTTCCCTCGGTGTCTCCCCCTCATTCCTCAAATCAGCACCCCGCTGTGTGACCGTGGAGCTATTATATATAGAGGCTTTTTATTTATGTGTTTGGGTCTCCCGCTGTATATCGGGTTCTTCCGCCCTTTGTTTTGTTCGTTTTATCGCAAGTTTGACGTCTCGCGTCATATGCAAATAGATAACGCATTTGCTTTACTCCCTCGTAAATTCCTCCATAACATCTAATAACCATGCAGGCATCAGATAAATTTGTGGGATCAATCGATCAAGGCACAACAAGCACCAGATTTCTAATCTTCAACCGCGAGGGCGAGCCAGTAGCATCACATCAAGTCGAGTTCACTCAAATCTACCCGAACCCAGGGTAAGTTCTAGTTTAATCCAATGCCTAGACCAAAAACCCACCTTGGATGCAAAAATAACCATTCCTAGTTGGCACGAACATGACGCTCTCGAGATCATAACCTCGGTAGAGACATGCATCGAAGAAGCCGTTCTGAAGTTCGAAGCGCACGGCTACACCCGGAGCAGCATCCAAAGCATCGGGATAACCAACCAGCGTGAAACAACCATAGTTTGGGATCACGAGACCGGCGAGCCCTTGTACAATGCTATTGTATGGACAGACACACGCTCCCAGGCGATCGTCGCAGAACTGAAACAGAAACCAGGGGCAGCACAGCTCCAGACACTTTGCGGTCTGCCGCTGTCAACCTACTCGTCGGCTACAAAGCTGCTCTGGATGTTGGTGCATGTCCCAAGGGTGAAGGATGCATTTGACCGTGGCACACTGGCGTTTGGTACCGTCGACGCTTGGCTGGTATACCGTTTGAACGGTGGCGTGGCTGCCAACGTCTTTGTCTCGGATTCGACAAACGCTTCGCGGACCATGTTTGTGAACTTGGAGACGTTGCAGTATGATGAGACACTTCTGGACTTTTTTGGCATCAAAGGGAAGGTTCATTTACCTCGGATTGTGCCCTCGTCTGATGTGACGGCGTACGGGGTCATTTCTTCTGGGGCTTTGGCGCAGGTTCCAATTATGGGATGTTTAGGAGATCAGTCTGCGGCGTTGGTTGGCCAGAAAGGGTTCTCGCCTGGAATGGCTAAGAACACTTATGGGACTGGGTGCTTTCTATTGTACAATGTTGGTGACAAGCCAGTCTTCTCAACACATGGATTGCTGGCTACGGTAGCTTATCACTTTGGCGGGAAGCCTGTCTATGCTCTTGAGGGGAGCATTGCTGTCGCTGGGTCTGGGATCAAATTCTTGCAGAATAACTTGAATTTCTTCCAGGAGTCTAAGGAGGTCAATGACCTTGCTTACTCGGTGGAAGACAATGGGGGGTGTGTGTTTGTCACTGCCTTTAGTGGACTTTTTGCACCTTATTGGATTGATGACGCGAAAGGGACAATCTGTGAGTTCCTTATTACCAGACTGGTATATTTAATCTGACAGTGTGCACAGTTGGGATCACCCAGTACACCCAAAAAGGCCATATCGCACGCGCTACCATAGAGGCAACCTGCTTCCAGACTAAAGCAATTTTAGACGCAATGGAGAAAGACAGCGGCCATACACTCTCTGAACTGGCTGTAGATGGGGGAATGAGTAACTCAGACTTGGCAATGCAGGTAAAGAAATTATAACTTCTCATCAGTCAATGAGTATTTGAACAAGAATTAATTCAATGTCAAATATAGACTCAAGCAGATCTGATATCTATCCCTGTATACCGTCCCAAGATGCGCGAGACTACAGCTCTCGGTGCAGCAATTGCAGCAGGCCTTGCGGTTGGACTTTGGCACAACTTTGCCGAACTGCGAGATATTAATCGTTCTGGCGGTGTGGTTTTTGAGCCCCAGGTCCCGCTACAAGAGAGCGCTGCCAAATTCGGACAATGGGAAAAGGCTGTGAAAATGAGCAGAGGCTGGGTGGAGTCTCGGAGTGCCGAGCACAAGGAGGTCGGTCCCAAGGAGACATGTGCACCGAGGAAGAATCATGGTCTCCCACCGCCCAAGGCAACACAGATCTTGGATAATTGCTTGATCTCAGACGTGGTTAAGAGTTCTACATACACCACGACTGTTAAAGGGAGAACTCATATCTCCGTTAAGGAGATCGAAGTCCCATTTCCACCTGCACACATAGCGAGTGCTTTGGCTGACTTAGATGGTGCAGATGAAGAGGATTTATTCTTGGAGCTGCGGAAAGTGGAGATTTTGCAAAGACTTCAAAAGCTACGGAAGCGACAGTCAAATTGCTACTAATGTATTCTCATGGATTGATATTGTATGGACAATCGAAGATCTCATCAAAAGCATTTGCTTCAGTCCTCATCTTGTTCCAGAATAGTAAAATCTCATGCAGGGGTTCGTTTCACGGATAGTGTGTGTAGCCCTATTCTGACCCAACGCAAACGCCCTCTAATAGTTGCGCAATCGAATCCATGGCATACCCGGGACCGGAAATCAGCCTGGCCTGTAGAATGCTTCCCTCTTACCACAGATGAGATATAAAGAATAGCTGTGTCTTAATTTTTGGAAAGGTTGTAGTCTCATGCCACCCTTCAAAATAAGGGAGGAAACCAAATCTCCCATTCTCGCTGGTTTTTAGCAGGTCGGACGGGTTCGGCATCATTTTTTGGATCGTATTTCGGAGGCCAATTTAGCTATAGAAAGCGCCTGTTTAGCTAGAAAAATGAGACCACATTGTTAAGCTTCAATTCTTATTGTTTACTAGCATATAATAGCTCCCAGAATCTTTGGCTCGACATTATAGCACACTGTACACTGTAATTTCGCGTCCTTTCGCAACAAGCCCCTTTCAAACGTTTCACCCATTTCAACGTTGTGCTCCATTCCCCTCGTGCGCTAATCAAACTTACAACACCTGTAGCCTGTATGTAGACATCGCGCAACCACACCATAGAATTATTGAACTTGTTCTGAGACAGTGCCATCCACCTTTGCTTGATTGGCCTGCGCTTGCTGCATCTGCATTTTCTTCATGGTCTCCGCTGCCTCGAATGAGTACTTGCATTTCATGCGTACTTTCATACCATAACGATACATGATCAGTGGGAACGGCATACACATGAGTGTCATAAAAGCCGGAACACTAGATGCCCAGTGAGTTCCCAGGTTATCGTACATCTGCGTTGTGAAGAGGGGGAACGCAGCACCTATGAGAGAGCGGAAAATGGCGGCTGCTGCCAGAACAGAGGCAGCATAAATTGTATAGGAGTCGATGAGGTAGTTTATAATCGGTAGGAGAACAAGAACACAGCCGAATCCGAAGGGGGCAGACAGGATGATACTAACAGACCAGTGAATACTAGTGTAGTTAGTCCATGCAAAGGCAAACATCCCAACTGGAAGAATGACTGCGCCGACAATAGCTGGTGGTAGCCGAGATTCTGGTGTTGTAGATTTCGATTGGGCTAATCTCATGTACCGGGTGTTGTTGTCCCAGATTGCATAGATCAGACCAAAAATGACTCCCATAGCAAGACCAAGAAATGACAGGCCCCCGATGCCTTCGCTCCAGCCACGATTTTCATTGTAGACGATAGGCATGGCACCCATAAACATATAGACCGTTCCATAAATGATAGCCATGTAGACAGATGAGATCAAGACAATAGGCTCAAGAAAAAGAAAAACCCAAGGTCGGAAGAGTGCTATTTTAAAGACTTCGGATGGCCTCTTCTTGCCTTGGCTTTTTTCAAGAACACTGATATAAACCTTAGCACTTTCCTGAGACAGGAAACGCGCGCGTTTCTGTAGAAGAACCGGACCATAAGTTTCAGGAAGAAATATGGCCCCAAGGATGCCGAAAATCCCAATGAAAATGGTACAGACACCCTGTACCCATCTCCAGCCAATGTTCTCGGAGATAAAGCCACCCATAACAGGGCCAAGAATGGGACCGAGAAATGGTGCAACACAGTAGACTGTTAGAGCAAGGCCACGCTGAGCTGGCATAAATAGATCTGCAATCGTGCCACCGGAATTCACGAGTGGAGATGCACCGAAAGTTCCGGCAAAGAATCGCAGTATAAGAAGCGTGGCAACATTCGTACTCCCAGCGGATCCTCCGAGGAAGGTTACCATGCCAACATGAGTGATAACCCATAACTTTTGTCTTCCATATAACTCGGATCTTAGAGAGCCAATTAGTAATAAGACAAGCAACGTACCAATGGCCCAATAGCAATGGAAGTACCTACAGAGGGCCCCAGAGGGCAGGACCGATTGCAAATCCCAGAATGAAAAGAGATAGACCGAGGGTAAAGACCTCAGTGCTAATATCGAAGTCTTCAAAGATCTCGGAGGAGGAGGCAGAGTATGCGGAAGACGTCAAGGTGATAGCAAAAACTGACATTGTCGCAATGAATGTGATAGACCATTTGCGAAAGGAGCCCCAGTTCATCGGGTTGCCAGGATCGTCCTTCTGGAATTCCACTATAAAGGGATCTTCCTCAGTGCCCTGGCCTTCACAAACGGGTGCTTTCTCGACCTCGCCTAGGTCGGTAGTGATCTTGGTTTTAATAGGCATAGCGATTGAACTACCTATAAGGGGTCGGATTTTCACAGGTAATAAATTGAATAATAGTCCGGATCGTGTAGAATTCATGAAAGGAACTCCTGCGAGTCTATATAGCACCTTTGAGAAGACCAAAGTACATATAAACTCCGCTGTGATAAGCGGATTGCATTTCCATTGGCGCGGTGATGAAAGGTGACCGTGTTTCTATTGATCTGGGTAAAATACAGTAGATCTATATGTCCAATAGAGGCTCGACCCGCTGTGGGGGCCTCTATATGGCGGACCGTAATCTTATTGGATCAAACATCACACCTGGCAGTGATCACTGATCAGTCACCAGTAATCCACGTAGATCCCATAGACGCTTTCGCCCGGAGGCTACCATTCCCTTTCCTACTAACCTGCATGTTGCCTGATAGGTACCTAAGTTAAACCTTCGAAGAGAGTAGCGAGATAGATACAATCTTTACATATGAAACAATCGACATGATACGGCCAGAACAACGCGATACAAGGGTAATACACCGACAACGATTGAAAGTCTCAAAAGCGTGTCAAGCATGCCGATCGAGGAAAATCAAATGCGATGGCAGCCGCCTGGGTAATCTACCCCATGCCCTAAGACGATATCTTTCAAATATGAAGCTGACATGAAAAATGAGCAGCTTGCGCCAGGTATCAGACCAGAAGAAAGTTACACAACTACAACACGGCTTCCGTTAGCAGCGAGGGCAAGAGCGAGGTCGCACGCAAGCTTGCCCCGGGACAGCCACCTCAGGAATTCCCTGTCATCGCTTCCGCTCCAGTTTCCCCTCCCAATTCGCGCCATGCATCTTTGATACCGACAGCCTTGGCCCCCACAACAATTGAGTCATGCTTTTCCGCGGACCTTTTGGAGGACGAAAGCCCAAATCAAAACCTCACATATTACGCGACTCATGGTCAATTTGCGGGCCAGGTCACCGCCGCTATAGATGAGAGAGCGGGTTTTATTTCACCCACCATGCCGTCTCTTGTCCCACTTGTCGATGCGCCCTTGTTTGGAAACTTGGATCTATCTATTGGATGCTCTACTTTTCCTATATCCACGGAAATGCCTGCCCGGACCGATGCGGATCAACTTGTGGATATATATTGGCGGTATGTCGATCCAGCTGAACCGATATTAGATCGCCAACAATTTTCCGAATATTACGCATCGTCATACTCCACGTCTTGTGTGCCACATATTCAACTTAGCATCATTCATTTGGTTTTTGCTCTTGCAATGCAAAGACAAGAATTTATCACTCTTGATAAACGAAATACAGAGGCAAACACTTATTTTAGGCGCGCATGGAGCCTATTTCCCGCCGAATCAATTCTTTGGGAGCCCGGATCACTCGAACAGATACAGTGCCTGATGCTTATGAACCGATACCTTCACTGCACCAACAATCAACCAAAGTCGTGGATGACTGCGGGATTGGCAATACGAATTGCACAAAATATGTGCTGCCACTCCCCAGAGACTTCTTCCACCGATGGCCCCAGGAATAATGCGCATTTGAAACGTAAGGTGTGGGCGAGCTGTGTCGCTTTAGATCGGTACGTTATCTCAAGACTAAAACATGATAGACATCCAGGAAATGTAGCTGACTTATATAGATGCGTCTCCTGGTCACTCGGAAAGACATCAGCAATGGCCCTAATTACATCGCCTAAACACTGCCAAAGGCAAGAAATGAGAAATAAGGAGACCTTTTCCTGGAAATTGGAGCTTCACGACATTGGCAACCAAATACAATTGGCCCAGATCCAGACAGGAAGTACACTAGCGGCGAGATCGGTCGCACGGCCTCTAGGTCAACAGGAGGAATATCACACTGCAGCAGTTCACCTAGATTCTTGTCTCAATGAATGGGAGGCTAGCCTCCCAAGCGACTTACAGTTACGAAACATCAAATCTCTGGAAGACAGAACTCCTCGAATAGAGCGATACTTACTACATATTCAGTAAGCCATTCATTCAATTTCCTGATCAATTTTAATCTACACTCATAACGATTTGCTTCACAGTCTTCTTCACTGTCGAATATATCTCTACAGACCAATACTTGCCTACTTCTATTCGATGAAGAATGACCGTCAATTGAAGTCCATCAATTCCTCAAGTCTAAGTGAGCGGCTTCTCAGGGAGGCTGCCAGAATGTGTGTCGATGCAGCCCAAGCTGTCACATCCCTGGTCGTCGAAACATTGGACCCTAGCCAGGATATCGGCATCCTCCCTTGGTGGACCCGGATTTACTATCTTCACATTGCCGGTGTGATTTTCCTCGCAGCCATGGTCAGACCGGATTTATTCACCGAATCAGTCTCTCAATCTTGGCAGCTTGTTCTAACAACTCTCCGCGCGCACGTCCACCTGAGTACATATGTTCAACAGTGCATTTGGACTTTCGAGGCCCTCTCGGCCAGAATCTCACAAACGGGCTGTGTGGAATTACAAAGCGAGGGCGAGCATCTGGTGGATGGTACAGGCTGCCGCTTTGACAACATCTTCGAAGATATCCAGTTTGACTTTGACGAATTTCTATTTGGAACAGGAGAAGTGATCAATCTTGATGGGCTAGGGTAGGTGCGCGGCGAGGTGATTCTAACCATTGCTGGAACGTGGCGCCAGCGAGGCTCAAGGGATACAGAAATAAACGTCCAATGTGTAGCGAGATCGCAAGTATAGTTGATAGCAAACGGGGTGATGTTTTTGAAGTAGCGTGTGGCTTTATTAGTACTTGTTACATAAAAATTAAACCTTGTTCTAAAAGCCCAAGGAAGATCATAAATTCATGTCTCAAGAATATCCCACTGTAGGTCGAAGTATCAACCACAGTTCAAGCAACACTTGTCGTGGCGGCACTATGCGCAGCCTCTTCACCCTCCTTCAGGAAAATGCAATTCAACTCAGAGCCGGGACTCAGGGTAACCTCAAACCGAAGCACCGGATCTTCAACTTTATCCTTCCCGCCAACGGGTAGCGCAATAATGCGCTCATAAGCCTGCAGAATCCGAATAACAGTATACCCCATCTCAATAATAGCAAACTGCTGTCCAATGCAAATCCGTGGTCCCCCATTAAACGGAATAAAATGCCATGGCTTGGGCTGCCAGCCGGAAACCCATCGCTCAGGAATCCACTCCCCAGGATCGAAGTAGTTCTCTGATCCCGGGCCGTCATACAAATCAGGATCCCGCTGCATCAACATCGTCGAGTAGAAAATACGCGAGTTTGCGCGCACTCCCACGGGCGCTAGCCCGTCCGGCCCACCGCCGCGTGGAAGCGTTGTATCGCGCAGAGAGTAGCGCACGTTGAATGGCACAACTGGATATAAACGCATCGTCTCATGTAGTACTGCGTTGAGGTACTTCATTTCTTTGAGATCGGCGTAGCTGGGTTTCTGGGCCTCGGCACCGACACCAAGTCTATTGCGGATCTCGTCGCGCAACTTCGCCACGACTTTCGGGTTGCGCGAGAGCTCGAAGAGGCAGAAGGATAGTGTTGCGGCTGTTGTGTCACGCCCTGCGAGGAGGACGGCGACGAGCTGGTCACGGAGGATGCGGGGATCGCGGGTAAAGCTGGCTAGGGCATCGAGGAAGGTCTGGCTCTTTGAGAGCTTTTCGTTAAGTTCGCCAGCTGAGCGGTCGAGGACGGTTTCAATGTATGGCTGGATGAACTCGTCCATTATCTTAAGGTTCTTGCGGAATTCGGTGCGTGACATCACATTGCTAAAGACACTATTTTAGGGTAGAATGTTAGATTAGCTTCCGCGAGGCCCCAATGACAGGCTGTGCTTGCGTTACACAGGATCGGGCATCACTCACCTGAAACGGAAGTACTCTGCCTGGCGTTGCTGCACATATCTGAACGCTTCGGCGAACCGTGTTGCCGGGTTATCTAGACTGTCTGTGCCCTTGCCGAGTAGGTAGTCTGTTGCTGCATCGAGGGTATACCGGAAGAAGAGTGATCCGACATCCACTATCCTGCTGCTGCTGCTGCTGTGCGAGGAACTGCCGCCGAGGAGCGGGATAAGTTTCTGAATATGCTTCTCGAAGATTTCAGTATCGACGATGCGGTCACGGAAGAACATGGGACGGATGAGCTGACGGGAGCGAGACCATAGCTCCCCGTCTGTGGTAAATATGCTGTCGCCTAGGAACTCCTTCCACTCCTGGTGGAAGGAGTCGCCCTTTCCGTAATCGGCGAACTGGCTGGTGAGGAGTGCCTTGATATTCTCTGGGTCCTTGGTGATGACCATTCGGGTGGAGAGTCCAGCGTCGAGTTCGGCTGTCTTCACATTTGTTAGACCGCCTGCTTGTCCGAGTTTTGAATCCCAGAACTCTATGTCGCGGTTTACTTGATTGGCTTGGTAGCCTTGGAAGATGAAGTCGAGAGCGTACGGGAGATGGAACCGAATTTTGGGAGCCCTGACACCGAGAAGAGCGATTTGCGCTGAAGCTTGAAACTTGCGGAATACACAAAATGCAACGAATAATCCTAGAAGCCATAGTGAGGTTCGACTAAGTGTCATCCATGCGAGAAGGTCTTCGATCATAGCGCCGTTGGGCTGGCCCAAGTTGGGCTAAGTCTGGCGTCTGGCTTCCAGGAAGCACGTTGAAAATAAGAATAAAAGAAGTGATATACATATTTCATAACATATACAAAGTAGAGAAGCCTAGTTTATGAAGATGGACCATACGGGTTTCAGCATTTATCAATCACGGGGCACAATCACCTCAATTTTCCGGAGAACCTTGGAATACCTGTAAACTTGTAGTGTCCAATGATATGTATTCCCCATATCCTAAACAGGTGTAAGGGGATGGCCGAAAGGAGTTGGGCTTGCGAACCCCGCTTTGTGTGACTTCACCCTTTGTTCATTAATCTCTCTTATTCCAAGGTTGCTTTGATATCCCAATATAGGGCTGGGCTAGACATGAATCCCCACTAGGGCCTAGTTGTAATCTCGGTTTAACACCGTAGATGTAATTCTTGTGGGGACACCGTCGATCTGGGGAAGATGCTGGATGGCAAAGACATCACACCTCGGTAGACAGGAATTGATGGCATATGATTCCACGAGGATAGATCGGCAGTGCACAAAGCACTCGCCTGCAGCCACATAAACATCCCTGCACTGCATATGAGCAAATTCTATATGGACGCCTGAGGCATTGACTAATGCCATATATTCCAGGTGCCCATAGTATTCATGTCTCAGGCAAGTCTGCTAAGAAGCAATTATTAGTCTTCCCTTCTCAGATGTCACTTGACCACTGAGTCCTTTGTCTAGATACTTCTCTTTGTGTGCTGAAACCATTCAACTCCATTCGTCGCTACACAGCTCGATAGCCTGGTAGGAGAACAATAGCTATTGTGAATATATAAACCCAAACTTAGCAGTCTCCAACTCCACTTCTGCTTATGCCTTTCAACAGCTCAAATTTTTTTCATCTCTTTCATCTGATTATTAAAACATGATTTGATACCCACGTACGGAGTACATGGTAGGTAGAAGCAAGAGCTCTTTTTGATTGATACCAAAATCGACCTTGACAGCATATGGGGTGGTTGTTTGCATTGTATGTACTGCCCCACCTCACCGCCGGCCAGCCACCACCACGTGATCAAACATCCGTTTTGGTCATCGGGTCTTTAGCTTCACTTCAAACTGTTTGCTAAAGTCTTGCTTTCTCTACCAGAACCTGTTACTGGTCTTTTAACTTCATTTCTAACCTCAACCACTACTACATACGGGTTTCATCGCATCTTCATTGTCAGTTGCACCGATAAGATCCGAAACACCTTTATCGGGTGGCGCAAGTTCTTTTATCAGCACTGCTCCCTCTTTGTGAATTTCTCACCAACCTGTCACTTTTTCCTGAATTCACAATCGCCTTCACCATGCTGCCTCAAATTACCTTGGGGACGCCTCTTGCGCAAGCAGTCGCAAATGTGATCCAGCCAAAATTGGTGGAGATGGGTTGGAGTGATGGCCAAGAGTCACCACTGATCGAATACATCGTTCTCATGCTGGTTAACGGCAAGACCGAAGAGCAAATCGCCACCGAACTTTCGAACGATTTTCTTGGCCTCCAGGAAGGTGACACTGCAGCCCTCGAATTTTCACAATGGCTTTTTACTCAAGTCGAGATGCTCAACCAACAAATCAACGGCGTTGCTCCAGCCTCAACCAACGCGACCATGTTGAACCCTTCGGCGATGGAATTTGACAACTCAGCCCAAGCGATGCCCAATCCGTTTGGAGAGGCCAATGGCCAGGATGCCGAGATGGGTGACGCCGGAAATGAGTCGATGTAGGTTTTTACCATGCCTTTCTGCTAATGTCTACAATATGCTGACGGTGCTCTCTAATAGCCCCACCGGACCGAAAGCGATGCGCAACGGCAGAGGTGGCAAGGGAAGAATGTTGAACCAAATCAATCGAAACCTAGATCGTGGCTCGGATGCAGCCCTGCATCGTGTGCGCGGACAAGGGAACGGGCGCATTGGTCACAATGGCCGAGGTCAAATGAGAGGCGCCGGACAGCAAAGTATGCGCGGTGGCCGTGCCATGGGAATGCCAGGCAACCCCATGATGCAGATGACCCCCGAAAACCAAATGCAGCTTATGTCGATGTTGGAAGAACAGGCCCGGATGATGTCTCAGTTCATGCCTGGCTTCATGCCACCCGCTGTTAACCCTGCTTTCCAAACTGGCGCCCAGAATGGCTCTCATGGTCGTTCGCTCTTCAATCGGGTCGAGCGAGGTGGCCAGCGTGGAGGAAAGCGCGGCTACAACAAACCGAGAGGGGCAGAAGGCGCAGATGTGGATATGGACAGCACAGCGGGTGGTGAACAGGATGAGAGCAACCCCGACAGCGTTTGTCGCTTCAATCAACGATGCGCCCGTCAGGATTGCCCATTCGCCCACCAATCACCTGCCGCACCCGAAGGCACTTCGATCGACCCTTCTGACACTTGTTCCTTCGGTGCAGCTTGCAAGAACAAGAAATGTACTGGACGCCACCCTTCACCAGCAGTACGATCCGCCCACCAGGCCGAGGCCATGTGTCGGTTCTTCCCTCACTGCACCAACCCCACCTGTCACTTCAAGCACCCGAGTATGCCAGTCTGCCGCAATGGAGCCGACTGTAAGACCGAAGGATGCAAGTTTACACATGTTGAGACCGCCTGCAAGTTCAATCCCTGCCTGAACCCCAAGTGCACATACAAGCACGCTGAGGGTCAGCGCGGTGCTTACACCGACAAGGTGTGGACTCCGCGCTCCGGGGAGCATGTCAGCGAGCGCAAGTTTGTTACGGATGTGGATGGACCCCAAGAGTTGATTAAGCCGGAGACCGAGGAGAACACCCAGAGCCATGAGCTGACTGCGTGACTCCGCCTGACATGACTCAATGAAGAAAAAATCACCGTTAAAAACCAAAACCCAGAAAAAGAAATATCCCACAACCGCCTTTTTCCGAGGCGAGGAATACCATGTACAATCCGATCTTGACCAATGAACGAGGAATGGCTGGAGGGAAAGGCGTTGATACTCTTTATGCATTTGCTTTTGTTTCAGATACTATTATCTGTCCTGTTCATAGATTCCCCCGTTGATCTTCAAAAGAATAATACCGAAGCGAAGACAGATTCGCGAATGTCTCACGAACTATTGTGCGAATTTGTATGTTGTAAATATCCACGGATGTTGTAGGGGGACGGGGACCCGGGTGGGCTCCAGGCCCAGAATCTCCCCACGTAGCTTAAGTAAGAACGGAAGGTTCCGAGGACCTTCAGGTTTAGCTTGATTTCTCCAACCAACTACGGACCAAACATTGCTCCGATCAGCAGAGATGCGGCTGCCATATGTCTCTAGGGCTCTAAGACCGAGACAAAGACAATTGAATCTTCTCCTTAATGGCCAAAAACGCACATACAATGCCGCCGTGCTTGGTGGTGGCATCACAGGCCTCACAGCCGCCTGGCAACTCGCGCAAGACCCCACATGCCAATCAATCAATCTGTTCGAGAAAACGGACCGGCTCGGCGGTTGGATCGACTCCGAAACGGTCCCTGTCAATGGTGGTAATGTCGTGTTCGAGTATGGGCCGCGGACGTTGAGGAGCTCGCTACCAGGCTCACTCCCTCTGCTTTACCTGGTGAGTATTGCTGGCGTGTATGTACTTGCAATTGAAATAGCTTGATATGCTGACCCTTTTGAAAGGCTGTAAACCTAGGCTTGTATAAGGACCTCATTGTTACCCCGAGCACGAGCCCCGCGGCCCAGAATCGCTACATCTACTACCCGGACCGTCTCGTTCGCATGCCGGCGCCGAAGCCTGAGCTTTCTTTTGGGGAGAACTTCGACAGTTTTGTGAATACTATGAAGGAGCCGGTTTTTAACAAATTTCTTTCGGGAATAGTGAAAGATATCTTCACTCACCCCCGGCACCCAACTGAATGGGCAGAGGATGAGTCTGTTGCGGACTTTATCGGACGTCGGTTTGGGCCCAATGTTGCAAATAATATAGTCTCCGCTGTGTTCCATGGAATTTATGCCGGTGATATCGATCGATTGAGTGCCCAGACACTGTTGGGTAGCGTCCGCAACCTTGAGGGAGGCATTGGGGGCATCGGTGGGTTGGTTTCCGGTGGAGTTACGGCATCTCTTATCTCCAGGGCGATTTCCAAAACAAAGACTCGGAATATGGATGATTATATGGCTATAGATGCCATGCCAGCGGGCCCTGAATTAGTGCGCCGTCAGCATGATTTAGAAGTCCTCGCGGCTGGAGCTACTACTTTTACCTTTAAGAGGGGAGTTGCACAGCTTGTTGAAGCACTGATCGCTTCCTTGGAAGCATCTGGCAAAATCAACTTCCGAATGAACACTGAGATCAAATCTTTGAGTGCATGGGAAAATTCTAGGATAATTGCGGTATGTGAACTATTGTGTTTTGCCAACTGAGCTCCCTCGGACCCAGGATTGATGCTGACTGTTAATAGATGGAACATTGGTCAACCAGGCAGAGTCAAATCAAGGGGTTTGATTATGAATATGTCATCTCCACCATTCCTCCAGTTGCACTTGCGAACGTCATGCGCAAACCCGAGGAGTCACGGGTTATGCTGAAGCCTGTCGGCTTGACCCCATCTCTACTACGCAAACAGGACTACGCCGTGACGGCAATGGTCATTAATCTCTATTACACAAATCCCAACCTTCTACCCGTGGAGGATGGCTTTGGATACCTCATACCGCGTTCGATACCCTACGAGCAGAACCCAGAATGCGGACTTGGTGTCATCTTCGCTTCGTCCTCTAGTGTAGGGAACGGAACTGATCCTTCGTCATCTGAACTCAGCCAAGATTCTGTACCTGGTACGAAACTCACCGTCATGCTAGGTGGACATTACTGGGATGGCTTCGAAGAGTATCCAGACCATGACACCGCCGTGAAAATGGCTCGCGATATGCTCAAGAGACACATGAATATCACTGATACCCCAAATGTCGCACGGAGTCGTCTTCAGAAGGATGCTATTCCC